GTAGCCAAGAGGCGTCGCCGAACTGTTTCCGTGGGATGGGAGAAGCAATCAACCTTCTCTAAACGCGCGACTTTTACGCCGCATCCTGGCATTATCTTCTTGCCCACTCTGCAAGTGACTTTAGTTCTAGTCTAGAGGATACCCGCCCGTCTGGACACGTCTTGTCTGCCCAATCTCGCAGCCCTCATTTCAAAGATGTCGTTGCAAAAAAAGACCCACGCTGTCCGCAGGTAATGTCACGATGTGCAACAGAGCTGACCGACGGGGTACACGACGCACAGACCCGCACAGCCTCAAGCACCGCACTGACTTTCCCACTTCCGAGTTTGAGCGATTTGACGCTGGGTAGCGTCGCCTGTAACGTGTAGCTAAATTTACCCAATTACGGTTATTACCCAATTCCTACCAGATTCGTCCACTTGGCCGCCCCGTACACCGCTCCACTGCTACTGCTACTGCTCCCTACTCAGCGACCGACTATTGCCCTTCGTATGCATTGTGTACTCTATGCCCAACACGAGCTGCGTAATCCCTGGGACCCTGAATGCACAATGACCTTTTACGCACACGTCTCGCGACACCTGCAGCGTAGTGCATACAACCGTGGTTCTGGGCAGGGCGCCGTTGCCCGGGGTTGAAGAGTCGGGGGCGATAAGGGCCGTGTGGGCCAATCGCAGCGGTTCCAGTTAGTCTCGTTCTCGCCTGCCGTCGTCATAGCAGCATCACTCAACAGCGCTCGCCGTCGGAAAGAGATGTGAACAAGTCTCGGATGCTAGTTAACTTGACTACAAGAAACGTTGTCGCAGCCGGTGCGCCCGACTTGTTCACTTGTTGTATGGAACTCGAGGCCGTGCGTTTGTTCTGGAAGGCCGCTGGAAGGAAGTCTCTGTCGCGCCTGCTGTGGTACACAATACGGCTAACAGAGAATCCCATGTTAACCCCACAGGTTTCCTAGCCTGGGCGTCGGCAGAGCAACACATGTGTACACAGCGCGCGCGTACGCGCGCACACGGGCGGGCCTATTTACATTCAAATCGCACGAATCCACGTCTCCGAAATCATAATCTGAACTCTGAGTCGACTGAACCCCACGACTCTTACCAACCCACCACGGTCTCGACATTTTCCAGCACCTAACACAGGCAAAAAAGCCGCACTGCGACGTCGGCTCAACATTATCGTGCGTCGACGTTGGGCTTAGTGGGGTATGCGGGCGAGCCGTCGATCCGCTAAGTAGGGCGTGCACCCCTGGTGCCAGAGATAAGGGACAAAGTCCAAATTCCGCCTTACGTTAGTCTATCAAGTAACGCCGGCGGCGCATTGTGTCATGCTGGACGGTGCGAGCAGTCGCAACGCATTTCCTTCACCATGGACAATAATTCATGAATACAAACGTGAAACGACGCTGCCAAAAAGTACATGTATCAACTTTGACGATGAAGGATATGTGAAGATCTGTGGCGGTGTCATGTCCCGGGTCGGGCCAAGGCTAGGGCTCGCTGCGCTACTCGTAATGCTGGAGCGGAAAACGGTCGACAATGCTTGTTATTTCCCCAGAGATTGCTGATCAAACAGCGAGAGCCTCGTCTGCATGGTTCATGCAGTCAGTCGTCCAAGCGGGAGGGATGGGCGGTGCTTGAGGGTGCTAACACGTGCGACCTACACTGATCAGGACGCGACAGCAATACGAAGGGCGAGCCGTCCACAGACACAGAGCGACGAAGAAGAGAGAGAGAGAGATGCGAGACAGCCATCAGACGTCTCTGACGTTGTTCTGCTCTCACTAATGCGCACATCAGCGGATGGTCCCATCTGCCACACCACACTGACCAGTAGGTCGCGCATACCCAGCAAGCGCACAGAAGCAAAGTCCCTGCACGTCCCCTATGGTGCGGACCGGAGCGACATAATGACCTGCAGCGCAATATCATGGTGGTGGGGTGGCAACGGACGGGTGTACCTGCAGAAGAGAGTCCGGAAAAGGCGCCAGTGCCATGCCAAAACCTTCCCCCGTTTCGTTCCGAGCGTTGAGTCCATGCTACGGGCGCCAACTCCGGAGGCCTAGCTTCTCGGAGGTCGGCGGTGTGAAAATCTGGGGTAGATGGGGCTGGAGCCAGAGAGGGATGGTGTTGTGGAGGAGGCTGCGCACTGAACTCGCAGCAGTTAGTCAGCATACCTCACAGGTTGTTTCAACGTCGTGTGCCTGCCAGAGCGAGCTTGCCATCTCGCCATCGCAAGGACGTTGAGAGTACTGAAGACATGGTTGTCGGTGCTTCGTGGTTTACCGTGTCGACATCCGCTGGTCGACCAGGATTGTCGATGATCCTACGGGGGAATGACAATTGATCCCTCGGCCTTCGGCGGCGAAAGAAGCCTTGTTGTAGTTTCAGCTCGGACGCGTTAGAGTCGTTGAGGAGCTGGCCGTAGGTACTTCGTGGTCCGTAGGCAACATCGAGCCGACCAATCAGGGCAACTTCCTACTTAACAACTGTGAACTGCCAGTTGCGCAGCACTTTAGCAATAAAAAAAAACCGAAACGGCATCGTCGCCGTCCTTTCTAACGTATCTTCTCATCGGTTTAACCATTTATCGTTGTCCTACCGCGATCGCGATGTCGTGGGGCGGAATGGCAAGAGCCAAGCCAAACGTGGCTCAGCTAGGAGCGCCAAACATCGGAGCGAGATACCCAGATTGCTCCCAGGTCATTCAACTTCAGCGTGTCGCCTCTGGTGCAACAATGAAGAGACAGAAGTACTGTTTGTGTGTTTGTGCACAACACCAATATAATCGCGTCTGCAACAGGTCAGTCATCTGTGCAACAACTAAAGCACATCAGAAACTCCAGCGGGACCTCGAAAGCGATCGTCCAGGAAGGGCATGCCACTTGCGGGACATCGAAACATGTGCTACATCTCCTACGTGTACCACCAGCCCTGCTGCCATTGGGGTCGTGATCGCTTCGTAGGCGAGCCATGTTGCCGGTCGAAATCTGTCAGCGGTCATGTCGTGGCATGTACATACGCTGAATGTTTAGGTTCAAGCAATAGCAGTGAGCTTTGTTCCGATTGCCGGTATCGTCTGGCATATGGATCGACGTGGCGACCACTCGCCGACGTTGGGACAATGCTAAAAGGGAGATTGGAAAAGAGGCTGGAGTAGGAGACGTGGGAGTAAAGCAAAGGCTTATACCTGACACATAACCACATCCGAAGCGGTTAGGGATTGGGACGAAAGAGCTCTTTGCGTACGCCGGCAGACGATTTTGTGGCTAGGTCAGGCGCCTTCCTGTTCGGTATCATCATCCGGTGGAAGCGCAGGTTATCAACGATCAGGAAAGATTTTTTTTGACAGGCAAAGGATTCCTGACAGCACGATGCAATCAGTTCTAGAAAGAAGCTTTCAATGGCATGTTGTTATGATTAGGTTGCGAAAGATGAGGGGAGGGAGCTTGGGCTACTATTGCAGCTTCTCTCATTGGCTACAGCGTACGTAACAGCAACCGCAACCACGATGCTCTTGCCTCGTGGACATAGCGACGTGTTAGTATCAATCCAGTGCTACAAACATGGGACTTGCTACATGTCAGACTTGAGATGATCTCCCCTGCAGTAAGACGTAAACGTGACGGTGGCGTTTTATGTTTGCGTTGACGGGAAGCAGAAATAGTAGTGCAGCCACAGCCATCAGTGGCGCAGTCAAGTTCGCTGCAAAGCTTTCCAATCTCAACGGGACGTTCGCGATCTCAGACCATACTTGCTAGGCCGTCATATTGCTGTACGAGCTTGGCAGGCATTGGGGTTTGATATGCATCGTGTGTTTGTGTCGATGAGGAGTGTCAGGTAGCGCAGCCACAGCGAGCTTAGCAACAGTAGCGCAGACAAGTTAGCTGCATCGCATTGCGATGCCTACCTATATCTCCCGATCTCTGAATCACACTTGCTTTTCCGATTATAGTTTTATGTCAGACTGAGAAGTAGTGGTTGAAAATGGCTTTTACTATCCAAGACTTGATATGTACAAACGCAACCACAGCCATCATAGCAGCGGTGGCTATGAGAGAGCATCGGCATATCATTGCGAAGCTTGCACAAGTGTACCTGATATATACTATGCATCTACCCATGGCCATGCCCTTGTACCGACTTGTCGTGGGGAGAATTATTCATGATGCCAAACTCTCCAAAGCGAAAAGCCAAGTTCATGGGACAACCGTTCACGAGACCAACCCCTGAGATTAGCGAAAGCCATGCACTAACACCAACTCGTCAGGAACCACACAGCTGGGACGGATCCTCCGGGGAATTAACACTGTTGTATGGCTGTCGCGGCGTGACACTCACCCCGAAAACACCACGATGGCTGTTGGTAGCACGAAAACGCGAGTCGAGAAACAGGGCAGCTACATGGTGAAGTACAGCGGAGATTATCGTGCGCAACGACGTTTCTAGGGCTCGATTCAATGGTGCGACGACTCCACAACACCACTTAGTATGCAACTCGAGTGCAAGACAGTGCTCTGGGAGTCATGGTGTGGCGGCGCAACATGCAGTTGCAAGGGCTACTTTAGCTGAAAGTTTGTTTGTTTCTGTCTCTTGACGGTAGTAGTGATGGACGAGGCAAAGTGCCGTAGTAGTTCGGTGAGGTGTCTCCACATGACGAGCTGAGTGCAGCTAGTCCAGGGCAACATTGCAGGACTAGAATCCAAAGATCGCCGCTGGGGTACCTCACACAACGCCGTAACAACCCCGATTCTGGCCTGATACTCTTGCAATCTCCCGTCTCCGATGCTTTTGCCCACTTCTCTTTCTCTCTTGTTGTAATTGAAGATATCATCGTTCCAGCTCGTAGCATTGATGATATCGCAAGTCGCTCCTTAGCCTGCCGCTTCACTTTTTATTCATTCAGGGTGCGATTCTCTGACCGACCAGAAATCCCAAGTCATCCGCCGTGAGCTTGTATCGATATCGTCCCACGCATGCAGCAGACGGTTCTCGTACGCGATGCATAGACACGCCCTGTCCGAGACGGCCGGAATGGTGTCGTCGCGCTCGAGCAGGAGCCACAGCTTCAGCAGCGACAAGACGCCCTCTCTGGCCTCGTCCGTCACCTTCCAGATGCCCGCCACGGTCCGACCCGCGCCTGCCTACATCGCCGCATCCGTGGCTTCACAGACCGTCACCGACCACCACAATGCGCAGCTGCGCGACCAAGACGCCGACACGGACGAGCTGCAAAACGCCATCTTTTCCGAACAGGCGCTGGCCCTCCTCAATGCCTTCCTCGACCACCTGCTCTTCGCCTTCCTCTCGTCTGCGCGGTCGCCCGCCCTGGCTGCCATCCGACCCGCCGTGTCCGACGTGCTCAAGCCGCGACTGGCCCGCGACGCCATCGAGGCCGCGGATGAGGAGCTCCAGGGCCTTTTGGCGGGAGAAGACGACGAGGACATGTCCACGGAGCATGCCAAGCAAATGGACAGATGGGACGTGGAGAAGGTATGGAAGCGCACGCGTCTGCGCATCATGGTCTACACGCGCCTGGGCGAGCTCGAGGACGAGGACGAGGAGCGCTATGTGCAGCAGGAGCGCGGTCTGAGCATGGACGAAGATGACGACGACGAGGCTGGTCTTGTTGCCTGGGCGTCGGCCATCTTCCTCACCTCGGTTGTTGAATACGTCGCTGAGCAGTTGCTGCTTGTCGCAGGCTCGGCCGCCTTTGCGCGCATGGCTGCGAGGATGAAGAAGCTCGCGCAGCGGGCCGACGACCATGCCGAGCAACAGCCCATCGAGCGGCTGGTCATTGAAGAGCCAGACGTAGAAAAGATAGCCCTCAACTCGGCCCTCGGCCGGCTCTGGAGAACGTGGAGGAAACGCGTGCGATCGCCTACGTCGCCCATCTCCCCTGGCCGAGGCGTCCATGCTGCTTCGAGCTACTCGAGCCTACACCACCGCAGAGCCAGTCGCGAGACCATCAACACCTTGCATAGTGAGCACGACATCCGCGAGCATGAAATCCGCGAGCACGACACGCTGCCCGAGCATCCTCCTACCGAAACCGATATCGCCGCTAATATACCTCTTCCCATGCGCGACAACGACGTCGACGAGATCGAGGTGCCTGGCCTGGCGCCCCCATACGAGGATGAGGGAGAGAGAGAGGGCACGCAGACGCCTGTTCAGCGGCCGATGAGGCCGTCTAGTGTGCTTGTGCTGTCCCAGGGAGGATTTGGGGATGGGGGCAAGAAGGCGAGGCCCATGAGTATGCCCATGCGTCCTGCGGGAACTTTCATGCCGTCTACGTACTATGGCTATGAAGAGCGTACGAGGGATGAAGAGGAACCAACGCATGACGGAGAAGTGTCTACACACGATACCGAGCGAGGAACCCCCTCCCAAGCGACCGAGGAAACCGCACGACAGACCACGCAAGAAACTACGCTAGACAACATGTCTCAGCAACGCGATTCGGTAGACAGCCAGGAAGACGAGTCGCCTGAACCCGATGCTTCAATGGTAGCATTCGCAGCAGCTACGGGCATGGGTTTCCGTCGAAGCGCAATCGGACACTCAGCGACGAAGGAACCTGAAACTGAGCCGACCCATCAGGTCACTGAGAGCGAACCAAAGGTCACACAACCGAAGAGGATGTCAGTAGGACCCTCGCAGGAAGCTGACGAGCCTGAGCCGCACGAGGTCACTACGGAGAGCCCTCAGGTCATGAGGTCCAAGAGGATGTCCATCGAGCGAGCCGGTAAACCTGGACTCGTCCGTACCTTTTCTACGCGCAGCTCGAGTCTCAAATCACCTGTCGGTACGCCGTTGGCTACACCGAAGGTGACTGGTAATGCTGAGGGACGGAGTTATCTTGACGATGATGAGGATGATGAGGAGCCAGAACATCGAGCTATTGGTGTGGCGAGGACGAGCGATAATGCCATCAGGTCCGCGTCGAATTCCCCTGGAGATTCGCCTCACGAAAGGAATAAGAGGCCCGGGAGTGGAGGGTACGTTGAAGTGCCGCCGAGAAACTTCACGCCGACAAGTCTCACGTATCGGAACACGCCTTCGCCTGATGGGAAACCTATGGTGCCGGAGCGTGCCATTGAACGTAAACAAGCCAATCGAAGATCAATCAATGGTGCGGAACTCGTGTTGGGCCCAGGGGTGGGTGGGGGAGGTGGAAGTTTCTCACGTCAGTCGCCTGGAGGAGAGGTGGTCGCCCCATACGACAGCCAAGGTCCTACAAGTGCACCCAGGAGACAAGAGGCTCGTTCAGTATCGCGTGGTTCGTCGCTGCCAGCTTTGCAAGAAGTTGAGAGCAACACTGCCCAGCACCGCGGCAAAACTCCTTCCATCCAGACCAGTCGTAGTGTGCGTACTGCAGACAGCCCCAGGCGTAGCCCTACGTCTGCGACTGACACATCCGAGAAACGACCACATCGCCTGTCCGCAGACGATTCGACACGTCCAGCTGATAAGTCATCCTCGGATAACTCTTCGTTGAAGCGTGGTGCTAGTACCTCTTCTTCTATTCGAAAAGGTGCTTACCCCATTACGTCCAGCGGACGAGACTCGAGTGCCAGCCACCGCTCCAGAGGTCTGAGTGCAAGTGGCTTGAGCGGACGTATGTCTGAGGAAGACCGAGCGCGCGAGTTCGATTCGCTGGTCAAGGGGCAGGACACGGTGAAGTTTACATTGACGCCTGAAAGTGTACGAACTACTAATGTAAGCCGCCAGTCTCTTTCCATCCTACATCTGCCTTTTCCTTTCTACATACACTGACATGCGGTAGGAGTCCCCCGTCTTGAAGAAGACAGAACCACGCAAATCTTCTGCCTCTTCTGCCTCCGTGACAGTCTACCCTCGGACCGACGCCTCCGACAAAAGCTTTGGCACAGCCAACCTGCCCAACACGACAGCACCAAGAGCAAAAGGACCGACCGCTGCCTCTTCTCACAAACCCTCACCTAGCCGTAAGGTAGTCACCAGACCTCTCGCTCGAGACCCCAAGATCGAGTCGGAATCCATGCGCGACTTTGCAGACTTTATCCGTTCCACCGGTCCCTCCCCTGGCCAAGAGAAGCCCATCCAGCCCTTTGTCAACATTAGCAATAACGGCCAGAAATCAGGCAACCATTCGACTTCCTCCCTCGGACGCAAGATGTCAACTTCCAGGCAATCTGGTAATGCGAACAATACTCCAGCTACGCGCACGCGACCCAACATGGAACCCCGCTCTCCCGCCGGCCTGTCTACTGGAAACGGTGACTTGATCGATTTTATCAGACAGGGCCCGCCAGACGCAAACCATAAACAACCAAGGATACCGAAGAATATTGCCCCGTTCCGGACGACTGTTGATAGCGACACTTTTGATACTATGCTCGGAGGACATGGAGGCGTGGAGAGTGCTTATGAGTCCAGGGCTGACAGAACCACGGAAAGAAATGTAGCGGAGTCAGCGTATGGCTCTGCGGCTAGTACGCTTGAGAGCAAGGACAGCACGGCGACGATTAACAGCCGGACTGGTCTTATCCCGAGTCCCAGTGTGGTTCAGCCTGCGTATTCGGGAGGGCCGGGGCAGCTCAGCGGCAGCATGTCCGGAGGAGGAGATGCAATGGAGGGCATCACTAAGACGAGACGGCGTATCAAGGATCCGTACGCCATTGATTTGAGCGATGAAGACGAGGATGAGGACGACGAGGACGAAGACCAACTCACAGCGCTGCCTACGCCTACTGGAAACCAACCTGAACGACAATTACAACAACCAGCACAGAGACAGACGGCTCCTCCTCCTCCTCGGCAGAGGGAGGAGAGCCTAATGGACTTTTTAAACGGCATGGAACCCCCTGGAGGCGCGTCGTCGGCTAAACCCCAACCTTTCCTGCTTAGTGAGGAGACTATTGCTGCGGCAAAGGCGAGAGCGGCTGCAGGCCAAAATGGTTCCAATTCTTCTAATTTGACTGCTTCTCGCAATGGCAATGGTACTGCACCACCGCCATTTGGATCAGCTTCTTCCTCATCGTCAACGAATAAACCCAGGCTGCAAGCCCGCGCCCCTGCTGTGGCAGATGGAAGGGGTGGCATGGGTGGCGGCAGTAGGACTGCGACGTCTGACTTGGCGGATTTCTTGAAGAATTCGGGCCCGCCTGAGCCGGTGGTGCAGACGAGGAGGGAAGAGGTGCCGGAGAAGAAGAAGAGGTTTTGGCAGAGGGGGAAGAGTACTGGGAAGACTTATGGGGATTTGCCGTAGTTTGTTCTGCCGGCCTCCTCCTCGGTCTTGTTGGGGTGGTGGAGATGGGGATAGGCAGGTGGGGGAGGGAGAGAAGTAGGCAGAGAGAAGGGTGGACGGCCGGAGGTGGGTGGTTCTATTATTATCATTATTATTATTATTTGGATACCCGGGTTTTGGTTTTTTGGATATGGCTTGGGGGTGTTGTTTGTATAGGTTCATGTTTGGTGGGCCCGAAGGCTTATAGGAACTTTTAATGAATCATGTTGTTTTTTATTATGGATGAGAATTGAAGTTTGGTGTGTGAACTATGGTGTGTGTGTGTGTGTGTGTGTGGAATGACAAGGTAAATGCTTACTTGTATGAATCAGAAGCTAGACTTTTCCTAACTTGTTACCTTGTCGTACGGGTAGGTGCGGATATCGTAGACAGGACAGTTGGGAGAGTACGCGTTGTACTCTTTGTAGCATTCTGGCTCAGCTTACGCGGGGAGTTATCGTACGGCGTTAACACAAAGCCATGCGGTGTATTTCGGGGGAATTCGTAGTCGTGTCGGACGCATTTTACATTGATTGCGCCTGCTTACCCCAAGTATCCGCGAGCGACACACCACGTCGGCTAATCCAAATGGGGAAAAAATGTCATCGAGCAAGACTCGAATAACAGCAAACTTGGACAAGAGCACGGGACGTGATACTTTGCGCTTCAAGTACAAAAGGGTGCCTCGTCTGCCCGTCTCAAATACTCACCTCTCGTTGAGTTTATCTTACCAACAGCAAGTCTTCTTCTGGCAGCCTCTCTCTCTCTCTTTCTCCCGATCGCATCTCTGCATCGTTACTTCATTATGCGAATCGTGAGCCCTTGGGAGGCGGTCTCCCACCTCGGCAGCATCCTGCTCGTCGCCAGCACTGTCTCTGCGTTGGCAGCAACGGCCAACTCGGTCGACACTTACGACTATGTGGTAGTCGGCTCCGGACCGGGAGGAGGCCCACTAGCCGCCAATCTCGCACGCTCTGGATTCAAGACTCTCTTGCTCGAAGCCGGTGACGACGACAGTGCTGCCATGATTACAAACGCTATTGCGTTGACAAACACGGCAGATACTACGGCCCTCACTTGGACGTATTGGGTTCGTCATTACGACGATGTCGAGTTGACGAAAAAGTACCGCCATCTTACTTGGAGGCTGCCAGATGGAAAGTTGTGGGTTGGTCCGGGCAGCGAGGCGCCTGCGGGAGCGGAGATTGTCGGTATCCAGTATCCTCGCGGCGCTACACTTGGAGGATCGTCCATTGTTAATTCTGCCCTGACTGTCCTTCCTGCGAATAGCGATTGGGACTATATTAAGAACCTTACAGGAGATGATTCATGGAAGTACGTCATCCTCGACCCAGATTGTTTTCAGTCTTTGCTTTCAAGAGAATGGGTAAGCTAACAGACAAATCCCTAGTGCTACTCACATGGGAGAATTGTTCATCAAGTTGGAAAACAACCAATACCTCCCACGTGGTACACCAGGCCACGGCTTTGATGGGTACCTTGAGACAGTTTTGGGTAATGGAACTGTCTTTCTCTCTTCACCTCAAGCAAGTGCCATTTTGAAGGCTATGGCTGCTGAGGCGGGCCAAGATCCAGAGGAGTTGGAAGGAATTCTGGACATTGACCCTAACGAAGTCTTGAATCCCAACCGAGACCAAGTTACAGGCCTCACTGGCTACGTTAATCATGCTAATGCAACCTGGGCCCGCTATAGCTCTAGGAACCGAGTTCTCGACACCTTGCGCGCTGTGGACGAGAAAGGCAACAAGAAATACCCCCTGGAGGTTCGCCTCAACTCCTATGCTACAAAGGTTCTCTTTGACAAGCCTCGAAAAGGCTCATTGCCTCGCGCCAGTGGTGTTCAATACCTTGAAGGCAAAAGCGCTTTTCAAGGCGACCTCCGCTATGATCCGACAGTTAAGAAGACCTCACGCCGGGTTTTTGCTCGAAAAGAGGTTATCCTCAGTGGGGGATCTTTTGGTACACCTCAGCTGCTTTTACTCAGCGGTGTTGGACCGGCAGCAGAACTCAAGGCCCTGGGCATCCCCGTCATCGCCGATCGACCAGGCGTCGGCCGCAACATGCAAGACCACAACGAAATCGCCGTCATCGGCCACGGCGCCCAGGCATTCGATTATTCCGCTGCTCCTGGCGGTCCTCGCTCGCAATGCACCTTTGGGGCTTCAGGCGACCCCTGCCTTGCACTTTACCTTCAGGACCAGGGACCCTACGTCCAGCCCAGTCTCACCCAACTCGCCTTCCTCAAAACCAACCACACCGCAAACGATGAGCGCGACATTGCCATCTTCCCCGGCTCCTTTGGATTTCGCGGCTTCTGGCCCCGCAACACGGGACAGTCGTGGGATGACCCCCCAACGACATGGGGCATGCACGGCGTCCACATTCACGGCAATAGCACGGCTGGCTACCTCAAGCTGCGCTCGGCTGATCCGACCGTGACGCCTGAAATCAACTTTCGACACTTCAATGGTACAGGTGCTGCAGGCGACATTGCCGCCATCAAGGAGTTCCTCGCTTGGGGTCGTCGTGCTTTCAATCGCGTACAAGCACCTTTTGCGCCTTATGATGTTTCTTGGCCGCCTTGCGCAGGCACGGTTGGTGCCGGCGGAAGCTGCTCTGTTGCTGGCAGTGACGAAGACTTTATCCGTGAGAACATTTTTGGCCACCACGTTATTGGTACTTGTTCCATTGGCTCCAGCTCTGATAGGAACGCAGTCTTGGATTCAAAGTTCCGGGTCCGCGGTGTTTCTGGCTTGCGGGTTGTCGATGCTAGCGCGTTTCCTAGGTCTCCTGGAGCATTTCCGGTCGCGGGTGTGTATATTTTGAGCGAGAAGGCGTCGGAAACTATTCTATCGGGCCAGTAGCTGTGTGCGATATGTTTGTATCGACCTGTTGCCGCTCAATAGCTACGGCGAGGATCCAGCCTCCAGAGACCATCTCAGGTTTGACGCCAGGTAATTCCTAGTATGTAGTCTGTCGAATAGCTATTGTATCTAAAAGCTAGTTGGGCTGGGGGGTTGTTCCCAGAACTGGAAATTTGGGTTACGGTCGTTCATTTGTAACATACCACGTTAACGAATAAGTCGAAAGAACGCTCAAAACTTTACTATCACCACACGAGCCACCTTACTCAGCTAACGTGATCTTGCTGAGGTCCTTAGTTCGATCCACAACACAAGTGTATGATTGACATACTTCAGAGTTGTGATGATGCTAATGAGCTTTTCTATAGCTTTGAAGCTTCCATCTCCACATAGCTATCGTACTGCTGTCTAGGCATCGAGTGAGCGCGGGCGTTGAACGCACGGACATGGTAGCTCAGTCGAACTTCACTCGCAGCGTGCCTCATCCGCTGTGATACAACTGTTTATCTAGCGGACAGCACAAGTCTACTGCCTGAAGCACGCTCTCATAAAGTGCCATTACATGCGTTGAGATTGACAAGAGACATCCGCCTCTCTCACACAGCCACGCCAAGCCTGGTTTGAAGTTCCCTCATGACCTTGTAGCCAACCACAAAATGCTTTCATTGCATCTTCCTCTTGTCCGCAAATCTCAGGCGTTACTGCCATCCGCCTAGTCAGGTAGCGTACATATCTATTTGTATTTGACGCAGCTGTGTCATCGAGGTGGCAGTCTACACATTACCAATCGTCATCATCAGAGCTGTCTGTTGATGTCGTCATCCCGCCGCTGCACGCGTTACCGAAAGCGGAAAGGCACGATGCCATGCATGCATGCATGCCAGCCATCCAAGAATCAAGAACCTGGGTCAGGCGCGTAAGCTGACATGTCGCTGAATAACTGTTTTGACATTTCTTTGCTACACGCCTGGAATGCGAAAGCCATGGAAATCAACACCGCACGCCATAGACCTGGGCGTTCTTGTAGCTATTTGGGTTCTATGACAGCTGGCTGAGACGTTGAGATGCCTCGATTCGTGTCCACCACTGTAGATTACGTTACTCGTAAACAACGACGTTGCCTGTCTTAGCAATGTTGACATATCAAGATGCGCGACAAACTTGGATGCGTGATTTGACATTCTTTGTTAAACATGGCAAAACATACTGTCGTCCTAGCAAACATCCATTCATCCGTCCTGGATACCATTCATCCCTGTCACGACGGACGCTAGTACTGTATCAGCCGCTCGTGTGCTAGCACAGACAGGCTTGTTACTTGGAGTAAAGGGACCAAATGCCATCTTGCCATACATGTTTCCGATCCGTGAACCACGCGGCGTTCTGTAGACTCGCTAAAATCATGCAGGCCTTCTTTTCTTTTCCTTGCTTCTTCCAGGTTCTTTTCGCAGTATTGGGGAAGAGTAAGACGCGTGTAATCAAGTTCACCCCCGAACTATGGCAGAGAAAGCGGCGAGGGTTAAGGCAAGAGAACCGAGATATTATCGGTTGGTCAGCTAGAGGTAATGAGGAACAAGCAAGAGAAGTGCTAGTAGGATGTTATGGTTACATGCTGATTACGAGCACGCTGTATGGGAAGGCGAGATTGATTTGCAATGTGCGCCGCTGGGCAGTGTGGTAGTAGATGGCGAGACGTTTGGTATTGTGCGGTGCGATATGGAATGATATAAGAGCAAGAGTCGTATAGTGTCAAGGGTGGGCAAAAGATCAATGCCATTGTAACTCGGGCGGTGAATAACAAGAAGACATCGTGTAGTTCTGGGCATTCTCTTATTCAATTCGTCAAAGCGTTATACACAAGTAAACATACCGCTGTTCGTCTTGATAAATCGCCACGTCCAAGTCATGTCTACCGCTCCTGTCCTTTATATCGGTAAGTCGATTTTTCATCCCCTTTTGAACCCTCCTCGCTCTCTCCCTTCTTCCCCGCCTCTTCGCCACGTCTCTTCGGCCATGACGACTTGCTGACGGTATTAGTATGCTGCACCGAATCTACCTCCGGCACTGTTCTTGATCCAGCCCGGTACATGAACACGACCAACCCACATACCACGATCCTCAAAACAGATGGTGCACGTGTAACAGCCGGAGACCAAACCATCAGTCGCATCTACTATGCCGACCAAGCAAAGCCGCTGGGTATGATTGTTGTGTTGGGACACGCCGGTACGTACATCCGTATTCGTGTATGTTGACGACAAAACCTTGGAGCAAGACTGCAACACGTTTTGTGTAGCACAAGCGAAAGTGGATGCGGATACACAGATTTTCAAGCTGACCTTTGTTTACCAAAAGGCTGTACATTGGCATCTGGAGATATCGAGGGCACAATTAGATCTAGTGTGCAAGCCCTGAGAGCAAGCCAACACGTACGCAATGCCATACCTACCATGGGCTACGTACTCGACCTGTACGCCAGTGCTCCAGGTGGACCAGCCACGGGCGCGAATATGAGAGAGGTCCAGTATGTTTTGACCTTTTCACGTCGCATCTTTTGCTGCGCGTTGTTTTCTGGGGAAAATCCAATGTAGGAACGTAGGGCTGACACGACGTGCAGCATACCGAACGCCTCTGCTGCAGCATCATCGGCATCGACACAGCAACAAGATTCGGATCAGCAACAGGGTATGGGTCCGTTTTGGAGTTGAATGAGCATCTCGGACGACCAGACTTTCTCTCTGTTATCATTCTTCTTTAATGTTTTCCTCATGCATGTCCCTCTTTGATGTGTCTCTTTCTTTGGGTCAGAGCTGAACCGTATCATTCAGGAAGACGCATAGACGATGACAATAGAAAGTCAGGGGTGCGGTGTGAATGTTACTATTCACAATGACCGACATACATTACTAGCATAGCGTTCCTGGTCGTGTCTCGGCACTTCGCTCCCTTTACCAACTAAAGTCCCTATATCCGGCCTGTACCTCATGCCCTCGCGCCAGATTCTGCCTCTGTCTGCGTGGCCTCTTCTCCCGTGCTGAGAGTGGAAGCCGTGCGCTCTGCTGCAGTGTACTGTGGTGGCGGATGTTCACCCACCGTCTCTCGCCGAACAGTCTCGTCCATCTGTAGAGTCTGAAGAGATATCGCAACCACTGCCTCTGTCTCTTCTACTTTGGGCTGGTAGGGCGGTGGCGCTTCTCCGTTCTCGTTCAGCCCGTGCTCAACATGTACATCGACATTGGGCACATGCTCGTTCAGACCCTCAAGTCGCCTTGCAATAATAGAATCGTTAATCCCATATGTCCCACGCACGAGACTGCGGATATGAGGCCACCCCTCGACATACCTCGCTTCTGTCTGCTGACCGTTCTGACGCTGTGTGGCTCTGTGTCGGTATATGTGAAAGCAGACCAGAGCGATGAGTGCAACGGGTACACCGAGGAAGAGGAGGTAGTAGTTGAATGAAATGTGCTCGGTTGAGCGGGCGTCTTCGTCGCTGGGGACGGTTGGTGATATACTTGTTGAAGACGGCGTTTCGATGGGCACATTGAGGTAAGCCATTGTCACAGGTGATTAGACTACAGCGAGTGTAGTAGAGGTCTCTGGTAAGGATAACGATGCATCCGCAGGAGTGCTACGGTAGTGATGCGCACACGATACTGCGAGGGCGGTGATTAGGGCATTGGCAAGGCGATTCGAGAAGTGCCAGACAAGATGGGCGCTGTCAACATTGACCGCAAAGAGCCTGCCATTCTTGCACGTCTTGTTTGCCTAAGTTGCGCCTGCTGTGATGTGCACTGGGTAGGAGCACGAGGCCTGCGATTGAAGCTTCAAACCCATTCGGAACGATGACAATGACTGTGGAAGATCCGAGTACAGTCCTGTTACTCGAGAGAAACATGAAATGCCGAGGTGTCGAAGTGTTGATTACTCTTTCCACCTAGCGTGCTTACGGAACAACTCCGCCAAGCAATCGCGTCAGCGAGGTCGCACCCTGTTGTCCAACCCTCCTTTACTAACCCACCAACACCCCGCAGATATCCTGGCAGAGACTCCGAGATGGTCAAAGCAATCAGAGGTGAACTTCTCGCTTCTGTCCCCCTCTACCACGCTGACCCTCACAGGCACGCTCGTCAAGTGCGACGCATCCATCAAAGCCATGCTGGTCGACATTGACAGCAAGAACAACAACGAATACATCATCGAAGAGCTCGACGAGGAGCACATACTAGTCAAGGAAACGCGTATCAACGAGCTCAAAGCGCGTCTGAATCAGGTGCGCTTCACAAACATGCCACGACATGACGGCTCAACGCTGACACGAATCACTTCACAGATGATGAGGGAGCGCCTGAAGGAGCCAGAGAGTTCAGACTCCGAGTAGAAGTTTGAGCAACCCACTTGATTACAACTCTCGCTGCGAGCAACCCCAGTGCCGACTACCATGCTCCGTCCTCTGTTGCTCACGAGCACCCGAATCGAACCGCTTACATGCCCGTTTTCTGCGCTGCGCCTTCTTGCGTGCCGACCCACTTGGGCCTGTGGCCTACAAACAACTCGGCGTCCATCTTGAGGTTGTCGAGGATCTTGGTGTCGTCTAGGGTTCCCACCTTGATACACGTTAGCAAAGGCCGGGCGGATACCACCTGGCTTGGGACAAGCTTACCTTGACGATGCGCTTACCGGCAAAGGAAGGACCCTGACGCCACATGGTCGAGCCACAGTCGCCGCTGCACAAGATAGGTTAGGACATTGGTTCGCTGCATTGCCATTACGATAGCGAATATGGATTTCTACATACCAGAAGTTGGAGGTGATCTCGTTTCCACTGTCGCTCTTGACTGTGTGTTGCTTTGGCGTCCCCTTGGTGACCTTGAAGCCATCTTCTGGGTAGACGGCGTTGGTGCTATAAGCCGAACCGGTGATTTTGCGGCAGTCGAGACAGTGGCATAGGATGCTGCCTCCACTCTCACCGGACACCTCGTAGCGGACCGCGCCGCAGTAGCATCCTCCAGAAGCCATTTGGGATGAGATTGTTGTGGGTTAAGGGTAGAAAGAGAAGTTATTAGAATTGTCTAGTTGCTGGGGCCGAGAGGATAAGAGTCGTGTTTGAATGTTAGGGTGTTGGCGACATGTACACCTCGGGCTTTATACACGACTGTCTACCCCGCTGTATGCGATCGCCAACTCGCCAGCTTGGTCGACGTGTAGCGCCCTACGGCATCCCACTCGGCAGGGTCTCCACCACTACTGCTCTAGTGCCGAGGCCTTACCTCAGCGACGGCATCCTACCGATGCATCACGGATAGAGGGAAGCTATGCGCTTGCGCAGGATACATGGACTTAGCGGCACAGGCAACCCGTTCTGGGTCGGAATTTGGCACTACACTTGGAAAACAGGAGGGGAAATTCCAAATCAAACATTCGCTGCGGACCGATTGAGCTGTAAGCGAACCATATCGCATGATTGCGTCTTGTGAGCAGAGCCGTGTAGTGCGAGAGTATATCAACCTTTGAAATCTGCCCAGGATTATGATTGTGATGCATTTTCCAATGTGTTCAAGGCGCATACTCGCCTTGTCGCGCGACTATGACGCACAGATGCCACACCTACCTGGGTGAGTTTTGCGGAGCGGGGTTTTCCCAATCCGGCTACCGCATAGCGCAGCACGTGAACTCGGGACAATTTGGTGTTTGCGCGCACGCGCGCGCGCACCTTGTCCTTCACCCATGCGCGCCAACTATGTGATGGAATGTGCTGTCGCGCTTCGATTACCACTGGGCATTGATGAGTGCAGCTCGCCGTCTATCTAGACCTACGTACACAGCGCATCCCAACACAACCATGGCGAACACCACCGCCGCACCAAACGTCTGGACGCAGATGAACTACGTCCCTCCCCGCGGACAATGTAACCATAAGCCTTCTCTCCTCGCGGCCAAATGTCCGTGTTTGAGATTTATGTTGCATCCGCTCAAGGTGAGTCATGAGGTTGCCTCTTGCCGACGGCGAAAGGCATTATTGCCACGCCTGATGCCACATACCGTCAGCACACATAGCTAATAGTCATGTTACGCTATAGTCAGCATCGTCATACGAATGCGATGGCTGCGGACACCACGCATCTTTCCACACGATGGAAAATAGAGTCGAAGACGAAATAAGGAAGCGGTGGGAGGTTGAAGCGGCGGAGCGGAGAAAGGAAGAAGAGGAGGGCGGGAGGCAGAGGCCAAAGAAGAGGGTGAGGGCTATTGAATATACCAACGACGATGGCGAGTTTGTGCTCGGGTCGAAGAAGAAGACGACGGGGAGGGCTGCGGCTACTCGGGCGAAGAGCAGGATCATTGAGATTGGGGAGGAAGATGGGGTTGTGGAGTTGGATTGAAAGACGCTATGATACCCCCTGCGACACTGTTTGCACTCTGTTCAATACAATTACATGAGGAAGCTTCAAGTTGTGGTGTCGCCGAAGACGGGCGCGGGTGTCGCGACTTGCTTGCGACGCCAAGACTAACAACCATGGGTGCGCTTCCTCTGTGGTGAACCCTTGCTCTACCTTTCCACCAACGCAACATGATAGCATAACGTCCACGGCCCGCCCGACCCTTTGAGGGTTCTTTAATGTATAAATAATACACACGACTACAGATAACACTCACGACCCATCGCCCACCATGGCAACCCCAACCCCCAGAGACAAGGAAACGCCCTCGAAAAACCTCAACGCCTTTTCCTCGCCCGCCCCGCGCAGTGTACCTCCCTCGGGCAACGTGAACATGATGTCGTACGATTCGCCCGCGGTGCTGAACATGCTCAACGACGTGGCCAGCTCAGGCATGGGCGGCGTTGGCATGGGCATCACCATGAGCGGGCTCGGCATGTCCAGCTTAGGCATGAGCGCGAGCGCCATGGGTCGCGCCGACGAGGCAGAACGAAGCCGGCGTCTACGCGCCATCATCGATCTCGTTGGCAAGAAGCCTGGCAGGGTCAGTGAGGAGGGTCTGCTGCAGCTGTGCAAGAGGATGGGCATACCGTGCGAGAAACACATGGACGAGGCAGGCACCTGGAGTCTGCTCATTGGCGACGAAGCCCTCTGCGACGTGACGTTCCACAACGACGAGATTGCGAGCGTCAATCTGCAAACCGGTCTGGACGAATCGAGACCCGATCTCCATTTCGGCACAACGGGGTCTGAGATACTCGTCCGGAGCTTGAAGCCCTTGCCGGGCCAGAGCAAACTCAACGTCACTCTCGAGCGCTTCTCAGAGAGTCTAGAGAAGCTGCTTACGCTGGATAAATTGGGGTCAGCGCAGAACGGAGGGGTTAGCTGCTACAATGCGATTGCGGGGGTTTATACAAGTTTGCGCAAGCTGTTTGAACACGAGAAGAAGGCGGAGCTCGCAAAAAGGACGCCCGACGAGCGCTTCAGGACACACAAAGCTGAGCGCGAGGTGCTGTGCAAGAAGAGTGGCCGCCCCAGACTCAACGGCGGATCTTGTCTGGGCTTGAGCCTCGAGTATTGGATGGACGGTCGAATGCAAATCGACCCGCCCGTGGAATCTGCAGCCTACCCCGAAGATGCAGACAAGAGCCACAACAAGATGTACTCCCTGACTATCGAGTGCGAAGCTTCGCCCTCGACTCTGTACACACCCATCCGCATATCCGACGATTGGATCAGCGATCGCATCGACAAACCCACCGATACGCACGACGCCAACGCCACTCTAGACAACATACTCATGCACGCTTCGTCCTCTTCATCCCTAGACTGGCTCGACCCAAAACCAACGTACCTCGAACCAGCCCCCGAGCAAACTGCCGACCACGACGACCACGACGCAATGAACCTCGACTCGGCAGCGGGCCGCCTTCCCAACGTCCGCTTCGTCGCAAAGTTCAACCCCCCACTTGTCGTCCCTTTTGCCGTCCACATGCAGCTCTACCAGCTCGTCGGCATCGAGCCGCGCACCGACGACTTCCGTCCCGAGACTTTTGCAGGCCTGGCGCTCAGGCCGGGTGAGCTTGATCCGGGCATGTCTGGCACGACGGGTGATGTGACGCATGAGATTCGCAGTAGCCGACTTGTCTTGGTTCGGGATGGTGAGGAGGGACGGGAAAAGGATAGACGACATGATATGAGCCTCTTCATACCGAAGCTCGAGTATAGTCGCAAGTTGGAAAGCTTGCCTTTTAGCCATCCGAAACAGTTGGTGGAGATTTTGCCCGTGTTGAGACAGTATGCGCATATTACGAGTTTGCTTAAGACTTGTTTCTACGAAGAAGCTTCGAAGAAGAAGAAGAAGAAGCAAGCGCCGACGCATAAATTGGGAGAGCATGAGCTCACACCACCACCCTTGCACAAGACAGATTTGCCGGGGTTGCAACTCGACGTTAATCTGAGTTATGCGCCGCCTGTGCCCCGGTTCACGCTGCATGTTCCTCATCCTTGTTCTGCTGTGGCGAAGGCGGCATGTTCATCTGAAAAGGAGAAGAAGAAGAAGGGTAACGACGCAGATGATGCTGCGATGATAGCGGATCTCTTGTCTCATCTTGATGAACCTACTACCTCTTCTTCTTCTTCTTCTTCTTCTTCTTCTCCACTTCCTGCATACCACGCTGCCCTCGCGCTAGCAATCGATGTCCAGTCCAATGGCGAGTTGGTCCTTACTGAACAGAATGTTGTTCTTGAGGAGGAAGATGACAAGGTGAAGAGGTTGGCGCGCGCACTGGATGTTGTTGATGATTTGGGCGTGTGGGCTGAGTGGTTGAGGTTGGAGGTTGGAAAGGAGGAGGAGAGGAAAAAGAGCGTTTAGGTGGCGTTTTTGAGGGAGCATGCGCCGTGGTTTTTTTTGGGTGAGTTGGGGGAGTGATGGGTCTTGGGATTAAGGTATTGTTCAAAAAGAGGTTTGAGGTAGAGGGCTTATTGGATATTGGATATTGTGATTCAATGGGTGGAGAACGAGCGATAGAACTCGACAAGTCTTGCATCAAGGGCATTTCATGTCTTGCTCCTCTCGTTCTGTTAAGTCGTGATGAAGATGCTCGCTTTGGTTTTGATGGCTCTTGCAATGAGTGGAGTGGACTTACGGGACCGTGAGTGTGCAACACGCATATGTGACTGGCTCTGCATCTCGTTAACTTGAGCTTCCTTGTCGGCACTCTTGCAGCTTTCAAGCAAGTACATCATAAAGGTATGACTTGCTGCGAGAACCTTGGCGGCAAGACGTAGAACAATGGGATAATTGCAAGTCATGTAGAGAAACAGAAGCACATGTATCATTGCAGTTCAGTGTAGCTTCAACTCAAAATATAGTCAAGGAAAGTGTGGTGTATTACATGGTACACTAAAACTCAAAATCTCCTATTCCTTCCAGACCGAAAGAGATTTCCAAGCCCCCCAAAGATGGAAGGCGTACTGACAGTCGGGAGACTAAACGGGTTGAGAATGTTGAAAGTGTTTCTGGCTTTGATCAAATCGGCCGCCTTTTCCGCAACCGCGTACATGGTGGCTTGCAAGTGGGTAGCCGGAATCAAAGGAATGATACTAGCGTCCACGATACTAAGGCCCTTGACCCCATACACGGCGAGATCACTACCAACACAACCCCCATAAGCCTCGGGCATCATCGCACAGCTACCCGACATGTGTGCAAAAGACGCCTGCAGCGCCTTCTGACTGACAAGATCATTGATAATCTCGTCGTCAGTCTGTGCCTGTGATCCGGGTGTAAGTTCAACGGGGGAAAACTTCTTCAGCTCCGGATTTGCCCAGTGCTTACGCGTCCAGCGAACCATTTCCACAATGATCTGGCGGTCGACGGGGTTCTGCAGCGAGTTGAATTGGACGACGGGGTTGCCGTATTTGTTGCTGGGATTGAGTGTGACGGTGCCGCGGGACAGGGGGCGTTGCAGCGCGCTGATGGCGAGACCAAAGGGGACCATGGGGAACTCGCCGACGGCGGCATCGGGGCTGCCGTGGAGACTGGCGATGAGGTCGCGTTGCTTGGTGAAGCCGCGGAGCAGAGAAGCGTCGTCGTAGACGGAGGGGAGGTAGCTGCGCGCATTTTGCGACTTTACGCTTGCAACAATGGAAGACCACTTGTCGGAGACGGTCTGTAGGCTGAGGAACGCTAAGCTGCTGCCGTGCGCTTGTGTGAGAGGGCCGTTCCGGCTCGTGTCGTACTCTGACCATACCGTGGCGTTGTATGTGGGGTCTGCTCCGCTGTAGATGCTTGGGAAGGAAAGATTCTGGAGGTCAAAGACCATGTTGGCGTTTGGGTGGTCTTGCATGTTGGCGCCGACGGCGGGCATGTCTTTCTTGACGGTGATGCCGGCAGCTTGGAGCACGTTTCTGGGACCAAGGCCGCTGAGTTGGAGTAGTTGTGGTGTGAAGATTGAGCCGGCAGCCATGATGACTTCGCGTTTTGCGTAGACTCGCTTGACTGAGCCATCTGAACGAGATTTGTACTGCACGCCGTTTGCCGTGTATCCTGTAAGCAGGCCTTTGTTAAACAAGATCTCGTTGACCGTCTGTCCGGTGATGAGAACGAGGTTCCTGCGGGTCTTGACGGGATCGTAGTATTCGTTCTTTGCGTGAGATCGGGTTTGCGTCTTGGGCCGCAGGGCAGTGGGTATCCAGAAAGCGCCTACTGCATTTCCAGAAGCATGTTCCTTTGGCAAGGGTACACCTTCACGCTTGTATGCTGCCCAAATGGTCTTCGTATCTTGGTACTCAAAGTTGGGGAAGGATGCTTGGATCGGACCGTTTGTACCATAGTAGGAGGCGTCATAGGTAGTCCCAAATTCTTTGACGTTAGATGCCGTGGGTGGTGTAAAGGTAGTCGACTTCTTGAAGTAATATAACAAATTGTTGAAGTTCCAGCCGCTGTTACCAAGTTGCTCCCAGGCATTATAGTCGGCGGCGGATGCTCGGTCAAAGGCCATGCCGTTGACCACAGACCCACCACCAACGACATTGCCTACCCAGACAGGGTGTGTGCCGCCTGTATTAGTATCATATGCCGACGTGATGTCGTACATTAGAGCTGAGTTGATGCTGTTTGCAAAGCTAGGTACTTGTGTGGTTACATCGTCGACCATGAACCCATTCTCGATTACAAGCACGGTGCCTGACAGTGTTAGACTGTGCATCACATATGCGATTCCGGTACTTACGGCTTGAGTCTTCACTCAGGCGGTTAGCAACTGTTAGGCCAGTCAAACCGCCACCAACGACAATGTAGTCGAAAGACTGTCCTCCAACATCTGGCTCGCCACTGTTACTAACTGGAGCGGATGGATCCAATATCCGTGGCACGAAAGACGCCAGGTAGAAGATGCCTGAAAGAAGGAGAGACATATTAGAAATTATGGACAGAACGAGTGTATGAGCACCAAATGAATGGCGCAAGGGTGAGGGTCCAGGAAAGTGACGAAATGAAAGACTAAGGTTCGTCCAAGGTTTATACCTCCTCGGAACTCACGTAGTTCGCGGTCGGGCCACCCCTGAGTACGCGAAGCTATTGAAGCCTCTTCGCTTGCAAAACCCGTTCTTCGGCAGAGCATAACACTCACACGCTACCCGCTAGCTGTTGTATGCTTGAAATGTCCTTTCCCAGTAAGCAATGCTCAAAGCTACCAGATCCTGTAGTGCTTGATATAGCCTGTTGCCCGGATTCTGGGTCGATGCCGCACGGAAACAAAAGCTGAGATCCGCAAACCATGGTGGAAAGCATATTTTGGTAGTTGACCGATAACGGCATGGCTTATAATCCTGTCACAAAGAACGCTTATCGACAGCCCTAGAGCTGCGGGCAGCGACATCAAGGAAGCATGGCTGCTGTGGCGCCGACTATCAGCTCCCGTCTGCAAAGCCCACGTGCGTGATCGTGTGACGTGCGCCACGCAATTGTAATTGTGAGGAAGTTTTACCCTGCATGGTGCACTGCTTGATCGTGTGGTCCACATGGTAGAGAGGGCGAGACCGACGGTGTTGTGCTGGCGAAGCAACCACGGGAATGCAGGGGCCACGGCTGTCAAGCTGAACGAGCCGTGCTTCGGTAAAAATCTCCAACGTCGTCACCTTCCTCTCGCGCTCGACCAAGTTGTCGTTAGATCGATATTTGACTTTGGTGTACGAGTGTTTAAGTTTGCAGCAGAAGACCAATTGTCTAGATTATCGATGGCGCACGGAGGTGGCCTGAATGGGTATAGCTCGTCTCCCCACCTGAACCCTAGCCTGACGACGGTTCAAAGCTGCCAACTTCTTTAACCTCCTTTGCACAGCAACCGTCGCGTAGCACCCTGCTCAGTTGCAAAATTACTAGAATCATTGCGGTACCGAAGAGCGAGTAACAGAGCCGGCGCCTGTTATACCCGCTCGGCCCGCCTCCTGGATATTGGTAACATCTTGTCCAAGGAAATCTGCCTATCGAATTTTGTGATTCGAAAAGATCTTGTGGGAAGTACATTCTGCCCTGAAATATAGTAGATATCAGCATATATTGGGTGCTGATTGACTGCGCCGCGACGGTTACGGACGGCAGCCACGATACGCGACAAGGCCGTTTCGAAGCTGAGGGCCAGATATCCACGCCGGCCTAGGCTAAACCTCGTGCAACGGCGCGAACCACAACGCTTTAGTCCGTCCCACGATGGCTTACCGAGTGACAGATGTCGTGCTTCTCGCTTTGGCCATATCTTACGATAGGTTTAAGACCGGGAATCTGGATTAGCAGTAATGCAATAGTTTGGTTGGGTTCGTTTCTAGAATGCCAGGTCGCAAGTGGCTATGGCAACTCTCCCGATCGTCGACGTATGGTTTCCAAGCCCCGAGAAACAGGAAAGTGAAATCTTTTGATCTACAGAACCTTGCGGCTCGGCAACTTGGTGCAAGATGATCATTGGCGATCTGGACCATGGTGCCTTAGCAGGAACGCATCCTGACTAACGGCCTACCGCTATATGTGTGCTCGTGCGCAGCGCACTGTCGTGTGGGTAAGCTTCAGACGCCTCCTGCATGTCTCGTTGCGTTTTGCGGGATTGGCTGAGTTTGACATCGGTCGGCCACTCCGCTGTATTTGGCTGGCCATCCGGAGGATATTAACAGAGCAAATATAACAGCACGTCCACCCGTCCCGTACTATATACAAGAACCTGCATAACATTACGACGTAGGAGATCTGCAGGAGCTCAGTCCGAGGAGTACACCCCGCCCATCCTCTCCATTGGACTCTTCGTCTTTCCTTGCCTTGTTCTTTTGCTTTCTCGCACCCGCCATGGGTGTACCAACAACCCCGGAAGGACTTCCTTTGGACGATCGGTCCAATGCGCTCAAGATACCCATCATCACATTGATCATATTCAGCTCGGTATTCGTCTTGCTCCGCTTGGGCATTAACTGGAGGAATAGAAACTTCTTCCTACTGACAGACCATCTATTATGGACGGGTCAGGTAAGGCAGTAATCAAGCAAGGGTACTGGATATTATACTAAACAATCTTCAGGTCATAGCCGTAGCTGGTGCGGCATGCTGCTACAGGATGGCAGAAGTCGGGGGCGGTAGGCATATTTGGGATCCCATGTTGACGCCTCGGAACCTGGAAACATATCTTTACTACCTATGGCTGGGTCAACTGCTCAATCTGTACGGAATGGCCTTGGTCAAGCTGAGTGTTTGCGCCTACATCTTCATGTTGGACTTTTCGAGAACATTTCGGATCATCATCTGGGCTTCGGTCGTGATCCATATCCTCGTCAACGTTGTCTTTCCTACAGTCATTCTTTTCGGCGAATGCACACCATACACGAAGCATTGGGATGTCGCTGGAACCAAACCTGGTTCTTGCTGGAGTGCGACACCACGAGTCATATCTGGATACTCTGGCGCTGCAGTCAACATATTGACGGACTTGCTCTACACCATGTCCCCGCTCATCTATATTGCGAGGGTGCAGCTTCCCAAGCGAACCATCTGGGGTGTTCGCGCAGTGTTCTTGTGCGGTCTTATGTAAGTGTTCTCTTCGTTGCGCCTCTTGCATGCATCATTAACGTCCTCCAGTACAACCACCATCTCCGCGATGAAACTCTACGAGATGAAATCCTTGAACGAATCACCAGACCCTACCTATTCGTCCGTCAATCTCAGCGTTTTCGCGATTGCCGAAGTCTTCGTTGGCGTTTTCACAGCGTGTCTTCCGCCGCTCCGCAAGACGTTTGAGAACCTTCTCCGCAAGGTTCTTCCTACGAGTATCACCGGAGGATCTGGGAAGGGATCAAGACAAAGTTACGCACTCCAAAACACCGGCCCTCAGATGAGTGGGAAGTCATCGAAGCGGAAGCATGATACGGACGATGATAGTGAGCTTGGCATACTACCAGACGGTGAGGTCGTCAGCGAGAGGAAGGGTTCTGATCAGCCGATCACTATTATGAAGACCACGCACGTAGAGGTGACGGCTGATAGTAAGAGCATAGCGTCGCGGCGACATGGCGACTGGGTTTGAAAGCTTCGTCTTATTCGAGCGCAAACAATAATGATAATGAATTAATGGCCTGAAGAAGCGCTTGATCGTTCATGCCGTTGATACACTCCCGCACCGTTACGCAATGAGAACGGGTAGCTCCCTACCGATGGTGAACGGACACGTTCGCGCGGTGATGATCTTCATTCGATGATCGGCACCAGGGGCACCCCATCTAGCCGAGGTACATCGATCATTGATCAACAAGCCTAATCCGCACCACCTTGACCTTGGCGCAACCTCCTTCATCAACATGTCGAAGCCATCCAAACCATATCATCGTGATCTCCAGTTCCGAGGTTTCGTAGAAGGCCTCACCTACATTGATAGCGACAGCCAAGCACAGTGCCACTACTTCGGAGGCGTCCCATACGCTCTCCCACCTGTTGGCCCCTTTCGCTTCCACAAGCCACGCTCACTACCACCGTGCTATCGCTACGGAACGAAAGCGAACCCGGGGCGATATACAGGCGCATGCGGGCTTTGTCCACAGCCAGGGTCCAGTACGGAAGTTCTTAACGAACCTGCATGGGATGAAGACTGCTTACAGACCAATATTTGGATTCCAGCTGGTCAGTCGCCAGCGGAAGGTATGTCCCTGACTCCATTCAGCTCGACCAATGATTGCTGACTCGGGGAGGTTGGCCGGTACTATTCTGGATTCGTAAGTAGTCGTTTTCAGCTCCGTTACCCTTTTAGTGCTTGGCTTCGCCGTTTCACGGCAAACAACCTTCTGGTTCATCTTCGGCGTACAGTGTGGCGGAATATTAAGTTCACAACCACGTGGTAGATCAACGCTAAACGTCACTAGATGGCGGGTTCCTGCAATGGGGTAGCCCGAACGGTCTCGACCTCCGTGCGCTATTTAGTGAATCCCCTACCCAGTGCGTCGTCGTCTCTCCCGCCTACCGTCTGAATGTATTCGGGTTTCTCGCTTCCCAGGATCTTGTCGACTCATGCCCGGATTTTGGCGTCAATCTCGGCTTCTGGGATCAGCGCATGGCTCTGCAGTGGACGTACGAGAATATCAGCTACTTTGGCGGTAACGCCTCAAATATCACTATCGGCGGGTATTCGGCAGGGAGCCACTCCGTCTTTCATCAGCTGTCGTATGATCTCGGATTGCCCGATGAAAAGACAGTCGTAAAGAGAGCGTTAATGCTGTCGAACGGTCCAGGTATGCAGCCGAAGAGTTTGACTGAGGCGCAGGATCAGTTTGACGAGCTATTGAAGGCTTTGAATATCGAGTCAGACGCGTCGCCAGCTGAAAAACTGGCGAGACTCCGCGCAATAAGCCCAAGGCAGATTGTAGAAGCAAGCAACAAGATCAAGCATCACCAGTTCCGTGCAGTCACAGATGGGTCGTTTGTGCGGCATGGTCTTCTGGAAGAGCTGTCGAACGGGGTCTATGCGAAGCGTATGAAGCGTCGTAATGTGAAGCTCATTATCGGGGAATGCAGCGACGAGCATTTCGTCTACGGCCTTTGGCGACCTCCTAAGCCAGGGTACGAAAACATGCTTCACCGGCTTGAAGCGGACTATCCCCGCGAAGCATGTAAGGTGTTGATGTCGCATTATTTCCCAAATCGCAAGCTGCCATCCAAATATACGAGCTGGCAGGCAGTTTTCGGTCATATCTACGCAGACGTGCAGATTCACGCATTGCGGCGTGGGATGGTAAATGCGTTGGTAAAGCATGGCGCGGGAGATCTCATACATAGATACCGCATCGAGTGGCGCGCGCAATGTGTTGACAAAGAGCTGCCCGAGCACTTTGGTGCTAGTCACGGCTCCGACATGGCGATATGGTTCTGGGGCAACGGCAACGACCTGAGTGAAGGAGAGAAGAACATCGCGTTGAAGACATTTCACGAACCGTTGAGCAGGTTTCTCAAAGGCGAGAAGATGGAATGGGGTACGCAGCATGCAATGCAACTGAGGACATTGAAGAGTGATGGAAATATCGTTATCGAGGAAGACACAAGACTAGATGAGGGGTTGAAGCTGTGGAATGCGTTGAAGACAGTTGGCGCTACTGGTAGTCCCAAGGATATGGCAAAGCTATAAGGACGACTTAATTAAGGCTTATGGAGAAAGCCTGGTTCAAAATTGATGTATTCAACACTTAGCCATACTGTTTCATTCCTCTCCAACAGGAAGACTCAAAGCTTCGGCGCGCTCCCTTCCTTCTCTATTTTAAACACCTTATCAGGATTCAAGACCCCCTTCGGATCTAACGCACTCTTGATACTTCTCATCATAGTCACACCATCATCCCCTACCTCTTCCGCTAACGCTTCCCTCAACTTAAGCCCAATGCCATGCTCTCCCGTGACTGTTCCTTCTAGGCTTAGCGCTAGCCTGGTTATCTTCATGATCACACTCATCGCAACCTCGTAGTGCTCCTGTGGACACACAATGCTAGAGTGAACATTGCCATCACCGATGTGGCCCACGTTGGCACAGAACCAAGATGCTTGATGGGCAGCTGAAGCCTGGGCGATAAGATCCTGTGTTCCAGCGACGAGGTTTGCAAGATTGGAAATTGGCACTGCGCAGTCACTATGCAAGAAGATATCTTTCGAGTTCTTCTTCATGGCGAGAAGAGCTGTGCCCATGCATTTGCGCGCTCCCCAAATGATATTCATCTCGTCTTCTTGTTGCGTGATCTCGACACTAGACGCGCCTTGGGTTTTACACAGCTCTTTCATCGTTGAAATTTGCTCTTGTACGATGTGCATTGATGGACCTGCAACCTTGAAGAATAGTGTTGGCACCTCTCTGAATGTCCGTTGTGGTGCCAGCCCTGAGACATTGACACTTTGCATCGTTGGTCCGTCGGCCAACTCCAGCGCTTCGAGTCGATGACCCAATTTCTGCAGGGAGACAACGACCTGAACGCCTTCTTGGAATGTACTGAAGTTTGCTAGTCCGACGTGAAGGTTCCGCGGCAGGGGCGAGAGACGCAGCACAACTTCCGTCACCAGCGCAAGCGTTCCTTCTGATCCGATAAGAAGATGCGTGAGATCATATCCAGCGGACGACTTCCGAGGTCGGTTATGCGTTTTTACGACGTTGCCGGAGGGAAGTACGCAAGTGAGAGATATGACATTCTCTTTCATAGTGCCGTAGTGGTAGGCGTTCGTTCCAGAACAGGACATTGCTATCTTCTCTTCGGTTAACAACCCTTCTAGCTCATTTCGGTGAATTTGTAGAAGAACATAGCGTATGAAACAACGACACTAGCACATACCATGCCTCCTATTTTGGCTCCTGGCGCAGGATCTACAGGAAAGAATAATCCCCGTTCTTTCAAATCCTCGTTCAATTCCACCCATCCTAAGCCAGGCTGTACAACAACATCTAAATCATCTTCATGAACTGCGATGATGCTCTTCATGCGCTCGAAGCTTATACACACTCCTCCCTTGGTAGCAGCAAGCGCGCCGCCGAAGCTCGTACCGCCGGAAAAGGGTGTCACGGCTATGCATCTATCATTGCATGCTTTTAGGATGATTGACGTTTCATGCGTAGTATGAGGGAAAAAGACGACTGAAGGCGTGTGGTCCGGGGGCGCGGGCGACCAGTTGGTATTGGCTTTACTATCCCGAATGGTAGGGTCGAGTGTATGCTCGATGTTGTGTCGACTTGCTTCTGAAAGCAGACTGTTGATATTCGCGAGACTATGATTGTAGGTATACATCGCGATAATATCGAAGACAGGATCTGGTCAGCTGGGCGATGCGCGAAGGTGACGGTGTTGCCGAGGCGGAATCACGGGTTCGGAATACATTCCGCCCACAGCGACCGCTCATCGCAGCACGTTCGTACAACAAGCCTCGCAGATGGTAATTAAGCCATACTCACAATGGCGACTTATTTCGAGTTGATTGAGTACACTACCACCAGATGATGTCATAGTAGGAAAGGAGTTTTGGCGGCTAAAGTGGCTTTTGGCCCCCACGGTTAGTCACCCAGGCAGCCGAATAATCTCGTCCCCGTTCGAAGGACGGACTTTTGGCCTCAGACACCCATCATCTGAACACCGGTTCGCAAGCCACATCATCGCTTATTCGCTACACAGCGCCTATTGCCTTCCCGTTGGGCGAGTCACGGTGAAGGGTGCGACCTTTAACGATGGCTTGGATAAAACACGTTTCCTTGCGCCGCGTTCTCCCTCCGTCTCAGCCTTACTACTGATGCGCTTCAACGAGTCTTTTGTCACTAAATCGTCGTCCCTGTGCATTCTACGGCATCATGTCTGCGCCGGACTGGTCAACGCAGAGCATATTGAAAAAGACTTTCGTTCGACCATTTCAGCTACAGAAGTTAAGGCGCAGGAGCACCGCGCCCACTAGCCCACCGGCAACACCCGACCAGGATGACCCACTGGGGGCGCTACCCCTACTACAGTATGCCTCCCTAGATCCAACAAAGAAATGTGTCAGGCTTCTGGAGATCTTGCCAGCACCAGATCACGAACCTATACAGGCAACTCTATCACTTTCCGACCTGGACGACAAACCTGCCTTTATCGCGCTTTCCTACACGTGGGACCCAAAAGATGGCGAGAAGAAATATATCAACATCCAAGGATCCAGATTTCCTGTAGGAATGGGTTTGTGGAACTTCATACAGCAGTACCGTAGGAAGCAGTATCTCCGACAGTGTTGTGAGAAAGATCCACCGACGGCCCTACCCTTATGGATCGATGCCATAGCAATTGACCAAGATAACATACCGGAACGTAACCACCAAGTTTCCCTCATGCGGGATGTATACACTGGAGCGAAGTCTGTTATCGTATGGCTCGGCCTTCCCCGGGGATCTGAAGAGTTGGCTTTCATGCTTGCGCGCCATCCAGATCTTCTCAGAGTCGAAGAGTTCCATACTGCTTTGGCAGATGTGCTCAATAAGCCCTACTGGAGCCGCGTCTGGGTCGTTCAGGAGTTCGTTTTGGCACAGTCTGTCGACATCTGGTGTGGCGACCTCCAGGTAGATGCTGCGACTGTCGAAACCATCTGGCGCAATGGCCTAACATCAACGCCAGTGGCCTCTCCGACAAATCTGATCTATACAAGTCGTGGCTACAAACTGTTCAAACACCGGAAGGACTTCAAACGCACGAAGAACTACAGGAGAGACGTGCTGGGTCGCCGCAACAGCAAGACTTTGAAATCGACGTTTCGCCTGCGCGATCTCCTACAAGACTTTGCAACCTCGGAAAGCTCTGTAGTGTATGATAGGGTCTACGGATTTCTGGGAGTGGCATCTACTGGTCGCGGGGGGAAGATCGTGCCGGACTATAACAAGCAACCCGTCGAGCTTCTGGTCGATGTTCTTCGCAACCAATGCCACGAAGATGTCAGAAGAGGAGATTCGGATGACTATCGTTTCTTGGCCTTTCTCATGCAAGCGCTATCTGTCTCACGCGAGACTCTCGCACAGCACATCCTGAACCTGTGTCCAGATCTCCAGCCACATCTCTATATCATGGCTGCCACGCCCTGTATCACAGCATCCATTTCGTTCATCAGTGCAATCACTGATATTGGTGAATTTGTAGATCATGACGAGGCTTTCCAGCCCGGATCTTGGAAGGCGGGAGGCTGGACAACGATCAGATCGAACATGCATCCAAGATCCTTCTCACCACAAGATATTCAAGATCTTGGGGAGTATGTTCTCAGAGAAGGGACGCCACAACTACTCAGCTTCGCCGACCCTCATGTAGCCTATGGTAACCCTGGTCCAACGGAGAAAGTACGACAAGCGATGATCGAAGCTTCCGCGGATCGGGTGATCGACGGTCTCTCCCGAGCGGTTGAGGAGCCAGGGCGGGCGGCCACTACCAGTCCACGGCCTGGCGATGGTGGTAATAAAGTTGTACGCAACATCATCTCCCGAAGTATAACAGATGACGCTGCGGCACTATACATGAATGCCAGGACTAAGCTGGCCCGGCGAAACACCGACCAGCGACACGCACGCTACACATCCTTTGTAGGCACGAACGGCATCACTGGACTTGCTTGCGGAGGTGGCCCGGGATCATATGAGATAGGACCAAATGACTGGATCTGCGTGTTCTCCGGCGTTACCGACACGAACAACGCCTTCATCCTCCGCTTCGATCCTGAAGGAAGATGGCTGATATCTGGCTTCGCAGTCATACTTTTACCAGAGCTGCGCACGCCTTCGGTGCTGCGGACAGGTACTGGGGCCACGACGACGAGCAATTTTAGCACGAGCGCGTTGAGTCGGAAGCAGACATTGCGCGACGATATGGTCATGTGCTTCCATTGCCATTTGAGCGATCTCATTGAGCTGCAGCGCTGTCAGTTGCTAAGTGATGTTCAAATGAGCTTTTTGATGGAGCAGACTTTGAGAGGGGAAGCGGAGGGGAAGACTCATCGGTGTGATCAAGGCACCAGTGATTACGTCATTCTGGAGTTCGGTCTGTGACGATCGAGGTCACTTTGTGTGAAGTGAGACTTTACTCATCGAAGACCTTCACAACTAGGCTACTTTGCTCTATCCGGCGAGGTTGCGGCTGTGTCGAATGCTTGGCGCTCACAATGACACCGGTACTAAGTGCCGCAGCCAATTGGTCGGTTCAACACCTTACTAAGCTGTGAGCACAATCTGCAGAAGTGCCATTGTCTGTCGTTAACAACATATGGAGCAAATCTTCATCGATTTCATTCATTTATGTACATAGTCACCGAACTCTCATGTGATACGTCACACTGCTCCGAGCAGAGTGTCGACAGGCATATCTTGAAACTCCTACCTTGAGCCTGGGAACAACAGCGAATTCTTCACATGCGCAAGAATTATTGCTGGAGCGCATGACATCTTGGTAATAACGATTGCACATAATAGAGCGTATAGCGGATACTTTGACTGGTCAAGATCCACAGCCTTGTCTGCTGATGCGTGCACTCAGCCTTGGGCATGACGCTTACTCCAGGCTATGCCACCAATGCCAGCCTGCATTTAAAAGCCATGTTATCGAAAGCAGGCCGCATATGGGCAGAGTTCTAGCCCTATTGTCACCCCAGTTATGATATTCTCGTCCGAGGACGATAAGCGGCTGGAAATTTCCACGCGGCTTAAATCACTACCTAAAGCCTATGTGTTGAAAGCGGCATTTCCAAATTTGCATTCCCCTCTATCTTCAGATCCCACAATCTAGGGGCTTAGCATTGTTCTTCTCTTAGGTCCGACCCGCACAATCTACGAGTTACGTTCTTCAGCTCGAGAGTAGAATTCGAGATAGCGACCAATAGTTTGCGTACAAAGAATGTTGCAACTCGACTCTATACACCATGGCGAGCTGTCCTAATGACCTCACCTTCGCACGAAACGGAATAGCGGAGTGCGCCCATGTCCAAGAACTATGCGAATATACTCGCTGCTCAGATGGTAACTGGTCCTATTGTTATGGTATAGATGGGGTTGAAGGCTACCACACGGGGTTCTAAAACGTCACGTTGAACACCGCATGTGATACCAACTGTCCCATGGCATGGGAAGCTGGCTACCCTGTTGTTTGGATATGTGACCCACTCAGTTCACCAATGTATGTCACACATATTGAGTATTCTCCCCTGAAATATGGCATTAGAAGAGCGTCTGACCGTACAACCGGAGGATCTGGGCTATACTAACAGGAACAATAGGCGTTGTGATGACACTGGCAAGGTGGTGGCCTGTAGACCTCTCTGCGAATGTTATGATGTCTCACACCTCGCCGCCATATTGACACCACTCTCGATACTGACCTCTGTTGCGTCCACCGCCTCCTCAACCCCAACTTCCCGATCGACGAGCCCGCTGGGTACTAGCATGACGACTACTTCTCAAACACACCATGCAACGCAAGGAACCATCATACCTCCCTCTTCCTCTAGCCTCCCTCTAGCGATTTATCCACAGGCGCGAAAGTAGGCATAGACGTCGGCGTAGTTGTCGGCGGAGCAGCAATCTTTGACCTCGTATTCTGGCTTGCCTAGGTTTCACGTAAAAGACGTATGAAAACGGCCAAGCTTCCTCCAGGAGCGGATACTGGGCAACCTGAGTAGAAGGATTCCATCCATGGCACACATGGATCCAACCCAGGGGCTGCTACAAGTCTTGAAGAGCCTGTAAGATTGACAGGTGGATAGGGGCCAGTTGGTAGACATGTGTCTGTGTAAGCTGGTTTTAGATGCGGATGTCGATAGTGACATACGCTAGCATATAAGAACGCTACGTTCTGATAGCTGTTTTGGTACAGGTCACTGGGAACAGGATCAGGCTGCATTAGTATGATGGGAGGTTGCAGATGTTCACTGCAGGTTGACTGTGATCGAAACCATAAACTCATTTTGAGGTATCGCAAAGAACACGACACATGAACGAAGCTCGAGATGGCTTGCAGCGCGAAGATCCGATCTACTTCGTTGAAATACATCTTGCTAGTCTTCAAAATGTCTGGGACAGGCTTGAGGGCGTGCCACGCCTGTTTTTTCCATATCTCATATCTGGAACATCCTGTATTGGCTTTTCTTGCTCCATTCTACCATCGCATTATGCCGAACATGCGACGATGCGTAACAGGGCAGTTACCACGCCTTTCCATCCACTCCGACGTTCACCTTCGCCCTGCTCATTAAACCCCTCAACTTCTCCGTCTCTTTACTGTCAAGGAATTCTAACACCCTCTCGATTTTCCCCTGATCATCAATATCAAGCATGAATATATATTCTCCCGTGTATCTCCACACCTCGTCTTCCTCCCCACATTTTGCTTCTTCTTTGAAATGTGGTATGCCGGTCGCCCATATAGTGATCTGTCCGCCTGTAGGTGTTAGATGGATATGTGTCTCTTTCGCAGTGACAGGGAATGCAGCCAGAACAGGCTTTATGTTGTTGGTCAGGTGGGATGCAAATTGTTCGTTGCTCTTGGTTGGCACACCGAGGGAGCTTGGGGCAAAGATGTGTATACAAGTATCCGCGCGCAGGGCGAGATGTGCTTCTGCTGAGAGTTTGTCGAAAGCGTCAAGAAATAACGTTGCGATTCGGCAGAGATTGTCTTTTGTGAGGGGCATCGTGCTGTAGGGTGATAAATTACAGGATATAATGGAGTTGCCAGATGATTTTGGTACCCAATCCAGTCGTACTTTCTTTATGTTTGTTACGTTGCCAAACGTTCTTGAGCAACGCACGTTGTATACCTTACCGGAGCTACTGTCAAAGTCCGGCGTATCTCCGATAGTTGCCCTGATCTGCAGCGCGCGGATGAGACATTGCAGCAGTGGGGCGTCGCTTCGTGCGGCGGTGTCACCAAGCACCTGCCAATGATGAGTCGGGCGCGGTGCATCGGATCTTTTGACGTGCTGCATTCCGAGCAAGAGTTTTATCGCCATGTCGTTCTCTGCTGACGACGCTTTTCTTGATCCTCTGCGCTTTGCGTCCTGCCCATTCCACCCAAGCCGACTCCGTTGTTGGCGATCGCGTGTTCCACATCATTGCGTGCGCTTTTGGGCCGGCGCCTTGAATGTTCAGAGCTCAGTATATCAGCGCTTCAACTGTGCGGAGTCTCCCACATACAACATGAACGGCAGCTGCCTATGTTTTCTCAGCACAGAGACGCTATGCCGAAGATAGAGATGAAGAGGTTGTCATTAGTGTGTACATGTGTTTGCAAGAACACATCGCTAGTAGCTCTGTGGCAGACCGCTCTGACACCTACATAAGATCGGCTGCACTACAGCTAGGTATGGCTCCAATCCCATGAGCTGAAAGTGAAAGCTAAACTAACCTGGACAAATAATATGTAGAAGAACGTCAAACAGCGTAAAGTGACATGATGTCGGAAGGAAGACCATATGCAATACACTATAGGGCTTACAGAGCGCTATTTTGCTTCTATAGAAAATGCCTCTTGATACGCAATTGCAAACGCATACTACTAAGTCAGTAGTAGCTTGCTATCTGCGAGTAAGGGTACAGTCATAGGCTATCTGTTGATGTATGCAGAGTGATTCAGTACATTTCTTACATTGCCATAATGGCCAATACCTGGGTCCTTCTGCTAAGTAATGGTATTCTTGGGGGTCTATATCAAGTCTCTTATGCTCACGAAGAAAAGCTGGATACGCAGAAATAATGCTTTGTTGACTTCGGTTGTTCGGCGGGTGCCTAAGCAGCGCCTGTCTTCTCGTTGTTGCACTTCGTGGATACGCAACCGTTAGCGTATCCACATCCACTGTAGGTCCCCGATCCGGGTTTGATACAATAATGGCTGATATCCACCCTGCCATCACCCTTGGTCGTGCTGCTCATGCCATCGCTCTTGCGAGTCGTCTCTATCTTGGTTGACAGTCCGTAAATCCAAAAAGTGTCGTTACCCAGAACGAGGGTCTGCTCTAGGAACGTAACGTTCGTGTCTATCGCACCAAATCAGCCACTTGCAATGATTTTCACAGACGTGGATGTCCGTAAGAGAGAAGAATCAAGATGACTTACAGTCCCATCCATACTTCAATCCCGTGCTACACTCATCCGTCTCGGCAGGCGCACTGGTGCCTTGCGGCACGAAACTGTAGTGACACTTTCCCTCGATGGCATTGGTGATTGATGAATGGAAAGTAGCGTTGAAGTCGCGGATGCTGTAGCCTGGGCGACCGGACTGTGCAGAAATGCTCACGTCCCAGTATGTGTCCGTAAGATCGGGGCGGTCGTATTCGCTCTCTGCGACTGTTACAGCGGCCGAGCCGGCGAGCGCAAGCGCGAGGAAGGGGAAACGCATAGTCAATTGATTTAGGTTGTTGTGACTGAGGTGTGTTGAAATGCGCACGGGGCGGACCGTCTTATTTCTACAGCTGCACGGAAAAACACCTCTAGGCACCAGTGAGCTATACGAGCATGCCCCAGATAAACGGTACGCCTTACAGAAATCCTTTCGTGAACGGGCCGTGAGTGGGTCTCCCCGTCCTCGGTTCCTGAGGCTTGCTACACCTGATTGGTCGTGTAGACGGACCTGCATCTCCGACCTTCCGCATTCGGACATTTTAAAGTCGAGACCCTTTCAAGGTAAATTTGATGTGTATTTATATCGTGATGCTTAAGATGCGGTGAGTTTTCATGAATGTTGTTGTCAACGGGATATGGCAGTAGTATTTCACATGTATCTGAGTACTTGTATGTTCTCAATGCATCTCTCAATGGCACAGCAACCTGCAAAGAAGGGCCGGAGCTACCACCGTTCCAGCTCTGCCATGTCTTCGCATCTCCACAATCCTCCAATAGGTCCATATCCATCCACACAAGGTACCTTCGTAGAACAGCCTGATCATAGGAAGTTCGTCTAGGTGGGCCAAATCACGTTGTGAGCATCTTTCAAGCTGCCGCGCAGCTGCCGCTTACGCAAGTGTTCGGCTTCTGACATGGCGTCGAGGCATCACAGGTCCATCCAGTGCATCTGTAGATTCAAGTCAGTTTCCCATGACTCATCGCACACGTAAAGATCGCTCACCCCCAGTTGCACTGCGCGCTGCTGCAAACGCCATCGGGGCTCAAGCATGTCAAGCCAGAGTTGCAATCTGTCGCATTACTGCATTTCGCACCTACAGCGCCGGTGGTCGGAGCTGCACAGGCGCCGCTCACACACGTGTTTGGTTTCTGGCACGGCGACGAAGTACTACAGGTCCATCCGGTACATCTGAAAACTTCGGTCAGTGGAGTTCAAAAGCCAAAGGAGGAAAGTTCTTACCCCCAATTACAAGCGGCTGTGCTGCAGATACCATCAGGTGCTAAGCATGTCATGCCAGAGTTACAGTTCGTCGAATCACTGCACTTCGCACCTTCGCCACCGCCAGATGGAGAGGCAGACGGTTTCGGTGAAGCAGAAGTCTGCATTTTTGTAGGAGCAGGTGTCGTTGGTGCTGCTCCAGCTTTTGTCGGCCATACGGCTCCATCCGCAGCATACTTCGTGTTGACGCGACCTGTAAGCTGCCACTCCACACCCTTGATGACGTCGTTTTTGTTACCGTTAGGGTTCCCGTGGATGTTCGAGAAGGCGTCGATCATTATGTCGATAGATCCCGGCGACTGATGAATCATGTTACTAAGTGATCTGGAGGAATAGTACTCCAAGAGGTGACTCACAAGAACGTATTTATCATCGAATGCGTCTCCAATGTACATAAGCATTTGCTTGCCAGTCTTGGGATCCTTAACAGTCGCCTCTAGACCACAGTACTTTTGCGTTGCTGCCTTCCAACCCGCTGGGTCAGAATTGTAGGTCTTGCCGCCCATCGCCTTGAGGGACTGAGCATCGCTCTCATTAGTGACCATTCCAGAGATCTCGAAAAGTATTGGTACCTACCACAGCAAAGACAGGATCGCTGTTATAGTACGTGTACGCACACCAACTCTTGCCGTTTGTCGAATCTTGGCCAGCAGAGGCACGGTACCATGATCCGATACCGCTCTGGGGACCATCGAAGAAGTTCGAGGGAAGATTGACATTGTGGATGTCTGCGAGCGCGGACCCGATGAGAGCCACAAGAGCGATGGGATAAGCAGGTGATGGCATGTTGGATTCGCTTGAAACTTTTTGTTGAAGCTTGTGAATGTTGATAATTCTGTCTACAGCGCTCCAGCCTGTCTTTATACAACTCAGACGTCGAAGTGACTATTCCCGCAGTGACATCGATATTCTGTACCTTCTCCTGGTGCTCGATCGATGTAGGCACTAAGTGAGCATCAGAGGTGCACCAAGCTACACGAGGCTTAAGCTGAAGCTTGAACATCGGAGGTCACTGCATAGTAGTCCTGCAATTGCAGCCTAACTCGATTCATAACGGAATGAAGAGTCCGTACTAGCGGGCAATCGATAGAACGGATGTTAGACTAGGCGTCCTGTGTATTTGCTTACAGTGGCATCCAAACATACAGCGGCAATGACGATCAAACAATCGAGACGCATCTGTTTCCCTTTCCGGGCCTAGCCGGGGCTATTTGAAGCCCCGACACCGAATTCATGCGCTAGAAATGCATGCCGTACATGGTTCAACCTTCTGTCGGATCACCACAAGGAATAAACAATCTTCCATAATTTCCTTGCTAACACAGTACGTATACACATGTGCCGAGGCATGGCTACGGAATTGTGGGTTGAAGCGTGCCTCACGCGGCTTCTTGCAGTAGATCAAACCTTCACTTGTCCAAATCGGGCCGAACCGGACGTTAGTAGTCGGACACTCCGAGATCGTGATCAACAAGACCCGAGTTCGGGAATACGAGCAACTTCAATTGGATGACTTCATTTTTGATGAAACATGGGGAGCTTGCTACTACAGCCACAACCTACGTGCGAAGAGAGACAGCTGCATGGTATGGAAATGTCGCTGAGCTCATGAATATCTGCGAAAGACCCGAAAGACTCAGCATCAAAAGCCTCTAATGTTTCTTGATAGGAATATGCGAATATACACGAACGACTCATTTGTCTAAGAGTCTGAGGTGGTTAAAACCAAACTCGCCTCTTGAATCTAGCGCAGAAAAGTGGTGTGACGTGAAAAGCGGTAAACCCTCAGGGTTCATTAGGTCAATGGACTAAAGATGAGTATGCAGGACCGACACAGTTTGCTGCCCTTTCAAGCAAGTATCAGTGCATAGTGAATATTGAAAATACTACAGCGGTGACAGATGAAGCTCTTCATCTCTTTGGCGGCTGTCGATTATGGCACTTCCACGAATTTAATCGGAGTCAGAAAGTAGAATTGCAATGAAAATCAGAGAGCTACGTGCTTCCGCTTGTTCACGTAAAGGCATGATGATGAAAGACCGCTCCAACATCAGCGTCCGCAAAACCGGGGCAGTCATGGTCGTGCAAGAGGCAATGTTACCACCCCAATCTATTCTAAGGATACAGTCGGATAAGCTGCTCTAATACCTGACAGGCCAGTCCATGACAGCTGCACGGACGTACTTAGGCTCATGACTGACGCGTCATGTCGAAGTTGTACGCTTCGGGCCATGGTATGATAGTGCGATGTCATAGTATGGTAGTGGCGATCAACGAACTCAGCAAGAGGCTGTGTACAGGCGACGTACGCGAGATTGACACCGGGCCGCTTGACGCCAATTGATGTGGCAGAGAGCGAGAGCTGCTCTGGTGCCTGAGCAGTTGATCGGACCGAACATTACGATGAAGCATCATCAGACGCGAGGCATAAGAAACAGGATGTGAATATGCTTGATATGATCCAACGAGATGGGTCATTTAAAGGAGAGCCTCGTCAGAGAAGGAGCGATATCTTCTCCCCTCGTTCATTTCCCAACTATCAAACTCTGTGGGATCTCCAATCTTATCTCTGGAGCTGTTATTCCTACATCACGATGATATACTCAGGCAGAAGTTCATCGGATAGTGACACCGCGACAGGCACCTCAGTCACGACACATAACACATCCTCAGCTGCTGCGTATCCAGATGCATGCTCTGCGAAATCGACAATACTAGTCACCACAAAGATAACGACGGAAGGTTCAATTTGCGAATGTAAGGCGTATGGCATATCAATACATCGATTTTGTACTTATCGCTAGTAGTGAACTCTGAAGAATCTACTCCAAACTCGAAGAAGGCGGAAGATTATTCGACAAATGAGCAGCTGCAAAAGAGAGAGGAGTCAAGGGCGGTGTATTTTTCTCTTCGTAGCTAGTCGGAATCAAGATATCGCTCGGCTTTCTTAGTTACCGTAGTAATCTGTATGCATGAAACCTTTTGGGGATATTGCAGTGATGAGCTGTGCTTCGATAAACTGTGGATCTCGCAAGCTTAGGTTTAGGAAGCTGACACCTTATTTTACACGACGGCATTCACGAAGGCCAGATATCAAGAATCATGTTCTGAGGTAAGGTTGAGCAAGGGATCATTCCTGCAAACCCCTCTAAAGCATGTGCGTACATGCTCAGAACCTTGCAGTTGAGGACTTGGAGAAGGTCCGTAACGCTCCCGAGTGATATTTAACCGTAGGCAGTAGTTGTGTTAACAACACTCTGTCTGCTATACTCACATGAATGTCTTCTTCATTAATCCTCTTGATTTAGAAGTTGGCGCTTTGACTACGTGACATGAGAAATTGACAAACGCTTTTCCTGCTTGTAAGACCGCGTCCTAACTACAGTAACGTAGTTCGGCTAGGGATCTGCCTCAGCTAAAGGATGCAATCGGTCCTTTATCGGGGTCTCGTATATCTGTAAGACGATTGCTGGAAGGCGTTGCGAAAGTATAAATAAGACCCATAAGTCAATGTTCTCAAGCTCACCAACGCCTCTACCATTCGATACGGCTGCTCCGCTCAATCCATCGGTCAGACACACATCTGGGTGCCATCTTACAGTAAGCCAAAGCGATAGCTTGGTTACAACTTATACTGATACGCGCGCTAGCATATTCAACATGGTCAAATCACTCCTCCTGGCCATCTGCGCCACGAGCGGTGCCCACGCCCTCTGGCTCGCTGCCGTAAACATGGATTATGGCTCAGCTGTCGGCACCGCGATATTCAGTTCCCCGTACTGCCAAGTTGGGAAGGGCAACACTGAAGCAGAAGCCCTCTCCAAAGCCAGCAATACTGTAGGTGGCACTGCGATCATTGCTGGTGGTCATTGCGATCAGCTTCCGTATCAACATACCAACCAGCTTGGCGGATTCTGGGACGACTACGGAACAATCAACTATGAGGATGACAACTGGCATTGGTATTGCAATCCTGGACACACAAACAGGAATTCATGTGACGCTGGAAATGGAGCACCGAAGAAGAAGAGAGCCGTGAAGCTCGTTGCTTAGCTTCCAGGTGGCGCTAAGTATTGCATCGGGGATTGGTTGAGGGGCTTGAAAACGACAGAAAAGGCTAGGGACTATGTATACTTGTACCATGGAGATTCTCTGGTCAACTCTATGTGAACTTTGCTGTCCAATACAGCAGTTGTGTAGTCGGCCATTCTATTACTTGTCGTTATGGACCATGGAAGCCTGTGTTGTCAAGCCGTGAATTGCATCGTGCTAATATGATTACGTGTTTTGTTTGCAATCATTACGCTTTGAGCCTGCTTGGACCCAGGAATGAATCAAACGTTTTCGACGACTTGGCCGTGGTTGTTGAACGGCCGTGTACGGCATACTGCCCTCTGGACATGGCGTGCTCTAATGCGATACCACCTGGTATCAGCGCGCTTCTTTCCCGATGATCCGCGTGTTTCCGGATGTCTCAGTGCACACTGGCATCACGAAGAACTAAACGTGCCGCCTGCGCTACGCTCAAAGCGTAATTTCGAGTGCCAGCTGGCATTCGATTTTTCATTTCGAGTTTAGGGTATGTATACCCCTGCCACATCTTCAACTAATGCAATGCGGCGCCTTCGCTCGTGGCTGGCGTCAAGATACTCACCCAGTTATGGACGCATAGTGCACTTGCTCGACTTCATCATTGGCGATCATAGGTTTTGCGACTTTGCGTACGCCGCAGCGCTTGGGGCTCACCTCGCTCTCGATTTAGCGGATCGATTCCGGGATATGTAGCACGTGGTAATTCTGGCAGCGTGAAGAAGAACAAGATAATGTCTCGCTAAAGGCGTTTGATTTTTCCCGTATGGTCGTTCGAAACATGCATGTTTCAATGAGAGGACACGGACAGGCAAGATGGGTCTCACGTGGGGGCGGATTGGGGATTAGCAGCAACTGTGGGCGGGCGCGGCTGTGGGCACGTTGAGGCTGTGAAATGCAGCCGGGGAGTTTTGGCAGGCGGGGAAAGCAAGCCTAAGGCATTCTAGTGGTGCCTGCCTAAATGACCCACCGTGTACCATGCAGGTTCCCACCCTCAAGATTCTCATCGGAATTCAGAAACTCCCTGACAAATCTGTCGCCGTTGTTGCCGAAACCCTGGGTCATGGCGCACTTATTCGAAGTACAAATCCGCCGTTCCCGTCGTAAGCCACGGCCAAGCGAGCCTGTTCCCTTGTCCCCGCAGCTATGAAGAAGCGGTGGAGCCATCGCTTTGGAGCCACTGATGTTTTGGCAAGAAGATGCAGCTGGCATCATTGTATTGGGTGTTTGTGAAGTCAAACACCGATTCTGGTCTATTCTCAAAGGCTTCATGTTTGTAGCGCTATCTTCATCTTTCGGTAGTCGCCTGCTGAATTAAACCCTCGACGTTGCGCATGAGAAGGCATTGGCGTAGCCATGCGCCAGAGTGAGATGCAGGGCAGAAGTCTTCTCATGCCGCATGTGCAAAGAAGGGATTCAACCTTGAGCAAACTTCTCTTACCCTGAAGCCAGAGACGAGTCAACGGATCGCGTGAAGTACGCTCACACCTGGGACTGTACCTCGGTCGGCTAGCGTGTTCCATCTATCCACCAGCTTGTCTTCCAGTCTGCACATAGCTCCAGGCTGCAAAACGAATGAAAGCAAAAGATCATCCCTCACCTGGCCATCGCTAACACTGGTATTGTTCCTGGCGATGAGGATGGTTTTCCAGTCTTTTTGGCGAAGAAAATTGAACAATTACGTTGGAGACGGCATCTTAGACGAACGCGTGGCGCGTGTCAAAGACTCATCCGAGGAGATCAATTGTCGTGGAGAGAGCAAGTCTTCCTCTTGCGACATTCTCCAGAGCCGGCAACTGGGCCATTTTGTTGCTTGTGAGTGGTACAATAGCATCGAGTATAGATGTCTTCAGACGATGCAGCCAAGGCACTGGCAAGATGCAGAGTACCCTCGAGCATGTCATGCGACCTGCACCACTCTTCAATACAAATGATCTGGTGGCTGTGCAAAGGGTAAGCGCTGCCGACCCGCTTCGGCGCTTTCCTACAGATTTCGCTTTCATGAAACGAAGTTCCGGCGCATCAACGAGCCGGCATCCCAAGCAAATTGGAGCTCACGTCCTCGTAGCAAAGCGGGCGTAGATGTGGTCAAAGCAGATATGCAGCAGAGTTAACCGTTTATTTCGCTGACATGTCCAATCAGCATCGGTCTTCACGGCCCCTACAACGGTTGCATTCTCCACTAGTCTTTGAGTAGCCATGAAGGCCGCCAACAAGTAATGTGCAATGACATGAGACCATTTCACTACCCCAGCCCATCCCTCTCACTCAGCCCGCCGGACAATTTTGCGGCTGACCCACCACGTCTACCGCCTGCTCAACAAAATCGCTTGCCTCACCTCCGGCGCTGCTCAAGTGACTAGCTGGGCCCTGAGCAGCAAAGAGACAATATAATGTCCGTCGATCAGCAGGTGTGCTCGATGGTTTCATGCCGCTCCTGTAGTGGTTGATCAAGTCTCATGCCCTCATCTTCTTTACGCCTTGGGCGGTGGTTTGAATTGGAAGACCTGCTTGGTAAGATTACGCAAGTCAGACGCAGCGGTGGTAGACCTCAGGGTCTTCGAGGAGATGGTCTACAACAGGCGTAGCGGGCCCCCAGTGCTTGGCAAAGCGGCAGTGGAACGCACGATGAGTGTTGATGCGGTTCGATGAGATCGGTGTGCCAAGAATGTGCTCGCAGTTGTATCTCGCACAGACTTCAGGGCACGAGGTACGCATCCAACTATGCTCCTACACCGTCTCTCTGCATCCACAATTCACTTGCGCAGGTGCAATTGGAAACAGAAGGTCTATCGCTGCAAGGGCCAAAGATGACATCTTGAAGCTGCAGACCGCACTGCGATAGAATACAGTTCCTATCCCGGACCGCTGTCAATAACGAGGTACTGTTGGTCTATATGGTGATGAGAGTGGCGCTCCATCGCCAGTTTCAAGGTGGGTTCGCGTTCCACTATCTGCTTCATTACCAGTATTCATGATGCGTTACGTCTTATACTGCAATGTGGCACAAAGACCCATGTACTGCTGCATGACCGAGTACACGCTAGTCGACTTGGCGGGAAGGACGAGTGCTGAGTGTATCCGGCAAGCGATGGAGCCAAGGTGATCTGCATGCAGGTACGGCAATCTAGCGTGACCTTGGTAGCGTCAGTGCGTATATCTCTAGCGGCTTGCTGCCGCTGGCTGATGTGCCGAGGGACACGAGCTACACCTACAGCATCGCAACTCGTGATCTCGACTATAGCATCCTGTAGCTTAGTCTAAACCTATCAATCCGCATGCGGGTTTCTTTTGCCGCGAAAACTCGAGAACTTGCAGGTTCCCAAGACCTGATTCATCTCCCAGACTTTCGCTACACGTATAAAGGCCTTGTGCGACCTCGAATGTGACGTTTTCGCAGACAACCTAGATCTTACCTAGGTACGTATGATTATTGTCCTCCAATTCGATTAGTTCAAGGCTCGTTTGCTCTTATCCCGTCATTGAAGCTCTTCAACGCTCTACACCTATCGCTCCTACGTCTATTTCCTTGAACTGCACTTCCATCCAATCCTCAGCGTTGACGGACTATATGTCCCTTGCATCATGTCGTCTCAGCCAACTCTACGCAGGCGTCAAACTACGACCTTACTTGTCGTTAACTGTGCGTTTGCCGAAGATTGCCAATGCTCCAAGACAGGATACAAGAAGAAAGGCAATCTCAAAAACCACCTGGAGAAGATGCATCCTACAGCACTCGGCTTGGTAGCATCTGCACCTCACTGCTACGCTTGCTGTCACTCCTTCGCCAGCAAGAGTCTACTGATTGACCACATCATGAACATGCATGTACATGCATGTGTGCTGTCCTCTCCAACACCTACTGTCGGATCTCGCCGCCTACCAGCCGCATCAAGTCTCTCATCGCACGAGGATAATAGAGTTGGACTATCGCCTTCAGTAAGGACGCCTCAAAGCCAAGTCGTTAGCTTACTCAACCCAACGACGATTGATCGAGAAGGACATGCTGGTACTCTTCACGACGAACGAAACTTGACCTACCCGGAATTTGCTTACACACACGCGGATGATACGGGTGTTTACACGCATCCGATAGCACAAAGATGTCTCCTCCCAACGCCAATGGACGTCCACCCTATAGTAAACTTCCAAAGCGATGCCGATCAGCGTCACGAAGATGACCAATCCGGACAGGCGGATCATCTTTAGTGGGAACAACTGTATAGCCTTGGCGGTATACCTAGACGTTGATCTCATACAAAACATCGCATTGGTTGGCGACTTGCGATGAACAAAACGAATGTGGCTCGTGATGGTCGGGTCACGTCGAGTTGTACAAAATGTTTTGAACGGGGACGAATCGTACACATTTAGAGCGAGAATGCCTTTACACTTGTCTTTTACTTCCACTTTTCGCTTTTCCACTTCTCTTGTACCTCGCTCTTGCCTGTCTTGCCTATTCTTCCTTATGCCCCTTCGATTGCAACGTGCATGTCCAACCCACAGAAGGTTAGACAAAACACCAATGCACGAGAGCTCCATAGCCATGTGTTACTTCTTGATTGTGACATAACCAGCATCCCTCGTATCCCTCTCATCTATTGCGCCTTCTTCGCCTTTGCCTGTCCACCCCTGAAGCCCATACCATATACGTACACCAGACTGCCACCCAAGTACGCCGCGAACATGGTAGCCGGCAGGGCAATGACACTGCTGATCAAGATATTTGTGTCACTCGGCACCATGCCGGGGTTGCTCCTGCGCGTCCACCAGTTGAAGGCCGCACCAATCACCGTTACGTCGTTGATGACAGCGTGTAGCGCACCGACCTGTGCCTTCTTCGACTTCAAGCCGTCGCGTTTGACAAGGGGGATGAACTCGTACATGCCGGTGGCGACGGCGGGCGCGGAGAAGATGAGGGTGAGGAGAGTGGTGTAGTAGGATAGGAGGGGGAAAATGGTCGGGTTTATGGCGATGTCTAGGGTTTTGACTAAGTGTTGTTAGCTAAATGACACCATAGGGTGAATTAGGAGTTGAATTGAGGGTAAGAACGTACAGGCCGAGGCCACAGCGCCGGACGTCGGTGCATACTTCGAGAGGAAGTATACCGCATCCAGACCACCCGTGAGTAGGGTGGTTGTGATGGGGAAGTGCACTGTCGCGGGATGTGTTGGGTGGCTCATCTTGAAGTTTGGCGGTGATGAATTGCAATCGCGGTTGATGTGACCGTGCAATGAGGAGGTGGTAGATGTATTATTTCGCGTAGCAGGCCCTCGATTTGGTTGTGCCGCGGCGGAGAGCCGAACGCCTCTTGCCCTGTGCAATGGCCGCAAACATCTTCGGCTTATGCTGTGTCGTCATTGACTCCGGACCTCATTGAGGTGTGCCGCGAAGCGTGGGCAACACGCGACTAGTTCGTGTGGGGCGGGCGGATCTCGGGAAGCCCGTCGTCAGCGCTTTGGTGATGTTGTGATTGGCTGGCGATCAAGGGTTCAAATTCAAGGTACGTTCGGATGTCCGACTCGCAATACGTTCTTAACCCTAATGCTAAGCACTAAGCCTTCGTTTGTCGCTGGCCGACATGTTTGTTTGATATTGCACGTCTGCGCATCGCAGTCGCGTGTCGGTAGTCCGCACCAACCTCGGATCCCAACAGCTCCTAGGCGACATCTTTATTCTTGCACCAAGCGCGTGTGTCCATTCAATCTTTCTTCCATGCTGATTATTGAACATATCTTGTTGCCTTCACATGAGCCCTGACTCCACGCCGACTTCTCGATCAATTCTCAGGGGAGAGAACTTTTCAAGGCAAGCATGCGCTACTTGCAGCGTCTGGACTATAGGTCCATACCGTTATCAACCAGTGCAACATCACCGGTCAGCATTTTGCGGTCACATCTGAGTCTTTCTAAGTACGCTAAGACAATCATATCTGGGGCAAGAATCGTCGTTTGTCATCAAGTCGCAGTGTATTATTTTATACCCTAGAGATATCGACCATCTCTGGTCTCATTGTATTTTGGGTGACCAGGCCGACGCATGCAGCAGGTTGGAAGGGAGATCTAGACGGCAGATCACCTCATGTCTGTCACAACATCTTATGCTGCTTCCTCCGTCGCCGCAGAGCGGGCGCGACGTTCGACCCTCGAAGCCACTGTTCCTTGTTTCGCCTAGGACGACTGCTGTTCGATCGGCATGGCCCACCGCCCTTCACTCTGAAGCTGCGAAATTCATTTTCCGAGCTAGTCAAACACGACAAACTAGTACTTCATACAATCATTTTACCAAGGCTGTGGAAGTAAATCCCGTCTGGCTGTCATCATGATCCGGAGCACATTGGTAGCTAAGCTGTGGGAGCGACCTGGACTACTGGATTCACTGATATCATAGGTGGGTCCTGCCTAAGAGGTCTTGTTGTTGGACTACTGCGGAAGGCGTCTTATACACCTTTCGTATGCGTTCCATGCAATCCCGAATCTGGAAAGCGGCCGGATATCCCAAGGCGGAGTTGAAGCAGTTATCGCAGACGATCTTTTGAGGACTTACCAATCCATTTTGTTGTTATCACTTCTGCGAGTAGACTGTTCTTTATTTTCACAAGCTAGGTAACGCACAGACAGGCCCTTGGCTGATCAATCATCGCGGAACAACCCCGTCATTAGACCGAGAAACAGCCTTCGCGACTTCGGGGCGATTCGCACAAGACGAGGTTTAAAACGTGTCATATGCATGACCAAGTCTGCTTCTGCTATTGGAGGTGCATTCGCAGTACAGCTTGACCACCAACTAACAATTCTGCATCTAAGCACAGAACTTAGGAGCCGTTACATTAGCAATTGTCCTGAATTGGTTTTGCTTTACTCTTTGAGCTTGGTACGAATATATTGATTTGTACCTAAGCCAGGAACACCGAGGCATGTTTCACTCGTGAATAATATCCACATGGCACTGTCTCGTACATGCTTGGCAAAGGTAGTCTTCACCCAGCATATACTCTCTGAATTTCACGTACGTATGAAGCTTCGGGATGACGTTGCAAATAACAGGTCGACTACTTGACAGATTTCTGGGACTGGCTGCTATCCATATGTTTCGGGGCTTTGGACATCATCACACAACGCTCTCAAAGGAAACTCCAATTGACTGTACCTATCACGAAGAACTTTAGAATGGACGCTTTCGAAAAGAAGACTTGCAAGACCGCCCGGGGATACGTCTACACCTACTACACGTTTGAAGGCGTCAGATCTCTTCCGACTCTGTTGTTTCAGCATGACTGGCCCGATCATGCAGAGATGTGGAAGGGTATCGCGGAACGTCTCGTTGATACCAGAACTCCCATCGTCATACTGGATATGCTCTGCTATGATGGTACCGATGAGCCGACTGATCCAGCCGAGTACAGGTGGGACGCAATGACAAAGGATCTCATCGACATCATCGACACCGAACAGGTCGACAAAGTGATCTCATCCGCTATGACTAGGGGTCTGCGTGTGCCGCCCGTCTCTACAACTACTACCCCGACCGTGTCGCTGGTTGCGCGTTTCTCAACGTTCCCTACCACGCGCCGATTCGTCAGCCCTTTGATCTTGATGTGATGATTGAGATGACCGAGCAAGCTTTTGGCTATGGAGTCTTCCATTATTCGTAACTTGTTCTGCTACAATACATCAGAAATTATCAATTCTAATCTTTTTAGGAAACTGTTTGCCGATCCAGATGCTGAGCCATCTCGTTTATCACATCATCTTCATGACTTTGAAGCTCACAAATTTGCGGGTTTAGGCTACTCGTTGGTTGCACGTACTGCCTTCATCCCCTTAGCGACTTTCGGAAGGCTGTCATGAGGCTTCGGCTCTCGGAAGTAGCGATTCCTAAAGATCTTGGGTACATTTTTCCTGCCTTACGATTGTACAAAAATACGTGGGCATCTGGTTGTACAAAAGGTGTGGAGACGACCTGGCCGGAAACACGCTACGCTAGCACCCGAGCTGTACAACGTAGGAAGTAATCAAGACAAGTGATATAAGCAAAAAATTGACAGTATTTTGCGATGCTTGTTGCTGCATTTAACCCAAGGCGCTGTTTTCGTATTGAACATCAAAAAGCTCTTAGGACAATATGATCGGCTGACCGTTGTGGAAATCAGAACAGCGGACACTTCGTACAACGATTCGCCGCACGGAGAACTTATAGCATACCCTACAGAAGCGATCTGCACGACAATCATTCGAGCGACTGGAAGATCTCCGCCACGGACGAAAAGTTGAACTGCAATGACGGATACGGCACTGGTAGCATCCGGCAGCGTTTGCTCGCGTCCGTGTTAGCATCTATTCAACATGTTCGATATAATTCAAATAAGGAAGACATCCCTAGATCCATCAAAAAACATAATTCGTTCAACAGACAAGAATCCGTCCTCGCAGCCCTGCTTAAGCGTCTGTAATGAGTACAGCATCGATCTCGAAGATGGAACGTGATCGAGAGACAGGCATTTCCATACTGGTGATTGGTGCAGGCATCGCAGGCCTGACTTTTGCCATTGAGTCCTACTGGAAGGGCCACACTGTCCGCATTGTCGAGCGTCGTTTGTCTCAGGAGAGCGCAGGTGAGCGACGGGTGCAACTCATCAATTCTACCGGCTAACATGGTGTAGGTGAGATGATCATTATCACAACCTCTGCCCTTCACACGCCGAAGAAGTGACCAGGATTCATGGAGCGCGCCAGAAAGAGAGCAATTCCTCCAACGCTTACAATGAAGAAGTTCAACGGTGATGTCGTAGGAAGCTTCAACCTCGGTGACGAGAAGAACCCATCCATGGCCATCTACCGATCGGAGCTACACAAAGTGCTTCATGAATATGCTTTACTTCTCGGAATCCCGATCGAATTTTCGACAAATGCTGTGGATTATTTCGAGACTGAAGACCATGGCGGAGTAGAACTAGCGGACGGATGCAAGCTAACCGCAGATATCGTGGTGGCTGCGGATGGAGTTGGCTCGAAATCATGGCACCTTGTGGGCGAGAAAACTGCCCCAATAAGCTCTGGATTCATCTTGTACAGGGTCACCTTCCCTGCTGCACCTGCAATGGAGAATCCAATTATCAGAAAGGAGTTTGAGGGTGTTGGCGACCGTGGGATCCTACATGCTGGCCCGGGAGCACACATGGTTACCTGCCTATCAGGTGATAAAATGTGCTGGATGCTGACTTGCAAGGTAATATTTGTCTACTTTCTTTTCCCATGCCGCGCAGATGCTGACACTGATGGCAGGATGATAGCGACAAAGGCGGAGAAAGCTGGTCTCAGTCGACTACGATCGACAAAGCCCTGGAAGCGACTAGTGGCTGGGAGCCATTTATTACCGAAGTCATCAAAGCTACGCCTGGTCATACTGTTCTTGACTGGAAATTGATGTGGCGTGACCCCAAGCCGCGATGGGTATCGCCTATCGGCCGGGTGGTTCAGATAGGAGACTCTGCACACCCATTTCTTTCAACTTCAGCTAGCGGTGGAACTATGGCGATGGAGGACGCATTTTCTCTAGCTGCATGCTTACAAATCGCGGAAAAGAAAGATGCATGCCTCGCAACCAAGGTGCACAATCATCTAAGGTACGTCACCGTTCGCTGTACCCTTCTCCCTCTGTCATTATACGTGTATGAGAAGTGTCAAGACAGAGCTGACATACCTTGACAGATTCGAGCGGGTTTCATCGGCCCAGAAGATGGGTTTCAAGAACCGCGAGGTGTTCCATAATACAGACTGGGATTACGTCGCAAAGAACCCAGAGGCCATGGGCAAGATGGTTGGGGACTGGGTCATATACCACGACCCAGAGCAGTATGCCTACGACTCATATCAAAGTTGCGCAGACCATTTATTGAACGGCGCACCTTCCAAGCACGGGAATTCTGTACCGGGATATGCATACAAGCCCTGGACTGTCAAACAGCTTCTTGAAGCGTTTGATGCAGGTAAGCCTATCTTTGATGAAGGGGTATGGGATTAGATGAAGATGCGAATGTGTGCGCGTAGGTGATGTAGACGGTCGCAGGTCAAGTGCTGTTGTTGACGCGGACATGATAACGATAGATTCGGTGTGATAGCCTGTACATAGCTTTACCAAAGCCGGAATTCCGTGTTCCAACCTTATAAAGGACTAAATAATCTGAAAGTCCTGAAGTTTCAGATGGAAGGCTTTATATGCGACGGGTAGGATTACCGCGATGCCGACGCGTCTGTATTTGCTGTCGTCGACTTGTTCAAGAAGAAGCACCCAGTAGGTGAACTCGGGATGATGCTCTGTATGGTAGACTACGTCATCCTAGTGGATATTAAACTTAGCGCCTAGTGTTTCAACGGAGAATTCTTACAATAAATTCGCGTTTCACAGATGGTCTCGGCACAGCCGTCCCTTTGGGATTGAATTGCTTCCCAAGAAAACACGCGTGACTATATGACGTTATTGAGTCATTGTCAAAGCATGCACTCCCAAGAGTTAATTGATCATAATCATCATCTGAGCCTTGCGTTAGGACATAGGGGCACGTCCTATTGTATCCACCCCATAATTGATAGGGCCAGTGGTGGCTCGGTATCTGGAGATCATGTGCAGTGTACGTGTCTCGCACATATGTTTGGGCGGGCTTGACGGTACTCAAGAATCCTAAGACCTGAAGATGTCCCTGTGAGGTAATTACCAATCCCTTGAGTATTGTCTTGAGAAGGCTTTCAGAACCCTTGCCACCGACAGGAAATGGCCATGCCTTATTACTCCCAGTGGCAGCCCAGCTCCATGACGGCTTGTCAGATAATGCGCCTTGGTTGATATGCGGTTTAGTCTTATACCAAAGCAGCTGTTCCATGAGGCGATCCCGCCAAACACCGTAATCTGGAATATATTGATCCTTTAGAGACCATGGGGTCAGGTCTTCAGCGATTCCTCGGAGAGCTTCAGTACGATCCGACGGGTATGTCAGAGATCTTCTTGTATATTCACTTAACAATCGAAACCAATTTCCCGTCAATTGAAAAGACGAGATGGATCCTCCAGACTCATCTACTGATATTGTCTTGCAAGTCCATGTGATACCACCTGGCATGAATGTAACTAAGCGTCGCGCGAGACAACGCTCTTGAAGTGTCCATGCCCTAGATTCTAGAGGACCATATTCTGGGTGCCAATCCGAATCTTTAGGCCATTGCATCATGTTGAATGTTCCTCTGACTTCAGCCGCTATCCTAAAAGGCAATCTGAAGACCGTTCTGGCTGACCTGTCGTCTATAAACAGTCCTTGGCTAGAATCTGCTGCGCCTGAGGCGGCTATGACGAGAGCTGCATTTCGGTAGACATCTCCCATCTTCGCTGCTTCCGAATGCCAATCTTTGCTGTCGCCTTGGATGATGCATAGAGAGTCGATCCAGATGTGACTTATACCAATAGATTGTGCGACTTCAACAAAGTCCTGGAACGTTCTAGGCAAATCTCCGAATGCGATGCCTTTTTGGAGCCTTTCGAGATTCGCAGATGTTGTGCAAAGTGGCTGGTTTTCGACTGAGCCCCAGCAGTGGCTATCACAATGTTAGTAAGGATGGTAACCTTTCACATGTTTTGTCATGAACTATCATAGCTACAAGTCCACGCGTGAGGAAACACCAGATTTTCTCGACACTTTCTCTTCGGCGGCGGTGACAGGAATAGAACATACTATTTTCATATCAACAATATTTCCACAATAGTGTTGGATGTATCAGCTTACCCTTAAAGCCAGGTAGCGCCCTTTCGACCCACTACTTTTGACCAGCTTGATCGAGGGTCTTGCATGATCTCCCTGGAGCGCAAGAACACGAGTCGGCATTGGCATTTCAGCCTCGAGTGAGCACAATCTGTGATCGCGGCATCGCGTCCGCCAATACTGGATCATGTCGCGTACGTGATGCATAGGTAAGCCGGACACTTGTGGGTAATCAATCAAACTTTTACTTGCAGGGCTTCCTAGATTCTTTCGTCGGCGGTACTCCATGCAACAAGACGCCAGTTCCTTACCTGCATCTGCCCATATTCTGAATTTTGTGCCTTTGATCTCAACTCTACACAATCTTGGTGGCACACTGCTCCACCCTTGCGCTTGGATCACGCTATGAGGTGTATTCGCGACGGCAGGTGTGGTCGGCGAGATCCTTGGAATCACCTCACATAGTCGGCATGACTCCAGTCCGTGACCTGGTACGATTTGGTCAATTCTGTTGAACTGGTCTTCATTCAACCAAGGGTTCCTTAGTACAATGCGTTCGGTTAGCTCCTTGCAGAAGTCGCACAACTCGGTGATATCCTCGATCGTCGTCCCTGCCGTGGTGCAGTCATCTTCGGTATTCATGGTGAAAATAGTGCCGGCCTCACAGCAACTTGCAGTTTGTATGACCTGGGGGCGTACTTGATCCGGATTCAAGCCAGGATGGACGGGCTGTTGCTATCTGCATGGAAAATCCGGACTGATGAGCGGTCATGAAAAGGGGAAGAGATTAGGCAGTAGCATTCATGCTGATTTCAACACATACGCTGAAGCGAGACATGTGGCTTTGTATCAACCAATAGATGGTTGTATTGGTGGCAGGCTGCACCGATGTCATCATGGTGCAGGCAGGATCAGCGCCCCAACGATTATCAGGCCTGATTATGAGCATCGGCTGAACGAAAAGACAAAGCGGGAAGGCCCGCGCCGAACTTGAGATCCCTATGCGGTGACATTGGAGTCATGTAGACTTTGAATGATATTGTTGAGATGACGAGATGTTTACGTGGGGCAACAGCTTCGTGCTCTGCACGGTCTTGGAGATCACAGGGCAGGCTGTAGGAATGGTAAGCGAACCGCAATAGTTCATCAGCTACCCTTTGCATTTTATGACATGTCGTGTTATTCAGATAGACGTGCTAGACTTTGTTTTAAGCAGAATTAATAGGTGATCTTTATTGAATATTTTCGGAATCTCCTCTGATCGGATACCCATCACTATAGTCCATCCCTCTTCAACAATATTTCACCACCACTAACCCCACTCCTACCCACCATACTCTCTTTCAATATCCCCGCCTCATATAACTCCCCAATCAACGAAAACAACATGCCATCACAGCCCTTCGCCGCCATCAAATTTGCCGTAACAGGCAGGTACTCCACATGTCCCGTAATCGTCGAGTTGTATGGCGCCTCGCCCAACGGCACAACATAATCCGGCACCTCAGCCATAACCGAGATGCGACTATTGCCGAATCTGAGAGGCACACCAGGCTCATCCCAGTACGTGTTACGGTACGTGGTGCTGCCAGTGGAACCAACATACATGACCAGAGACTCAGAGCATGTCTCGGGCGACGGCGCGAGGAAGGTTTCGTTGGCCCAGGTTTGAAAGATGGTTTTGTTGGCTACGGCGTCCTCGACTGTGTAAGTCTGGTTGTCTCCCCAGCCCCAGCGCGCTAATGGAACGGGGTTGACGAAGGGCAGGCGGCCATCATGAATGGCGGCGTAGTCGGCGTAGAAGGGCTCGCGAACGAGCTCAGTTTGCTGTTTGGTGATCAACAGGGCGTAGGTAAGATTCATAAAGGTTGTGAGGGGTGCAATATCCGCGTTCGCAGCGTCGAAAGAGGCTGTAACGTTGTACGCTGTCGCATTCGCGCTGAGAAACTCGGTCACGTTGCCCAGGAAGTTGATCAGGAGCTCATCTGCGACATCTTCGACTGCGGTAGGCCAGCCAAGAGTTTGAATGCTCGTTGGGTAGTCGCTAGTGATAGTGATGTTGGGGCCGTACATCGCTTGTGCTGCCTCCATCCAGACTTGCGGGTTGCGAGCTAGCAAGCCGGGCGTGTCGAGCACGGGGCTGAGAGGCATGGTATGATCCAGGGAGACAAGTCCGTGAGATGGTCGGTTACCATAAAGACCTTGGACCTGGGATGGTCCGCGTACGCTACCGCCGGTGTCGGATCCAAGACTGACATCCAACCAGGGGTATGATGCTGTACCAGCTCCTCCGCCACTGCTGGAGGATGAGGTGTCTTGGTAGCCATCGCCACGAGGGTTGAATGCCTCGTGGTAGTCGACCCAGTCGGCCGTCGCAGTCTCACCGTTGGCGAATTGAGATGTGATCATCTTGCCGACGATGATCGCTCCCGCGTCGATGAGATTCTGAACGGGTGGCGCCGTCGCGTTGGCAGGAGGATATAGCCAGTACCATGCTCGGTTTCCGTTTGAAGTCCGCAAGCCCTTAATATCGTAGATATCTTTGATACCGATGCGAACACCAGCGAGCGGCTTCTCAGCCGTCTTTGTGAAGTACAGACGCGAAGGAACAGCAATGGCATGCTTCTGGCCTACAGTGCCTGCGGGCAAGACAGAGTATGAACCATCACCGTTAGCGATCGCAGACTCTGTGAAAGCACCTTGAACGTCGGAGAAAAGTCTCCACGCCTCGTAGACATGGCCGGCTGCGTTGATGAAGTAGGGTCCTGGAGCCAATACCTTGGATGAGGTGCCGGATAATATGGTTAAAGACGAGTTCATAGGCCTGAATTCGCTTCCCTGGACGTATATCGCTGCAAACCGACGTCAGCTAAAGTATTGAGTGAGCATGGTTCGCGCGTACCCTCCATGAAGCCCTCTTGCCATACGTCATCTTCAGCGTAGCTGGCTGTAAGTGCTGCAACGTCGACACCATAGCCTTGCGCCTTGACCACTGTGAACGGCACAAACACAGCATCTTCGAAAGAGGCTGAAAGCTCTTTGCAGCCAGAGATCTTGGCGATTGGCTTCGGTGGCAGGAAGTAGTCGACATCCGTTAGCGATACTGTGAAGCCAGTGGACGACACAGCTGCCTGCACACTGGCGATGATGAGGGACGCGACGCCCAAAGACCGAGAGAGATACATCTTGCCCACAGAGAATCCTGACCGTGGCCTGTGGCGAAGCGCGAGATGCCACGACATGGCTGCAGGTCTGCCATGTGTTTTATAGCTCGGCCGCATATCATCCTTCAACATCGCCAAAGCATGCACCCCACTGACACAGAGTCATGATTCCGGTCCTTCGCGTAGTTCGTCCTCAATCCACAGCACAAGACATGTCGGTGTCTACCAGGCATGCGCCCAGCCAGGGTAAAACGTGGAAACCACGCAGATAAGCTCTCGGCCCTTTCTCGTGACTGGCCCGCCTCATCGGCACGCCTTAGGTGCGCTGCGCATGTACGTAAACGGCGTCAATGATATCGTAAACAGGCAGGAGATAGCTTTCCGATGCTGCCGTGCGTTGCTAGACGCAACGGGTCTTATCGCGTGGTTTGGAGAGGAAGTGGAGAGGCGGCTTTCCAAGCGGGGCAAGCGTGGCTGGCGAGCGCCCGAAGAATGTGCCGATGACGTGGGCCCACTTGGTACGATAGATGTCTGCGCAGATTGGTTTTCGGATACACTGACACTGATGGACCTATGAATTCTGGAGTTCTGCAATGCGCTGGACCGATTTCCTTGCGTGCTTTATTTGTGCGCAACAAGAGTTTTGCTGATGCCTATCGTTTACCAAATGTGCGCGTAGTTGACTTTCACCTGCTCTTGGAAGACGCCTTTACAGATTCTAACTTCATGATGATCTGCGACACGAGTTGCTCGACAAAAATGACTAATATAATCCGTCGATATCAAGCTCGAACAGTCTGTGATTATACACCATCGATGGTCGGACGTAAACGCGGACAGGAAACGGCTTCCCATCCTTGTCATGGATATGAAGATCCTCAATCTCATATTGCGAGGATCCAAGTTGGAGATCGCCATAAAGATCACGCCTGTCCGCCTCCGAGAAAGTGTGTCCTTCGAGTACCATGGCTCTATGGCTAGGAGTACAGATGAAGACTGTGAATTTAGTTCCTTTCTTGCCCGATTTCTCACTCGATGATAGCTCGAAGCAGAACTCGATCAGGTCTTGAAAATCTTTTCTATATTCCGTTGTAAGAACCATCTGTTCCGGATCCCAGATCGTGTTGCTATCGTGCATCAGTTCTCCATGCCACACGGCCTTCCATGCAGTACCACTCTTGACATGGTAACCGATGTTCCGAAGATATTCGGATTCGTTGATGAGAATTTGTCGATAGCTCCTTGAGGATTGGTAGCCCCAGGTAGGGCCTTGGAATCGGTAGCTCTTGTCGGATTCCGTAATCGTTACTGTCTGGAGGGCTGATCCTACAGTGCCTCTCGAACCAATAACCAATGTATCGTAGAAGTGTTCAGAGGTGCGATGGCGAGCTCTCCTTACTCTCACGCCAGTTCCATCGCGTCCTACTGGACGGAGCAAGATTCCTAAGAACCCAAGACTTGGTCCTGTTGAGCAACTCAGAAGCCCAATCCATCCACGATGGTTATCCACGCCGAAAGGATTACTTGTCTGGAACACCGGAACAAGCGGTAATTCAATCTGTAAGCCGACATTCGTTAACCTGAAAGGAGAAGTTGATGGTGCAGTATATCCCAGATTGCCGCAGTTCACAAAGTCTTTTGGCGAGCGTGCCAGAATGTCGTTGGAGTGGACTGCCTCGCTCATTGTGTTTCTTACAGCGTCAGATATCAGTCCTAGAGAATGATCCATTGTTGGACTCAAGCCCCAAGCGAGAATAGAGTCATCGTCGATCTTCCTGATAATCTCTTCCTGTAGACGAAGAAAAGCCCGATCACCCTCTCCATACAGCAGCGGCATGTTTATGTCGAAGATGCCGAGGAGGCAGTAGGCTATATCCTCTACACGTGTCGTCTGTCTTGCTGAGGCCCATGACATCTTCTTGGCGACGCAGAATGTACTAAGTCCTATCTTTCGACCATGGATCTCCCTTTCGCTGATAGCCATTTCGTCAATTCCCGTTATCTTCGATATCCACTCTTCCTGTTCGAATTTCGTGCCTAAGTGGCTCCACTGCTGATCATAAAAGATAAGATTATCTGGTGCCAACAGCTCTTGCAGTGTCCATCCCCTTGTAAACCACCGACTCTTGGGGAACTCTATCTCTAGCCTGGCTTTCGAGACGTCGGAGAGATACGCATAACAGCAAGTTGAGTTCTTGTACCAGGAGAACATAGAGTTGATGGCCTCGGAGAGTTCTGCACTAGAGCTTTTGTCGATGCAGCAGGTGTCAATCCACGCGTAGTCGAGTCCGTCACTAATCGCCTGACGGCAGGTGAAAATGATTTTTTGGTAGCCAGACCGGTCCATGACTGATCGGATCATCGTTGCGCTGTCACTGCGCCCAATCCGGCCTGAAACGGGAATTGACTTTGTAGACTGGCTCGAGACAAAATCAGCAAAAGACACCTCCTCATCGCCCCAGGTATGCGACAGGATGGCATAGCGTGGGATATTATGGCCGAAGAACTCTTGCAGCTGTAGTGTTGAGCAGTTGATCAGGCGCATTTAGAGATTCCTTGACGCCTTCGCTTGCAGGCTGGGAACGATCGAAAGAGCCTGTAGTATTATCGTGCACTCGTGTGGCTATGGACGATGTTGTTCGCACTATAAACTTGAGCCTAGTGTCAGAATACCGTACTAATAAGCGGCGAACTGGACTAGCCCCGAACAAACTCAGTCATAACGTGTCAAGAATGTATCTATGAGCGATCTCGAAGTGCAAGACGGCATCCAAAAGGTGAAATTGGAGAGAGTGACGTGCGTCAGCGCCAGGAGCGGGGCTGTGTTTCCCAAAGCTGAGAAGCAATCGCTCGACGCGCAACTAAGCATGGGCTGGTCTTGAGCATTGTCAGCAGACAGGCTTCGCACGGTGGTGTCATGCATGGCGTCTCTGCGATATATAGACGAAACCGCAGCGAGGCGTGCAAGAGCCAATAGTGCGAACAGCGTGTAGTGCCTATTTGGCGGTCTGGCTGATGCCTAGACGGACGGGCGTCGTCGTGAGATGCCTTTCTGGCCTAATTGTGCGGCTGAGCTAGCGCACGTCTATGATGATCTGGTAGGAAGGACGACGGTCCAGCGCCGTGCGGAATCGGGAACTGTAAATGTGCATGAGCGTAGTTTCATGTTGGTCATTGCTATTGATAACGGGGATTAGCGAAGTTGGAGGTGGGTGGGGCGATTTGGGGTTGCGACTTGGCGGGAAGGCGGCCGAGATGCGACTTCCCAAGCCCGTGGCTCTGGGAAACTGCCATGTCTTTCAACACAGCGTCGCGCTGCGCCGTCACGTTTTGCACATTGCGAGAAGCGTATGATCAACCCGAGACTCGAAGTTGTTGTCCTCTCATCCATTGAAAGATGTTGATGGCATCAAGCGTGACCACTTTTTTGATTATCTAGTGGACCCTTTGTTCTTACAGTTGCTAGCTTTGCGCTGACAGCACTTTCTCCACAATCAATGACTCAACAAATGCCACAGCAGCACGAATACCTATGCCAGCAATTTTATCCCCATCTCCCAGATTCGGGTTGAAAGAACACATAGTAAAAGACACCGGAGTGGCTTTCTTCGGCAACAGACTCATGCACCTCACTACATCCTCTTCCTGCAACCCGCCCTCGCTCTCAAACCCATTGATCACGCCTACACTTTTATCTAGAACATCTAAATCAAGATGCACGAGCGAAGGCGACATGTCTCTCTTCTCAAGCCGCTTCTGCAACTTGCCAGGAAAATCCGCAGCCTTCTCAGCATCACCCCATATCACATCTGCTCCAGCTTCTTGCACCGTCTTCCGCTGCACCTCGTTCACATCTCTCAGCCCAACATACAAGAACCTCTTATCGTACTTCATCGGTGCATATCCCGGTATCTGCTCCGTATGCCAATGCCAGCTCTTCCCCGCCAACATACTCAGGCCCATGGCATCGAAATAACCATTCTGGTTCGTAGAAGGCGTGTCCATGTCGTCGTGGGCGTCGAAGTAGATGAAGTTGAGATCCTTGATGCCTAATCCACATGCCGCTCCCACGCTAGCCATGCAGTTGCCAGAGAGAATAAAAGGGAACGAGTTGTTAGATCGCGCTTTGCTGACTGCCAGGGAGGTCCGGCGGAGAATTTCGAATGAACGGCCTATCTCGCCTTCGAAGTCGTCGACAGGGGGTATCTCGTCGATGTCGACTTTGATGCCTAGGTTCTCGAGCGAAGAGACCAGACCGAGTGCGCGGATGCGGTTTGGGCCATCGCCGACGCGGTGGTCGCGGATGCCGACGTGGTAAGGTGAAAAGATTATGGTGAGCGATGTGGCTGGCATGTTGAGGATATGGTGGTAGAGTAAACGCTTAGAGTAGTCTCGTATATGTCAATTCTTTTTCTACCTGTTTAACAATTGTTTTCCTATGTAGTGACGTCAGAGGTGGAGAGAATCTTGATGCTTAACAAGCTCGGCTGGTGGTGTAGTTTGTCTGCTCTTCTGTATAGCCGACTCGCGAGGGGCTCTACTCTTGCTTTGTAAACCTCAATGTCATGCCGAACGATTCAAGTCAGAAATGATTGCACTGACGTCATGCCCAATCTTGCGTCGCGCACGCGTTGCCCTTCTTCGTCCTTTGGTCAGTATCGCGTCTGCGTGTCATTTACTGTAGGAGTCTGAAAACGCATGGATGGTGATCTGTTAAGCGAATGGGAGTGCTGGTCTAGTGTTGCGGCCTGGGGTAGTAGTGAGCACGGCCACAAAGAGGAAAGCGCGCCTCTTCCAGACGCGCCAAGGGCTGTCCACATTATTCTGTCACCACTCCTGCAATACATTGCGCAAACCTCTGCCGCCACGAACACGTCCCAAACGCGTTCACGCCATCGCATTCGACACGCCAACATATTGAGGAACGGCATATAATCGACTGCGCCATTGTCGTCACATCAATCACCTAATTATACGCGGCGAGTAGCCCAAACAGGCAATATGCCGCGGAAGGCCGCTGCGAAGCAGGAGGAGCCTTCGTCGGATGAGGCGTCGGCGCATTCAGATGTCGAGATGCAGGACCAGCCAGACGACACAATGAGCGGCTTCAAGAAGTTTGGCGTAAGCACGATCCCGTTCGCGCCTGCCTCGCCGCGACACCAAGTCGTCAAGGTGGTGGAAGGCGCGATCAAGTGAAGGACATGGGCTGACATTGCAGGCACAGTACAACGTCGATACCCCAGACTACACAGTACGATGACTCCGAACGCCCACCGCATCCACTCAGTCGACCGACTAACACGCGCACAGGATTCCGACACCAACCCCAACACCACAGCAAACAGTGTCGCAGGGGACAACGCGCCGCTCGACGGGCGAAAGCGACGCGCCGAAGAGATGAACATGCGAAAGAGCATGTACGGCAAGAAGGCTGAGGGTCTAAGGGCGTCCAAGGTACGCGACGTCACTGCGCATCGCACTGCATTCACCAGTGACAGGACTGACTTGGCTTCTCTCTACAGGAAGACGACACCATTCGCCGCTTTCGATACCTCCTTGGTCTAACAGACCTGTTCCGCCACTTCATCGACACGAACCCCAACCCGCGCATCAAGGAGATTCTCGCCGAGATCGACCGCCAGGATGCCGAAGAGACCAAACGATCCAAGGCAAGCAAGATACGGAAAGGCGGCGCCGCTGCGGAGCGACGCAGAAAGACTGAGCAGGAGGAGGATGCCGAGCTGGTGCGTGAGGAGAAGCACGGTGGACACAACGAGACTGTTTTCAGGGAGTCGCCAGGCTTCATCAAGGGCGGCACCATGCGAGACTACCAGGTCGCTGGTCTCAATTGGCTCATCTCCCTTCATGAGAACGGTATCTCTGGTATCCTCGCCGATGAGATGGGTCTTGGAAAGACTCTCCAGACCATCTCTTTCGTCGGCTACCTACGCTACATTGCCGGCATCCACGGTCCCCACTTGGTCGCAGTGCCCAAGTCGACCCTCGATAACTGGAAGCGCGAATTCGCCAAGTGGTGCCCCGAGGTCAATGTCTTGGTCCTCCAGGGTGGCAAGGATGATCGTGCCGAGCTCATCAAGGAGCGCCTGGTGCCTGATGGTTTCGATGTCTGTATCACGTCCTACGAGATGATCTTGCGTGAGAAGTCGCACTTGAAGAAGTTCGCATGGGAATACATCATCATCGATGAAGCACATCGTATCAAGAATGAAGAGTCATCCTTAGCACAGATGGTTCGCATGTTCAACTCTCGAAGCCGATTGCTCATCACCGGTACCCCTCTTCAGAATAACCTCCACGAGCTCTGGGCTCTACTCAACTTCCTCCTCCCTGACGTCTTCGGAGACTCCGCCGCTTTCGACGACTGGTTCTCCCAGCAGAACGCCGACTCCGACGCCGTCGTCAAACAGCTGCACAAGGTCCTCCGACCCTTTTTGCTCCGACGTGTCAAGGCCGATGTCGAGAAGTCGCTACTGCCCAAGAAAGAGATCAACCTATACGTTGGCATGTCTGACATGCAGGTACAGTGGTACAAGAAGATTCTCGAAAAGGACATTGACGCTGTGAACGGCGGTGCTGGCAACAAGGAATCCAAGACTCGCCTCCTCAACATCGTCATGCAGCTGCGCAAATGTTGCAACCACCCATACCTCTTCGAAGGCGCCGAGCCTGGTCCGCCATATACCACCGACGAACATCTCGTTACTAATGCTGCCAAGATGGTCATGCTGGACAAGCTACTCAAGCGCATGAAGGCACAGGGCAGTCGAGTGCTCATCTTCTCACAGATGAGTCGTGTTCTGGACATCATGGAGGACTACTCGGTCATGCGCGATTACAAATACTGCCGTATCGACGGTTCGACCGCCCATGAGGACCGTATTCAGGCCATCGACGACTACAACAAGGAAGGCTCGGAGAAGTTCCTGTTCCTTCTGACCACCCGCGCTGGTGGACTGGGCATTAACCTGACTTCTGCTGACATTGTCGTCCTTTTCGATAGTGATTGGAATCCACAAGCCGATCTTCAAGCCATGGATCGTGCTCATCGTATCGGTCAGACTAAGCAGGTCTACGTCTTCCGTTTCGTTACCGAGATGGCTATCGAGGAGAAGGTGCTTGAGCGTGCTGCACAGAAGCTGCGCCTCGACCAGCTAGTCATCCAGCAGGGTCGTTCGCAACAACCTGTCAAGAACGCCGCATCCAAGGACGAACTTCTGACCATGATTCAGCACGGAGCCGAGAAAGTATTCGCAAGCAAGGGACCCGTCGGTCCAGCTGCCGATGGCGAGCTCGCCGACGACGACTTTGAAGCAGTTATGCGCCGTGGTGAAGAGATGACTGAGAAGCTCAACAAGAGGTACGAGGCTCTTGGTCTTGACGACCTTCAGAAGTTCACCTCGGACTCAACATACGAGTGGAACGGCGAGACTTTCCAGCCACGTAAGAAGGAGATTGGCATCTCCTGGATCAATCCCTCGAAGCGCGAACGCAAAGAGCAAAACTACGGCATTGACTCATATTATCGAAAGACACTCGTCACTGGTGGACGGACCGAGAACAAGCAGCCCAGGATACCTCGCGCGCCCAAGCAAATCACCATTCACGACTACCAGTTCTTCCCTGATCGACTAGCGGTTCTTCAAGATAAAGAGACAGCATGGTACCGCAAGGAGAACAACCTGAAAGCTCCTCTGCCAGATGGCACGGACGAAGACCTCGAAGCGCGAGAAGCCGACCAACAACTTGCGCAGCAGGAGATTGACGATGCAGAGCCGCTGACGGAGGAGGAGAAGGCCGAGAAGGAACGCTTGATCGAACAAGGATTCCCTGAATGGAACAAGCGTGACTTCCAGCAGTTCCTGAACGGCAGTGCCAAATACGGTCGTCAAAACTACGAAGGCATCTCGGAGGAAGTTGACGGCAAAGACGCCGACGAGATCAAGGCCTATGCTAAAGTCTTTTGGAAAAAGTACAAGACACTCGACAACTGGCAAAAACATCTCGGCGTCATCGAAGAGGGTGAACTGCGTGTACGACAGTCGGAAGAGAAGAAACGGCTCATTGCAAAGAAGATTGGCATGTACCGCATGCCACTCCAGCAGATGCAAATCAAGTACACCGTCTCGACTACTAACAAGAAGGTGTACACCGAGGAAGAAGACAAGTTCCTCGTCGTCATGCTGCACAAGCATGGTGTTGAGGGCGAGTTCATCTACGAGAAGATTCGGGATGAGATTCGCGAGAGTCCGTTATTCCGCTTCGACTGGTTCTTCCTCTCGCGTACACCGCAGGAGATTGGAAGGCGATGCACGACGCTCATCTCGGCCATTGTGAGGGAGCTCGGTGAAGGGGATGTCAAGAATAAAAATGGCAAGAGAGGATACGAAGACGAGGAAACGGAGGAGGAAGAGGAGGTTGAGCAGCCAAAGGGGAAGAAGGCGAAGAATGGGGTCAAGGTATGTTGAATTTTCTTCGATTGCTGGACGTTATTGTTAAGGATACTAATGTGAGCGCAGAACAAGCAACTCGATACAGTGAAAGCCAAGGCCTCCCCGGCGAGTGCGACACCGAGTAGGGCGAGCAGTGTTGCTACGAATGGTTCGGCGACCAAGGGTTCGGCGACCAAGGGCAAAGGCAAGGGTAAGAAGAAGTAGTGTTGTTGTGTTCATGCAGTGGCTGTGGGAAGGAAATCGGGCATGTTGAGGTGTTTTTGTTCTGGCGTTATCAAAGATGGCCAAACCGATTTGATGCTCTTGTATACTAGGTGCTGAGCTCCAGACTCGTCGGTAGAGACGGGGAGGGTGTCGTTTATTAGCGTTGCATGTGTAATTCTTCATAAAGATGAATCAATCATCTGATTATAGTGCTTCCTGTTTCTAGTGTCGCTGTCGTTCGAAACGACACGATGCCAATAATACTACGAGACTTGTCGTACGATAGACTAAAAGATGGGTGTAGACGAAGGACGACTATAAAATAACAGCCAGTGCAAGCTTCATAGGAGTGTGAAGGGCTGCAGCAGTAGTAAGGCGGTTCGCAAAGTGAGCATGTCATTCATCGCTAACAGCTAGAATTTCGCTCACCATAAGGCAGAGCTACTTGCTTTGTCGCACCTCATTGAATATTTTATGCACGAGTGTAATGCGCCGACAATATCCCCAAACGCCATAAGAGTGGACCTGAATTTGGGTAGAGATAGCGTTGTCGCAAGATCAGCCAACCAAGAGTCCAGCTCGGAATGCACGCGATCTGGAAATCACGATCTGAGCGCGAATCAAAGAAGATCCAATATAGGAGATGATCTTGACTTCCCGCCTTCGAACGCCTGCTTTGCCTCCTCAGATAAGACTACGCTCCTTCTAGTTTAGCGATGCCAAGGTCAGCACATCCGCCACGATGCTGCCTCGTCCCTTCACGCCTACGCGATTCTTTCATTAGTATCTCTCCGCCTACAAACAAGAATCTACGATAGCCGCAGTAACAAGCTACATGCAGAGAATTATTGCAGAGGACATGTCTTGACAAGATCACCAGGTTGGTTTCGAAGGGTACCAAGAGCATAGTTTCAGACTCATGCGAGTTCTTCAGATGACCAATATATGGTATCCGCGGTATATACGATTAACGACTACCTCCCAGTTCTCGCCCTGTATGTTTGCCGAAACCAGGTGTGGCTCGTTGCTTTTGCGTTATCGCATACCATGGCCAGCTGAACAGAACATCCTGATTGGTGCGTAACACAAGGACGGCTGGGTATTTAGCCGCATCTATGAGTGGCTGTTATATGCTTGCGTCACCCGGAGCTCTTGCAAAGCCGGGCTGTGTCAGCCTGGTCCTTGGGGCGAGAATGATGACTTGACCGGAAAGCCAACGCGCATGGTTGTCGCGCGTGGGCTTATAGTCACTGGCCACACATAACACACCAAGGCAAAGCATATCATCGGTGTTTCTACTCTGATATCTATCAGCACCACCCTTGAGATTTCAGGCAAGCACTTGCTCATGATTCTAATCTGATTTCCACATTTGTCATGAACGATTCCCAGCTAGAAGCATTCCTGGAGCCCCTTGGTGAGGGCTCGTCATGGGCAGCAAAATGTGTACGACGGCTTCTCGAAGCTGAGAACCTCACCGATATAGCCGCGGGCCTCGTCGCGCAGAATGGTCATAAGCCTGTGGAGTTGGTCAAGAATGTGTGGAATGCATGGGGTATTGATATGAAGACTTGTCATTCATACTGCGGCAGATCCAACTTCCCTATGGTATAGCCAACGGGTGCTGTAGCCCTGCCTAACTTGCAAAAGCTGAAATTCTGGCAGGTCTTTGATTTTCCAATCTTCACATCCGGTGTGACGAACTACTTGTTACCGTGGCTTGGTCTGACAGCCCAACTCCCATACGAAACCGGTTCCCCATCTGGAAACTTTGAAAGCTTTTGCCTCGCGGTCGGAAGCCCAATGTTGACTACTTTCTCTCTCATGTCGACAGTCAGGAATGCACGCACAACATCGAATGCATTCGACGTCCTGCTTAAGGATAATGCAGTAGCGCATAGGAACGAAAGAATGAAGAAGGCAATAGAGTCGGCAAGAGACTTCCTTTGCGACTCTCAGCAGTCTCCCATCAGGATACAAGATGACGAGTTTCGGAAACTGTTTGAAGGCGATGAGGAATACCTGCAAGATCATTGGGAATCTCTGGCAAAGCGCCTTAGCGACACTCGCCGACCGTACACGTTCTCCTTCTTTGCGCAAACCTTTTTCGCAGTCAGTGCTTGGGTCTTGACCATTGTTGGATCGTATGTTACATCGCTCGGTCAGCATTCCGAAGCTCTATTGCTTTCTTCTGGCACACTTTGGACGTGGCTAGTCCCAGTAGTCTTGGGTTGGATGGCTGTTGGGACGCAGTCACGACCGGATACAGTACATGACGCGATACAAGGTGGGAAGACATGTGAAAGATGTACGCCACTCAAAGCACTAGAAGCTAAATCTGGCTTCATGGGCCCAACGCCAACAGTCGTGGAAGATGCCTTACTGGGTAAAGTGCAAGGGGACGAAGCATGCCAAGGTCCCATTTACAACTATGCACGTATCTTGACTAACCCAAAGCTACGGAATATGATTGTGAGCGCATTCGACAAGAAAATCCAATCGCTGAGAGATCGAGAACCCCAACGGTTGCCCAGTAGGCCAGAGAACCAAGATTCTGCACATGCGTCAGTTAGCAATGTATCCTCATCTGGCTCACGACTCATTCCAACTGAACCTCAACCTCCTGCCCGAACCAATACGAACGAGCGCCAAACCGACCCAGACTTCAATCTTATTGAGCCATACATGAAGTGGACGGAAGTTCGAAGGGATACCCACTGGACATGGAACTTCATCATCTCCAACGCCGTCGCCGTGTTTCTCCAGTGGGGAGTCACTGGATCTGCCACCGTGATATCGTACCTGACCGAAGTGCGCGGCCTCGGATGTCGTTCTGGTAGTTACCTGGTGTACGGCATCCTGGCTACATCTGCTCACGTTCTTCTTGTAGCATCAGTGTTTCTGTCGCACCATGTAATGCTATTATATCAGGATCAACCAAAGCCTTACAAAACGACTGTCAAGTTCCAGATCAGATGGGTTGGTAGACTCGCTGTAGCTTTGCGATTCCTTGGTAAATCCATGGCCGTTGTCAACGCCATCTGGATCATCTTGAGTTCCGTATTCGAGCTCATCGGTTTCTATGAAAGCTGCTGGTGTACAGGCACTGTGTTGGGTTTGGGTAGTAGGGCTTGGGTCGTCCTCTTTGTCAGTGGTGATAAGATGCGGGAAGATGCGGAAGCATCCTGGATTGGAGGACTTGCCATGAGTCTGTTTACCATGATCTTTACGTACTTTGTTTCCAAGGCGTATGCTCAAGGAAGGAAGGACTGATGGCATAAAAAGGTTCTCGTCGACGTGTCATTTTGTCCAAGGCTCAAGGGATAATTGATCTGTTCTCGTCTTGCGCGTTGCACTCAACTGCTGGGGCCCATGTCCAGAACAAGCTTGAAGCAGAGTAGAATATATACATTAATTACTCATAATCATAAACGTCATTTAAGCTTTAATCTCAATCCCCTCCTGTCCCTCACAGGAACTGATTGCCCCGAAATACCACAAATGAGCATCAACATCGACTCCAAAATCCCCCTCATTCCCCTTCAAGTTCAGGTTGCCCGTCAGCACATTGACATCAGCCTCCTTGACAGCGACGTCATTCCCACTAGTAACATAGTACTCTGGTGAGATATGCCTGTACCCCAACAACGCAGGCGGCAGCTTAGGTACAGGATCGTTCTTGTGCGTAACACGGTACGTCTCTCCCTTTCCAGTCGCAGTGATGTAGTCAGACACGCCAGCAAGACCAATCTTCGGCGCACCATATGTGTACAAATCGACCGTCACACCAGTCGAGCGAAGATAGCCCGCTGCAAGACTAGCCAGTGCGCCACCCAGACTATGTCCCGTAGCCACAACCTTGTAGCTGGGATACTGCTTCCGAGCCGTGTCCAAAGCTGACAGAACCGGTTTCTGGGCTTCGAGCCACGAGTTCCAGAAGCCGAGTGACGAGGAACATGTAGCGCAGATGGAGGTTGGTATCACGGGGAATTGCACGTTGGTGATCCAGTTGCGTACGCTCCGGCTGCCGCGGAAGGAGATCACGATGAGCTGGTTGGTTGTGTCGGTTGCGACGAAGCCGGTTACGTCGGAGGCGATGCTGTTCTCAAATTCAGAGAGCGTGGTGGTGTTTGCTGGTGGGCAAGAAAGGTCAGTATATAGATCACGTGGGTTTTCATGCTGTCGGCAAGTGGGAGCTTACCTGCTTCTACGCGGGCGCAGTTGCCCTGTGGGCAGGTGACTTTGGTGTTGGGGCTGTTGTTGTTGCCGAGACAGTAGGCTGCGGCGGAGTACTCGGAAAAGAATTCCAATTGGGAGAGAACGGATGTGGACACGGCTAGAGGGTGTGAATTAGTTGGAGTCGGTATAACTTGCTAGTGTGAGACTATATACCTCTGCCATTGAGTTCGACGGGCACTGCGGTGACAGAGTGAACTGCACCGAGCAATAAAGCGCTCAGGCGAAGAAGGGAAGATGCCATTGCGAGGTGACTGGTGTACTGCGGAATTGGCGGATCGACTCTACACAGCAAGAATGTACCGACGGAGCAAACAAGCCACCCGATATTCACACGAGAGGAGGGGAGAGACCACACGCGAACGATCTGACCTGAATCCTACACAGAGGTGGTATGCGACAACCTATATACATATTCATTCCCACTAAAGTCGAACGGTCACACACCTACCAAGCCCAGCCCAACGGCTGAGCCTACTCCCGGCGGTCAAAGGTAAAAAGAATCTACCGTAGCTTTGATGTGTGGATGCATGCAGCCCCCCCTGGACAAGCGCCATCCTACACCCCGGTTCCCGTAGCTTTGGTGTGGGTGTGCCGATCTTGACCAGGATCCGGGATGGTGCCTGTGTGTCACACAACGTGGCTTTACTAAGATTAGAAAGTTCGCCGCTGGGCTCCAGATACGCTCGCGCAAGCCACAAAAAAGCGATTGCATTAACGCATAGACGTTGGGTGTGTGTGTGTAAGCCACAGGAACATGTTGTGTAGATGAAACTGGCTCAGCCTCGTTGATCTGCTCATGCATGGAGAAGGACTTGTCGTTCTGCACCGTCTGGTCTTGTAGTGTAGGCAGAACTGTGTTGTTGGCGACTTGCCTTCCCTTCGGTGCTTGCCACCCCCACAATATGCCCGTCGCATCACTCGCGTCAACTGCCACTTCTTGGACATGATTAGTCGTCGCTGTTCGACGCTCGGCGCCTCTTTTTTGTGCACTGCACGCGACATGGCGAACGCATGATCCCGCACACTACCGCATGCAGCGTGCGTGCATGGAAGAGGGCGTTTACCTGTTCCTGTTTAGGCTGGACGAACACCAGCTTATTTCCACATCCGATGAACGGAGATACCGAGGCATGGAGGTAGAGTTCTTCTGACATCAGCATTAGACCTTCGCGTACCGGGGCACTGGAACAGGAGAATGTGATCTTCAGGTCGGAGGCAGTCTTACGGCCGTTGTAATGTCGCTCAGCTGTTATGCATCACGACTGTGTCTCCCTCACCGGTATCTGGAGGGGCTGGAAAGCGCACAATGTAGCTTGGATACAAGATGCGATGGCCATCGCGATTGATGGGGCTGAGAGTTGCGGGGTAAAGGCGTGACGTAGCCACACTATGCGCCCCAGAGTCTACTTCAGGCAGGTACGTACCATAGTAGACGACGAAACCCACGGAGCAGACCAAAAGCTCTTGACGCCCCGGAGTATGTGGTGTCGTGGAAGCAAAGTTCTTCGGTGTCAGCGCTTCTTTGCGTTAGTCCGCACTATGCTATGCGGGGTGCGCAATTGTCGGAACATTCGAAATGGCGGGCTAAATGCACCCCAATAAATGGCGTTTTCCTGGGTCAAGCCGTCAGCGGCTAACGTATATCTCCGAATCCTTCGACAAAAGTCGCGTGCTTACTTGCAGGTAGTTCCAAGGTCAGCTGCCCACGGACATGACCAAGAAAGGAGACTAGATAATTGCCAGTTTTCGTGCTTTGACAGAAGCGCAAAGACCCGAAGCATCTTCATTTCCACCCGCTGCGATTAGATAGCTGCGGAGCCCCACTTGTACCAATCAACAACCAGTCTGGCGCACTTGGTATATTTGTGCAATAGCAACAACAACAACGCAATGAATTAGAGGAAAATATTGACAAGAATGGAAACAAACATTTCTCGAGCTTTACTGCTTTGGGTCAATTGACAGGTGTTTCATTTCCACCGAGCGCGATAGATCGAAACTAGTCGCTAAAAGTACAGAACTCCGTGCTGCTTGAGTCGTGATGTGGGGAAAAGAACGCGAAATCGCAGAACCACATGGTATCGCAAGACGTGCACAGGACGTGCACGGTACAAGGGCAAACACGGTGAATAATCGGCAAAGAAGATATGGCATCGCGGCATCTTCAGCCCTGTCGCTGGCTCGACGCAATGTCCAAGGGGGTTTGAGGCTCTCCCGCACGCAAGCCTAGCCCTATGTGCGACCACGTTTGACAAACGGCACGGGCCTACTGCGGTGGGACGAAAGGCTTGACGAGCATTTCACTGAATCTGGAATCTTTGTTAGTACAATCTGAATCGCGATACGGTGTGCCGGATACCCACTTCTCGAGCTTCTCCTTGCCCCGTACCTCCTCGACCAAGAGCGGCATCTTGACCACGTTGAACTCATCGTACAGCTCCTCAATCTGATCCAGGTACTTCTTCTGCATCTTCCGTCGCGCATTGCACTGCTCGCAGGGATTATCTTGCTTGGGGAACAGCAGCTGGTTAACGACAATGGAGTGTGTGTCAATCTCGTAGCTGTTGAGTTCCTGAATCATGCGTTCCGTCTCGTACAGGGACAGGAACTCGGGGATGCAGACACAGACAAACGTTGTCAGATCTGCATCCTTGAACTGTCCGTTGACCTCGCCAATTGTTTCTCGCAGGTTCTCCATCTTCTCAACGAGCTCGTCCATGTTCTGGCCGTTGGGCAGGCGTCCTGAACCGCCGAGGAAGGAGTTGAGCATGGGGCCGAATTGGCGAGAGAGTTGCGAGACCTTGGACAGGGCCTTTTCCATGACGGTGGGGAATTGCAGGAAGCGGAGTGTGTGGCCCGTGGGTGCCGTGTCGAAGATGATGACTTCGTAGGACATGGACTTTACTTGCTTGAGCACTTCGGCAAAGGACATGGCCTCGTCAACACCGGGGATCTGTTGTCGGTAGTCAGTCGCCATGTCGTGGGGACATGTTGTGCCACACATACGCTAAAGGCCAGATCTTGCATCATGCTGCCCATGCCACCCAGGCCAGCCATGGGATCTTGGCCCTCTTCCGCACCGCTAGCTAGCAGATCCTGTATGCTGCCATTGGGGTCGATCTCCATGGCACTGAGGTTGTCGAAGCCGTTGACGAGACGCGCATCCTTGCCGAACTTCTGGTTGAAGGCATCGGAGAGGTTGTGCGCGGGGTCGGTCGAGATGAGGAGGACAGATTTGCGGTGCTTTGCGAGCTGGATGGCGAGAGAACACGACGTCGTCGTCTTTCCCACACCACCCTTTCCGCCGACAAATATCCACCTGAGCGTCTTCTGGTCGAGGATGGACTGGAGCGTGGGCGCCATGTCGGCGTCGATGAGCGCGGTTGAGGCCATGTTTGCGCTGGTGGCGGACGTGTATCGTATCGTACAAGCTGTATCGTCTGTCTGTACGAGTGGCTGTCAGTGTAATCCTTTGCAGCTCAAACATGGCGCCTGCTTCCCGAAGCTTCGGAGGGGCAGCGCAAGCGCCCACTTTTGGAAGCGGCGCAACAACGCATTTCTTCGGTTTGGAAGACTTGCAAGACTTACATATGAGTGGATACGGTATATACACGGGTAGTGTGAGCGATGATGTTCTGAGTTGACGCCGTTGCAGGTGGAACCAGACGCGCAAGAAAGTTGACCGAGTGGGATTGCGGGCAGCGCGTCATGCGGTGGTACGCCACTGCACAGCCACATGTGGCGGATCCATTTTGCCCCACCTATCACCCAGCCTGTTGACCCAGACTCTTCACAAAGAGCCTCGCTGCGTCTTGCTTTGCGACCTCAAAATGCACCACTTGTAATTACAGGCACATTAAAGCATCTACACGATTTTCACGGCTCGCAGCAACGACACCACTCGGGCTAGGCTAGAGGTCATCGACCGCCCTGTCCATGTCAACGAAGGAAGTCTCGTTATGCTATCGAGGGACCCTCTGCTCTATCCAGCCTCACGATCCGCGCACATGACCTAGACCTGGTCTCCGGTCACGTCAAAAACCACCTCGCCCCCGAACCACGTCTTCGTAACAACAGCATTTTTGTAATCACTCTCCATGAGGTCTCGATCAACAGCAATGAAGCTGGCCGTTTTACCGACAGTAATAGTGCCATATTGCTAGAGCAACCTCAATCAGTGGACGACACCGGCGTGGAATTTTTGGATGCATATTTACCACGTCCCTTGCTACAGATCTCACGCCATTTATCGTCAGCATCTTGATCACACGATCGGCTCCAATTTCCTCCACCAAGTGAGCGACTGATGGAAAAAGCGGCAGGGTCATTCCAAAAGCCCAATCACTACCAACCGTGACGAGCTTTTCGGCTTTGACCAAGCCGGAGAAGTTGGATCCCAGGTTTGGAGGAGGGAACTGGGTGATAAAATGCATGGCCGGTGACATGTCAGCTGTGATGTTCAGCTCACGGAATCTAGGTATATCCGCTAATCCCTCAACCAGTCCGCGCTTTCAACCAAAGTAGACAAGGTTGAGACTCACCTGGGTCAACCGAAACACAATGAGCAACTTCGTGCCGGGGCCTGTTTGAATTACTTTTCCGTAAAGCTGCAAAGTTGTTCAACGTCTGCCTCACCGCACCAGACCCCACAGCATGAACCTTGCATGTCAAACCCGCTTCATCTAACTTCCGCAGATTTAGTCTGATGTTCTTTTCCATGATATGCGCCATGTCCATGTTCCTATTCTTGTCGAGGTTGGACACCGAAGGCGAAGAAACGATGGGATTGCCGTCCATCATGATCTTGACAAACCGCGTATCGACGTGCTTACTAGCGTACTCCCGCGCTATGGAAACAGTCTCATCGCCATTCTCGTGCGATTCTGCTATAAGCCGCTCGTTTTGTACAGGATATGGGTCGCATACTCCATCTTAAGGTCTCCTTCCTCGTCAAGGCTCTGCAGAGCCTCGAGGAAGAGCCGACCGGATGCTGCTTCTGGACTGAACTTACACCATTCCGGTGCAGTTCTGTAGACGCTCGCTCTCCCGAGACCAAGCGTGTCTAGGTATTCAAGGTTTCCACCTCCATGTATGAGAACAGGGTTGTTCGGCCAATCCTATTCAAGCAGCCCTCAAACGTAGTCCTCGAACTCACTCAGAACGCCGATGATCCAGTCAAAATAGATATTGTAGAAAGCACAGGGCCGAATCCTACTTACATCCGTGGTTAAAGACAGCTGCTGTTGTTATTGGAAACCAGTACTGGATTGCCGATCATCGATATCGTATCGGATTGATCTATCCTGCCTCAGGCATACAAGGCATCCTTTCCTCCTTAGCGTATCTCGTCCGAATGCTCACGTTGAAAGAGCGATCGGAACAATTGAATAGCGAGAACCGAGAGGACAGGCTCGTTACAACAGCCTTGAAAACCGGCGTATTCTGAATAATACATGAAACACTAGCCTCTCTGTTTGCCGTATCCGAGAGAAGTGTATATTAATCTCGTATTCACAGAATAATGCAATCTAGCAGAACTACAAGCAATTACACGAAAGGCTTGAACCAGGTAGATCTAAGCTTGTTTCCAAGGGCAAAGCTGTTCGGTAGATAATTATTAGTCTCACGTATCTTGCCAGCTCTACAGGCCTGAGTCTGATAGTGAATAGAGGACAACTAGAAGCGACAATATCTCTGCGCTGAACTAGAAGGGATAATGTCTCTGCGCTGTGAGTCAAAGCCATCCAACGGCATTTCAGCTCCTGCTTTCAGTCTACTATAGCTAAAACGTTGAAGGTCGGACTGTCGGCATAGGTTTTTCCGTTAGATTGAAATCTGGACCAACGCTAGTAACAGTGGCTGAGCGCCACTTTACCCTACGAGCACTAGTACTTTCACAGCACAAGGGTAGTGACTCGTACGCTTTGAAACTCATTGTAATAATCTCTACTACAGTTTCAAAGTAGATGTAAAAGCCGCCTTGAGACAACATATCTCATTACAGATAGGTATAAGAGCACCAATGTCTACTGCTTCTACATGTCATTCTCTTCTCTGCATATTTCTTACCCCATACACTCATTCCACGTCAACATCTCACCCTATACCTTCATTTCTTATCATTCAACACCATGAAACTCTCACTTCTCGTGTTTGGAGGTGCTCTCTGCGTGGATGCCGCAGTCCTTGGCAGCCGCACCAGTTACGCTGTCAAGGGAAAGCCTGAGGGATTTGCTACTGGAGTCACTGGAGGTGGTAAAGCAGCTTGCCAAGTGCCATCCAGTGTAGCTCAGTTGACGACGTGGCTCACGGACAATGTTGCCCGTTGCATCGTTATTGACAAAGAATACAACTTCAAGGGTACTCAAGGCAAGGCTGTAGAGAACGGTTGCAGGCCAACGTCAAACGCATGTCCAGGAAAGGGTGGCCAGGACGCCATCAATCTGAACAACTGGTGTCAGCCCAAATTTGCTGGCGCGGGCGTCAAGACTATCCAAGTATCCTACGATAAAGCAGGTCTTTACGGGATTAACATGGGCTCGAACAAGTCACTCATCGGCGTCGGCAACAAAGGTGTGATCCGTGGTCGCGGCTTGCGGATTGCCAAGGCCAAGAACATCATCATCCAGAACATTCACTTTACCGAGATCAATCCTCAATACATCTGGGGAGGTGATGCCATTGCCACGGATGCAGGGTCTGACCTCCTGTGGGTTGGTACGTAGATTCTGTTCAACGCAAAAGAAATTCCGCTAACAGACCAGATCACTGCAAGTTCTCCCTTATTGGTCGCCAGATGTTTGTAGCCGGAACTGGTGCCGCCGGCCGCATCACGCTATCCAACAACGAGTTCGATGGTCAGACTAGCTGGTCTGCTACCTGTGATAACCGCCACTACTACGCCATCTACCTCGATGGCTCAGCCGATAAGGTCACAATGAAGAACAACTATATCCACCACACTAGCGGTCGAAGCCCCAAGGTTGGCCAGAATACGTTCCTCCACGCAGTCAACAACTACTGGTACTCCAACTCTGGTCACGCATTCGACAACTTGGCTGGTGGAAAGGTCGTGGCTGAAGGCAACTATTTTCAATCTGTTACCACACCTCTACTGGAGAACAAGGGTGCTTTCTTTGGATCGCCGTCAACCAGCGCTAACACGGCTTGCAAGACGGGTCTGGGACACAACTGCCAGATCAACACGCTTGTCTCCAGCGGAAAGCTCGGTGGAACTGATACCGCATTCATCTCTACCGTCAAGGGCCAGCCCATTGCCTCAGCCTCAGCAGCTAGCACTAACATCAAGAACTTAGCTGGTGTTGGTCGGATCTAGGCGGTGAACATATGGACACTTCTGTCACGGTCGGCTCTCGAGAGCATGTCAATGCGAGGTTTACTTTTCTTCCCATGTACATTATTATAATTCTTTGTTGTATGGACTCTAGTCTTCAAATCCCTTACTCATTACCACTGGAGGTTATACCCGCAACCGTTTGCTTCACTGGACTGACGAGCCAAGTGCCAGCATCCCGTCGTACTGAGGTCAGGCGCTGACATGGAACCTCACGCTTCCAAGTCACTAGACCCTGCCGTCCCAGGGCGACACCAGAAAAACCACCTCGCTTTATGCTGTTCTAGTACTCATGCTCAATCTTGCAGTGCTTTTGTGTGTCGGATGGACAGTTCGATAATCTTCCACCCAAAAATTTAGTAAATGTGTCTTGAAACCGACATTGAAAATGCGCTCGAGAGAAGGTAGTAAACAGGTGGCGACGCCTTTGTCTGGAGAATGCGGTATGGCACCGAAGCTCTTGGTCTTAGCCACGATGTCGACACGCTTACGCCTGACAACAGAGCTGGTGTTGTTGTCATCGCTAGTAAGCGGCGTTCATTCTCGTTCCTTCAATCAGCTTGGGACTACGATGCTGCAGTCGTCCTCTGCGCATGTGGACTTGGTTATGGTGAATGACAAGACTCTGAAGCCGGATTAGCAGTTGGTGGGTATGGGTGCGGACAAGGTACGTGCTAAGGCGCAACAAGATTCGCGCCGCATCATGGAGGGCCTGAAGCGTCGGCATGAGGCGGTGCTTATGCAAAAAGACGAAGACTCTGTTCCAATGCTGGAGATGGTGTAGCGAATATGTTTTGCAAGTTGATACTACAAGGAATCATAAGGTGAGAGAGATAGAGAAGTCGTTGCAGAGCCCGTCCTGGCAGTATCCACGTAGATGTCGATTTCTCCAATGTGTAACGATTCCACCGACAACTGCCGAAGTACGCACGAACCGCTCTTGTTCCCCTCGAGAACGTCGCGAAGAAGCTTGGAGTCAAGCATGTCTTCATCAAACGCACGGGCACTGTAGAGCGGGAAGACCCCGCGATTGTAGTGCGAGCAGCGGAATTCTCGGAACTTGCAAGAGACACACCCCCTCAGCGGCTCGGGACCACCTACAGAGTAGCGCGACATTACAAAGATGACCAGCTATTTATTTACAGCCTTTGTCCCTTGTCCCAGATAGCATTAGTGAATCTTGACAAAATATACAATCATATCAGCTATGATCGAACAATTCCTGACTTGTTTTTCAACCTTTTCTATCGCTGCGATCGCCTTCGTAGCACTGATCACTCGGCTGCTGTACAATAGGTATGCTGCCGGCCTAAGTCACGTACCAGGTCCGCTCCTTGCGAGTTTCACGGACTTCTATCGTCTTGCAGTAGCTATGGGCTACCGGCCAGAACGTTGGCACATCAAGCTGCACGAGCAATATGGTGATTTCGTGAGGATCGGACCCCGAACGATACTATGTTCGAGTAACCGAGCAGCCAAGAAGATATATGCGCTAAATAGTGGTTTTGTAAAAGTCAGTAACTTGGGTCAAGAATATCTGCTGCTCGCTGACGAAATGGACAGTCAGATTTCTACATCGTGCAGCAGACGTTAGCGAAAGGAGTCCCGCTAAAGACACTCTTCACGTCGACTGACGAGGCTTTCCATTCGAAGCTGCGTCGATCAGTCAGTAATGCCTATTCAATGACATCCCTGGTCCAATTCGAGCCTTTGGTCGACTCCACAACAACTGTGTTCCTGGAACAATTGACCCAGCGATACGCCGACAAAGCAGGCGATCTCGGCGTTGTCGATTTTGGCGCATGGCTCCAATACTATGCGTTCGATGTCATCTGTGAGCTGACTTACTCTAAACGGATGGGTTTTGTAGACGGCGGCCAAGACGTCGAGAATGTCATTTCCAGTCTCGAATGGCTTTTGAGCTATGCCGCAGTAGTCAGTATAGTAGAAGCCCATAGATGTATATGCTGACAGTCTTGCTAGATTGGGCAGGTCCCTTATCTTGATCGACTGCTCCTGAAGAATCCTATACGCCGCTGGCTGAGTGCACGTGGTTTTACACCAAGCACACCGGTGGCCGTGTTTGCCACTAAACGTATTCAGGAGAGTGGTGCCAGAGAAGTCGAGAAGAAGATGCCAGATCAGAGGCAAGCACGCTGCGACTTTCTTTCGAGATTCCAAGAGGCGCACCGGAAAGATCCAGACTTCATAAGTCAAGAGCGTGTCCTTGCACTCACGGTAGCAAACATGTTCGCGGTTAGTTTGTATACCTGCAAAGTGCTAGTCCCCATCTGACTTGAACCACAGGGCTCTGATACCACCGCGATATCGTAGGTGCTGTCATTGACTGACGGAATCCTTGCTGATTGCTGATCAGACTTCGAGCGATCTTTTACAATTTGATCAGGAATCCAGACAAGCTCGCCAAGCTACGTGCAGAGTTCGATGAACTTGACTTGAGAGGTCGGACAGCACCAGGTAACGCATTGGTCGCATGGGGTGATGTGCGAGAGCTGCCGTACCTGAGTGCTGTTATCAATGAGTCGTTGAGGACACACCCTGCGGCGGGTCTGCCTCTAGAACGAATCGTCCCAGCTGAGGGCGTTCAGCTTGGTGATGTCTTCATACCCGGTGGTACTAACATCGGCTGCAGCGCTTGGACTCTGCATCTTGACCGGGATCTCTGGGGTGATGATTCAGAGAAGTGGAGACCTGAAAGGTGGCTTGAAGCGAGCGAGCAGAAGAAGGCCGAGATGAAGAACAGCATGTTGGCCTTCGGAGCTGGTTCGCGGACCTGTATTGGAAAGAACGTCAGCTATTTGGAGATGTATAAGCTGGTTCCTGCGGTACTGCGCAGCTTTGATGTGGGCATCTCCCCAGGGTAAATACAGTCCATGCTGACTTCTGCGATAGATCGAATTGGCGTACCCGGACAGAGAATGGACACTCCATAACGCCTGGTTTGTCAAACAGACCGAATTTTATGTCAGGATTCGCTCGAGAAGTAAGATCTGAGTATTTTGAGGGAGCCAATGGTGCCGAGAAGGCAGGTACGCGACACGTCAACTGGAAGAGACCCACTTTGCCTGGCTTCTCCAATGAGAAGTAACATACTCGATCGAGGAATCAACCCTGACGCAGAATATTCAACATGCAGATTACTGAGTAAAGTTTGCTGCTTCATTGGTTTTAGTAATTCAGGTAGTCTTACAAGTTGCAAATACAGATCGTACACCCAGCTACGTTCCATCGCGTGAGACCCGTCGTAAGTTCCTTGGTATATTTCATCGCCTCGATGAAGACATCGAGTGGAATGGTTTGAGACCACTCTCCACGAGTAGCACGCACAGAACCCTACCCCAATTGCAGGGTCTTGTGCTTCGACTAGACTGTCGATACACTCCCAACCATCTGGATACCATGTAGGTCACAGAGAACATTCTCAATCCTATCTAACGTGATTAGGTGATGTTTGAATGCTTTTTCAGATTGTCTTATGCATTCGGGTTCGCTTCTATGCAAGGACGATCGAGAACTATTGTAGCTGATGCCTTGCTTAAGAGGGTTTGCATCTGCTAAAAGACTCTGTAAGTCCAAGCAGTGTGATCGCTTCATTTAGATAGACATGTTCAGCTCGGGTTGCTGCGGGGGAAACTGTTCATGCAGATGTATAAGGTTGCTCTCGCATTAGAATCTCTGCAACACCTAACGTGTTGGTAACTAAATACTGTGTTGTTTAGCTAAACAGTATCGAGTACCGTGCCTTAACTCATGCGATACTATACTAACGTCTGTTTCTAGCATAGCGGTTAGTACCTGCTATCAGCTCACACGATCAGAACATGTAATTAGATGCAGAAAGATTAGGCAAAATTGTCTTCGTTGCACTAAGGTCTATACCTGGAGTAAGGAGTTTACAGCTCGATCTAGAAAGTGCTTTCTAGCTCTAATAAATTGCAACCAGAGCAGATTTTTGTCTATCTATAGTCACTATATAGTTCCCCGTTGTCTCTCTGGAATGATAGGAAGCAGCAGCCAGCTGTCGTTGTTACCAACGTGAACATTATTCACGCCATGTAGGTGCTCTTTCTTTCGATCTTCAGAATGATCATGCGTGAAGCTACCAACACCCTGAGTGTCATGTCCGGCGATCTCGAATATCAAAGTCTCCTCCTCCTCTAGCACAACGTTCGTCGGCCAAATCTCGACGTCGACCTCATATATTACGCCAACTTTGACTTCCTGAACATCTGAGGTGCAATAGCTTCGATACGGTAAGTAAGGGCGATGGAGAAGATTCGAAGGGTCCGTTTTTCGTAAAGATACACGCTGCCAGCCTTTAACGAGGGGAACAGGGTCACCCATCGTGCCTGTATAGAGGACTTCCGAACCGTCTTTAGCTAGTTTGCGCAGAGTCAGAAAGAGGTCCATGTCTTTGGGAAGGTTCCCATCCTTGCGATCTGTCGAAACGCTCAGGTGTGCCAGTACGTGACCGGTCAACTCTACCGTTGTGTCAGTCGTGTAGTGGAACTGCAGTGGCTCTCCCGACAATGCATCGTACGAAAATACTCTTTTCTCGCCTTTTGCCGTCTTCGATAGCTCATTTTCTGCTGTCAAGAACAGCTTTGTGTATTCCGTATCAGGTAAAGGCCAGTCATTTTCTGCACGTGTTGGAAAGCTGAGTTCGCGCACGGGATCGTCGACGCCGCAATCGCCTTGTCTCAATGTCAATCGGACCCGTGGTTGGCGACCACTCTTCCAGCCATCATAGTCGTCGTCTTTGAGAAATGCATCGAGGAATGACTTCTGTAGCTTGGCGGAATGGTCGTAATAGAATGGTAAGTCGTGCCGGCCGACGATGAAATGCAGGAACTTGTGTTCGGAAGAGGCCCGCATCCAACCAAGGACATTACCACGGAGATGAAGTAGAATTCCGCCCTGTTTGTAGTCGTAAGTCAAGGTCATTGGCGGGAGTAAAATCACCATACCCAATTCGCCACGCTAAGAAGTGGGACCTCGATGGCTTCTACATCGAAATTGCGACTTGAGAAGTATTCCTCGTCCAGGTATTGGTGTTGTGCTGTATCTTCCATCTGATTCCTTCGATTTGCAATCAAGGCTGCCTCTTCTAGATCACCGTCCAGAGTATCATAACCCCAACCTCTGGCCGCGCGACCCGGCTTGCCGTATTGGTTCTTTTCAACAGCATTCTCCCACCAAAATTCTGGAGGCAGAAATTAGCGCTGGTAAAATTTGAGGAACTGTGGATGCCCACTGATGAATTTATCTGAGAGGATACCACCATGTCTCACACGATCGCGATAATAATCACTCATACCCTCCCACGGAATGATGGCCGCTAGACCTTTTGGCCTCCTCGCAGCCACTCTCCACTGAGTACCAGCGTAGTAACTGATTCCCAGTAGTCCAACCTTTCCGGATGACCACTCTTGATCTGCACACCACTCTACTACGTCGAAGAAAGCCTCACTGGTACCACGAGACATGGTATCCAGTTCTCCTGGACTTTGGCCTGATCCACGCTCGTCAACTCTTACGATAACATAGCCCAGCGAGGTCCAGTAGCCTGGGTCTGGTGTTTCCCAGGACGCGTGCTCGGACTTCATAGCGGGATTGAGCTGATTCCAGGATTTGGGGTTGAATATCTTGTATGGGACATCTTTTCCGTCTACATAGAAAGTCAGTATTTAGAGTAGGTCTCTTGGTGAATCTTAGACAGAGCCACGTACACGGGCCGTAAGTCGCGATAACGGGATATTTTTTACAACCAAAAGGCGCAGCGTCCTTGGGTAGATAGACGTTGCAACGCAGGAAGCTGGTGTCATAAGTCTTCAGCGGGATATCCTTGTGTTTCATAAAGATGTAAGGGAACGAATCGCTATCGATTTCAAGAAACTTATCGGAAGGCATCTCAACTCTATCGGCATAATGCTAGCGAATATATTGTACGAATCCGTTGAGTTATATGTCGCCAGACTCATCGGACAGTCCGAAGAAGCTAGTCCCTTTCAAAATCTGTACCTGGTACACATTTAGGTACCTCAAAGCCACTGACAATAGCTGTTGATGCTTATTTCCGCTTATTTCCAGCTGTTCGCGGCAGTGGACGGGCCGGGTGTGGGGCGGCGATGGTTGATACTTGAGATCGGTCCGGCCCCACAGCGTCTGTTCTGAATTCCTGTCTGGCATTGTTCCACATGTCTACCTGCGTCGGTGATCGGACCTTTGAAATTTTCCGATCTGTCAAGAGTAGATTCAGATCATTTTGTCGGTGTAATCCTCGTCTTCACGCGAAGTACCAAATCGTGAGGAATTATCTTGTACTCCGACTGAATCGCGTAACCTCGAAGTGACGGCATGGCTGCAGTCTTCGCAACGACTGTGGTAGACAGCGACGGCACTAGACGTCAAAGAGCTGACCCAGGTCTCCTCACGCTACTCGCTGACTATGACATCCATCGGTCTACACCAGAGCCAAACGATGGTTATGTCCAAATTGCTGGGCAGCAGCGTCTACGTCAACCAGACAGTTTTGATCCGACCCTTGCCGCCCATCCCGCAATCACTCAATTGGTCTCGAACCCAGACTGGTGGGTGTCGACGTATAGAAGAGTGCCATTGTACCGGCCCGTGAACAGGCAGCTTGATCTGGAGGAAAGACGACAGAACGCGGTTTTTAGAATCGTAGGGGCCGTCATGGTATTCGGGTGTATGACGACTGCAGTAAGTCAGCAGTCTGAAAGACTCTGAATTGGAAATAACGTTGAAGCAGTCTGCTAGCTGGATCTGGAGAAATACTCTCGGCAACTTCACAGATATCGGTCTAAATAGGGTTGGTGGAGAATGGTAGCTGAGTACCAGACGGTAACGGGATTCAACAGACACCGCACTTGAATCTCGAGTGGAATTTCAAATCGAATGTAACTGTTATGAAGTTGATTTTCACGGCACTGGCTCCTAGTGATGCTATCTATAAATCGATAAGACGCATCCACAGAAGAGATGATTCCTCGAAGGGCTGCGTTAGGCGATACATCGAATTTCAACTGGCCTGTCTGATGACTTTATCAATTGAACTTTCGGTCCTCCCAGCGATTTCATTACGTTTCGAAGATGGAATCAGATTCTTCTATATGCATCCCAACTGCCAAGCTGATATTGTGTGTTGCACATGTTGACGAGCTCCCAGCACTCAGCCAGCATTGTGTTTGGGCCTTTATCTTCCACGCCTCCAGCAGCACCAGCTGCGAAGAGAGATGCCATCCAGTGATCATCGGTCCCATGGGCCTCCTTATATCTAGGGTGCTTCATCATTCTCGTGATTGCTCTTCGAAGCTCTGGACCCGTATTACCTGTGATGTTGTCCTCCACGGCTTGTCTGAACTCCAACGCCCATGTTCCCGGTGGTACAGGCTGGGCAAAATTATCACGGTACAACATCATATCTGCCCAATGATTTCGGTATAAATTATGTACAGACCCCCCGCTCCCAATGATCAAGGTATCCTCGTGACGCAGTGGGCGAAGTGCAGCCCCGATCTTGAGATGGAAGTGTGGTTCGTACCGCGCGTTCATGGAGACGATGGTTGTAGGAAGTGGAATGCAGTGCGGAAACATGCGGATGATGATCAAGAACGTGTCGTGTATCCAATCGAATGTGGGAGCGGCCTTGACGTTGAAACCGGCGCGTGCGAGGAGCTGGATCACTTTTTGGCCTCCTTCAAGGTCGGGACATACTTTATAGGGTATATACCGTGAGTCTTTGACCGAGCCAACTGGAAGCATCTTCGGATTCGCGTTCATGCTAACTTCAATTGTGTCATCCACAGACTCCCAATGTGCGCCCTGGTGAGACCTAGATCAGCTACATTGCTTCTTCATGACAGGATGGGTCTATACCATCATTACAATCCTCTTGACCCCTCTTCTCAAAGCCTCGTTCCCAACTTGTTCCCAAACCTTGGCTGGCTCGGATTCTTCGCCTAGCATCATGGTCGAGCCGTGTGCGAATAGAAACACGGGAGTGATGCCTGACATGTTCAGTTCTTTACGTTAAGATTGAGCTATTGTGGTCTTACCATTACCAAGTGGTGCTTCCATGACTTCGGAAAGTAGTGTTGTTGTACTCAGGATCGACTTTGATCTTTAAATACAGCGTCCACCAGCCTGAGATGATCGTTGAGAATGGCTGAGCTCGGCACACTTTTCACCTTTATTTACTGCTTCGAATCCTTGAATCTACGTAATCGGAATGATGTGATTTCAAGCGCGTGGTTCATCTAGCCGCAGCTTTTGCAACGCAGCGGTGGAGAAGCGGAATTGGATGTGGAGCCGACCCGCACCACTTGGCGTTCAACGGAAGTACAAGCGCATGACGAATCTGCTCGGTGGTAACACGACGTTCTTCTCGTAATATGCATGGTATCTCCAAAATAATCGGTCTACCTATTTTCTTCGACATCTATCGTCAGTTCAACGCTTTGGTACTCTCTGCACTCACTCCATCTCCAAAATGACTATGTCCGCTCAGAAGATCGTGGAACGCATCGCCATCACATGGACTGAAGGCCGACTGGAGAATGTTCTCGAACGGCAAAAGCAGCTTGCAGCTTTGCATCAGTCACTTCACCGGCGGTTCGACGATTGCGCACGCGCACTGCAACAAGGTGAGTCATTCTCCAAATCAACTCATGTGATTCCATCTACGCAGTACTGAAGATATGTACGAAGACCTTGATAGTCCCGCTAGACTTGCCAAATCGGAAGTTACAGCCGCTCTTGATGCTATCAACAGCTTGTACACCCAACTGAACTTTTCGGATGTGCTAGCCAAAGAACGGAACTTGAAAAAAGGTGCAAATGCAGCACGCTTTCTCGTCCCACTTGGGTCGACGTTAGTCGTACAACTTCCGTCATCGCCCATCATTTCGACATTGGGTCCCCTAGCTGCCGCATTGGCTGCAGGCAGCCCAACAATTGTCCTTGGCGCTCCTAGTCTTCCAGCCACTAGTAACATGCTTGGTTGCATAATTCTGGAAGCTCTAGATCGTGAGGCATTTCATTTCGAACAGTCAGCTGATGTATCAACATGCGAAGCCTTTGCCCAGGCTGAATACGCGACAGTAGTTCTTCACAGCCTCGATACAAGCGACAGGATTCGACCGCTTGTTCTTACCACGAACCCAGCTGTTCGGATAATTGAACCATACTACGGTATTCCAGCTGGTATAATCGATCGCAGTGTTGCTGATGCCATCGACGTTGTTACCAAACGAATACGATTGGCGGTACAAGGTATGGAATGACCCTTTCAGAACGCAAATCGTTAGCTAAAATCCCCAGATGTACCGAAAGGCAATTCTTCCCGAGTTCCTAGACTTTTCTTTGTTGATGAGTCTATCTTTACTTCATTCAAAAACGGAATGCAAGCCCAACGCGAAGTGGCAAGCATTAACCTGGATCAGTGGCTTCGAAAACAGTATCGAGGCATTTCGCCTAGGTACTGCACGGATCAAAGCCGGAAGCAGCGAATCCCAGAACTTCCTGTGGTACAGTAAGTATCTATCAAATACTGACCACGAAAGCCAGACTAATCCAAGCGCAGGGGCGCCATCATATTAACATTCTCAAGCAACTCAGAGATTGTCCTTATTCCTACAAGGAGTTCGGATCACACAATCGATCTTTTAAACAAAATGTCTGTCATTTAATCACACTAAAAAGCGGGACTGATATCACTACAGCAATGCCAGCACCGGGTCTCAAGTCATCTATATTTTTGCTGGAGGGAAAGAAGGTTTCTACTTGGGAAATTTCATCACTACATCTTACGTCTACCTCAACGATGTACCAGTTGACTCTCTTGGTAAGAATTGAAGGATGTCAATACTTCATACGCTGACGTTGTTTAGTCCTCACAAGTTGTCGCTCTGCGAATGCTACGGCTACGCAGGGCTATTACTTTGAAGACTTCTCTGAGATGAAGGTCATGCTTCAGGTCAAAGCTTCCACCTCGCAAAGCAAGGAGGGTAGCCCAGCCAAGTTAAATGCAAGCAGAGTGAAGCAGTTTTCGGGTGGGAGGATGTCATACTTTGAACAAGGCCTGATACTTGGTGCGACAATTGGAATTGCAGCCCTGGTGTCAGCGGGATATGTCTCTTACCGTGTCGCGAGCACCTTCTTTGTAAGGTGAATAATCGAACTTTGCACTTAAATGGCATATCCTTGGTTCATCTATTAGTGTTACGAGTCGAAGTGGATGGACAACCTTAATTTCGTGTGCTGATCGACGACACACAGAACAATTTGCTAAGCAACCGAAACCTATCGAAGATAGTGCACTTCGACAAATTGATTCAGATAATGACGAATTTCAGGTTCGAACTAGAGGTCGGGAAAGGTGAACTGAGTCTCGCGTATTATGTTTCCAACACTTCCCATCTTGAAGGTACAATACTGAAGCTGTGAGTTGCTTGCGCGGAGGACGCGAGAGGAGACGTCTCCTAGTAATTACATCCAATCAATGAACTAATGTCGACTCATATCGAGAGCATAAGAAACACATGATGGGGCTGATAGGCTCACATCAATTTGTGTCCATTGTTTCAATTGCTAAATGGAGCAGTAAGAGGCACCTCGATATAGCTCCCAAACTCCCCACCATAGTGTAAAACATGCTTGCCCTTGTTCTCACTGTGAGTCTTCCCGTTAAGCTGCGCGACCTCCATAGGAGACATGTAATGTCCTGAGACCTTGATTGCAAGGGACTCGCCAGCGCCAAAAGCCATGCCGCCTGGCCAAATTGGAATGTTCAAGCGAACAACAGTGCCAGGTGTAATTTTCTCTTGGCGGTCGTTTTTGTACGTAGGCCACGAATCATTCTCGGTGCTGTCGATCTGTGTCACGGCATGACTAGCTCGCAAGCTGCCGTTCGGTCCGTAGTACTTGAGGAAGCAACTATCCGCTACCTCTGACGCATCTTTGGCTGGTGGAATGAGCGCGTTCGCGGGAACGTTGAGCTGCATGGTCCTACCACCGGTTGTGTCTAGCTTGCGTAACTGGACGAATACATCGAGATCGTCGGCAGATTCGGCAGATAGGTACAACACAGCCTTCGAGTAGCCGACGAGCCAAGTCGGCTTCTCGAACTTGATGGAAAAGATCAACTCTTCGGAATCGTTATCCAACCCTTGTGGGATTATGTCGGATTGGTAGGACTTTGCCATTGACGAGCTCATAGGAGAAATAGAAAGCGCGTCATGCTCAGCTAGATAGAACCTGGTCTGCTTGGCTTCGGGAATAGGATACTGTGTAGTCTCGATATTTGCGACAGGTTCCTCAGCCTCATGTTAGGGATAGACGATATGAACGATTGGTTCGGTCATACTCACGGTGTTGTCAAAGGGTAGAACAGAGAATCTAACCCTGGATGTCTTCTCCCAACCATTCTCAGCACCCTTGAGGTAATGATCAAAGAACTTTTGAAGGTCTTCAGTAGCATAATCGGAGTACAAGTCATACCACTCTTGTGTAGGGTGAATTCTAAGCCTGTAACACTCTTTAGCTGAAGCGACAAGAATGATTCCCTGTCAGGACGTACCACTTTTCCTTGGAACTGATTCGATTGAATCCTGCGATTGAACCAGAAGTGTGTAGTGATGTGGAGTAACTGGCTAATACGTATGCTGGTGTTTGAATTTGGTCCAGCTTCGCACGTTTGTCATCCCAGTACTGGTTGTAGAGAGGGTATTTCTCCAACATGTGGATCACCGCTTCGGCCTTTCCACGACCAACCATGGTGTCTTGGAGCATGCCCCAGAGGAGATGATATGGATATCCTATTCCCCCGCGGGCCAAAGTGTCACGGTAAAAGTCAGATGCTCCCTCCCATGGTGCAATAGCAGCTAGATGTGGTGGCTGCTGTGCCGCAATAAACCATTGCGCCATGGCCAGCCAACTGTTGCCAGCCGTAGCAACCTTTCCGGAGCACCATGGGAGTGTCGCGATGTACTCAACGGCATCATAACCATCTTGGCCGTCTTGTTCACCGAGCCAGCTATGCATGTTGCAATTAGCATCTGCATCAGGATAGGACCTCTGCGAAAGACCTACGGAACCGTCCCTTCAGAATCCCAGGTGCCTCTCAAATCAAAATTTACGATAGCGTAACCCTTTGCAACCCATTCAGCCGGATCAAGGCCTTCGAACTTCTCGTAGGTACTCGTCCTATCGTAGGGCACACCGAATCGACCGGGTTGCAAGTGCAGACCGTGCACACCTGTGTTCCGCTAGCATCAGCGAGACTTCAATTCCATACAGCAGCTGTCACCGTCTCTCACCATTGTTGTCCTTGCCGTAAGGGCTCCATAGTAAGATTGCAGGAACCTTCTGCTCCCCTGTTGGTCTAAATATGTCTGCGCGAAGCGTCACACCATCGCGCATGGGAACCGCGAAGTCTTTCTCCCAGATAGCATCCGACTGGAAAGCTGCTACATCGTCTCGTCCGGGTCGTTTATGTCCCTTGTTCAGTAATGTAGTCGAAGGACTGAAACCACTGTAAGGACCTGACTGTTTTGAGCCGGGAGGGTTGCAATCAACAAGTTCAACTTGATAGCCGTTAATACTGAGAGACATAGCTGAGTAAGCGATGCAACGTAGTCAAAGTGAAAATCTTACAGATTAGACTGTGGATACCTATAGCGCAGCTGCCAATTTAATAGATCAAGCGGGAATTCCAAGACGCCAGGCTTCCGTATGGGGATTGGTGAAGGCTCTTTGGATCGTGGCGTGTGGGGAAATGCCGGTGGGCAGCTACGGGTACAGGCTCCACCGTCGTGCGGGGCCGTGTGGTCTTCTGGACAACACCGCGTCATGTCTGTGCACGAGGCATCCCCAACGCGTGCGTTGTACGAAAGGATTCAAAGAAAGGTGGAACGATCCCGGGGTTCTGCTAGATGGTTGCCTCGCTGACCAAATTCCCAAGCGATCCTCCGCTTTAATGCGCTGCTCTGACTGTGTGTTTAGTAATACCCAACAATTGCGACACGCTCAGGATGTCCTCCCCCCTCAGACGAATTGTGACAAGTCACAAGGACGGCAAATCCATCGTGCTGATCGAAGACGAACTCGATCCTTTGCCTGGTTTCGCAGCGAGTGCCGCAACGATCTGGCAGAGCCATCGGTACTTGGCCGAGCTTACCGACCATGACGCTGCCGTATTGGGTGGTGGAAAGATATACAACAAAGGGTCACTCATTCGAGTTGTCGACTTTCCCGCAAATTCAACTGGCCACAATCACCGCACTACATCTCTCGATTACGGGATCGTTCTGGAGGGAGAGATCGAACTGGTCCTAGACGATGCATCGAAAACCACGGTACGCGCAGGAGATGTAGTCGTGCAGCAAGCGGTCAGTACACACTTTGTAACTTTGTTGTGTCTCTAGCTTATCTTCAGTAGACTATGCATCAGTGGAACAATCACACAGACAAACTTTGCAGGATGATTTTTGTGCTTCTCCCCTCGGAGGCCGCAACGAGTTCCACTGGGGAGAAACTTCAAGATTATGGCGTTCCTAGACATCTACAAGCAGATCCATAAACATATCCGATCAGAATATGGACATACGTAGTTTTGGAAGTAATATAAATTGATTTCGTGGTAGATGATTGAGGGGTGAAAGAACGACATTACAGCAAACGTGGTCTGTAAGATGCCTGCTGGAAATATTAGCAATCACAGCATGTCTTCCGCTGAATGTACAATCGATAGTCTATCTTTATTTCAAGGGATGGGCGTGATGCAGAAGTAATAGGATGACCACTGCTCTGTTTAGGTACAGAAAACCGTCGCTATTATGCAGCTCAAGATCGATCATGTTTTTCATGAACAATCCGAAACACGGAATTGCTAGTTGTATACATATCCTATTGTATTGTTCATCACGACCATGGTCGTGATCCTGATGGGGCTCTACCCATTGGCGGTTGGTGACACTCGCTGGGTATCGTCCAGTATTTACATTTTTAAATCGTGTCCTCATTGGCCCCATCAGGCCAAAACGTTCGCCTCAGCCGCTCGTGATCGCAAGCAGGCGAGGACTTGCCAAGATCGTGATCTCATTCGTGTGTAAGCAGCACTTAGGTGCTTCTAGTTTAGTGGCCGCTCAAGATAAACAAAATACTATTGTGTTGAAAGAGCTATCGGATGAGGCGTATAGACAACAACAATCTGCTTTCCCTCCTAATTCTGAAGCTACGTTCACAGGTTGAATATGCTTCCAGCTATAGCGGATTCCGCTCGATGGCCCTAGTGACAAGATCTCTGATCGCAGTCAGTTTCTTGAAAACATCATCACTGGAGATCCTCTTACGTGTCCATGAATGCGTTGATTTTTACAATCCTGTCTTGGTCGTTGAAATGACATACCCAGACATACTCATTTGTAAACTTCAATCCATCCTTACACTCCACATCGACAGCTTTCAGCTCCACTGCTGCCTTGTTGAACCCATCGTAGATAATGTCTTGCACGGACAGCTTCAGTGGTGTAGCCCATGTCGATGAAAGGGCGCGTGTGCCTTCGTGAAATGCTTCTTTGGACTTATAGTGTCCGGAGATCGGGCAATATGTACCTGTGGTGTGGCGAGATGTCACAATGCTATCCTGCAGAAGGTTTGGGTTGGAAGTCTAAAAGATAACGAGAAGCGAACTTGACCTACCCTTCACGGTCCAGTCAACATTTTCGTCGACATTTTCGAAGAATTCTTGTGTTTTTCCAGCACCGAGAAGGTCAAATATAGCACGAATCGTTTGTAAAGAAGGCATGCTCGAGCTTCTTCGCGTTATTTCTGCTGTTGATGAGCTTGTGACAGTGTTTGGGGAATGAAATCCAAAAGAGCGCTTGATTATAGTGGGAGAAAACACGATGTAGGGATGGAAGGGTTACATATCACACGCTTTGCGCCTTCGGCATTTCCCCACCGGAGCTGAAGTTCATCCCGAAACATCTGTATCGATGACCCTTTCATTTCCATGCCGGCAGCGACGGGGAGGTAAGATCCCGATCCCGAAAGCTAAGTGGACGGTGTCTGCTCGTTGCTTGCGCGCGGATCGGACCACAGTCAATGGCTAGTCATGCGGTGTGGGGTAACCTAGCGTGAGACTGCGCATGTAGTCCTCACCGCATCATCTGAACTTTGTAAACAACTTGAGGACGCAAACTTGCTTCAGTGTTTGAAACTGGTCGTTACATTTTCAGTTGCGTCCACTCAAGAGAAGCTCAAGATGACATTGAAGGTCATCATCGTCGGTGCAGGCTTGGGTGGTCTGAGTGCAGCTATCGCATTCACAAGAGCGGGACATGATGTTAAGGTTTGTATTGCGTATGATCCTGGCAAGTTGCCTGAACAACAGCGTGGATTGACGTCTTGTGTAGGTCTATGAGAAATCCGCTTTCCATAACGAGGTCGGAGCAGCAATTCATCTGGCACCGAACGCAACTCGAATTCTGAAGCCATGGGGATGCGATCTGGAGGCTATGCAACCTACGACATGTAACCACCTGAGTTCTTGGGATTATAAAGGAAACTTCATCGCCACACCAGCAGTAGGTATCTTCCTAACAACCTTTTCAGCGCACTGGCAAAACAATCGAGCTAACCAAGTAGATCACCAAAGACCTACAGAAGAAGCTGTCAATCGAAGATCCGTGGCTTCTTGTTCATCGTGTGGATTTGCACAATGCGTTGCGGAAGAAGGCTGAAGAAGGGTTCGCTGGCAAGAAGCCAGAAATCCATCTCTCTTGCGCCGTCGAATCAGTGGTACGTTCGCATTCGACTCAGACTTAAGACTTCGACAGGATAATTTATACTTGAACCAGGACCCGTCAACTGGTACGGTGATACTCGAAGATGGTCGCGTGTTGCAGGCAGATCTTATCATTGGTGCAGACGGTGTACATGTACGTGTTACTGCGAGACTTGTGAGGAGCAAGCTAATGATCCGCCAGTCACGGACGGTAAAAAGTATCATCGGGGAGGTTCAAAAGAGAAGTACGGGTCAGAATTGCTTCCGTTTTCTTGTCCCTACCGACAAGCTACAAGCAAATCCTATCACCAAAAGCCTCATGGATCGTATAGGCTTGCAGTCCCTTAATGCGTTCAATTCCGAGGATCGACGTCTGATCCTGTACCCATGCCGCGCAGGCACGCTTATCAACGCCGCCGTATTCTACCCTGATAACGCAGACGGCCAGACCATTGAATCTTCGTGGCAGAACTTCGGCAATGTGGATGACTTGCTGGCTGAGATAGAGAGCTTTGCCCCTGAACTGCGAGAGCTTTGTAGCATGGCCGAGGACGTGAAGCTGTGGAGCTTAGCATCTCGAGATCCAAGTCCAGTGTTTTTCAAGGGCAAACTTGCCATCATCGGAGATGCGGCGCACCCTACCCTTCCACGTATGTCAGATGTCGACCCGCACTTGCAAACGTTCGCTTACACGAGTTGTAGATCAAGGCCAGGGGGGAGCGCAAGCAATAGAGGACGCCGCGACTCTCGGGGCGCTCTTCACTGCAACCACCACATTGGATCAGATCGGCAAGAGATTGGAAGCATACAATAACATTCGCTACGAAAAGGCTGTCACCATCCTGTTCATGTCTAGAGTAGGCGACGAGCACCGAGAGGTTGTCATGGAGGACTTGAGACGCTTCGTTCCAGGTGCAAAGATGCCTACAAACATGTGGCTATATGCTTGGAACTCCTTTCCTGTTCAAGCGGCCCAAGATTTTCTCCGACAACAGTGACTTTATGTTTGCGCCGGATAGCGCAATACCATGATGTTGGGAGGAAAATGATTGTCCTGTATTGTACTTTGAATAAGCTAGCTCTCGGCAATTGTCTTTCCTCCTATCGATAGCGTACGCTGTAGCTCCAAGAATAATCTGCGTCGAGAATATGTGTCTAGTTGATCACGTTACGAGATCGTGTTGCCAAGCGAGTAACGACCTGTGCGGACGGCAACTAGAAGACGAAGCAGAAGCAATTCCCCACCCTTCGGCCAACTTTCTCTGCTATTTCGGAAGTCTGTGGAGAGAGCCGTCAGATCGAACGTTGTGAAACCAGCGGTCACAGTGTTCGGGTCCCGCTCTCAATGGCGGGGTGAGGGCCCGGAAGATACCCGCGCTATGATACGTAGTTACGGCAAAATTTCCATGACATAAAAGTTGCGGTCTCCAAAGTCGCAACCAAAACATTCATCTGTCTGGCAATGATTTTGGATGACAAAAGACATGTCGACTGTGAGCCAGAGCCAAACAAGCAGAAGTGAACACGGATACGAGGTCAGGCGTCCCCCGCAATCTTTCGGGGGCGATGTCAAAGAGGTCGAGTTTGGAGCCTTTGACCATAGCGGTATTCCGCTCGATGAAGAGGAATGGCCTGTGGCCATCATAGGATCGAGCATGGTGGGCATGATGACAGGCATACTCCTCGGCTATCATGGGTATGGATATAAGCAAGCACATGCAGAGATCGCTCCTGACTGGACATCAGCATCAAAAGCATATCTTTCGATAGGCATCCGCCCTCCAGCACACACCCAAGGGCCGCGGGGTTAAATTATCGCACTGTCGAGATCCTTCGTCAACTGGGATTGGAAGAGGTAGCCAAGGCGGAAAGCGGCAAGGAATTCGACATCGATGCAGGTATGCTGGTGGTGGAAAGGCTGGTGGGCGGCAAAGTGATTGCGCAAGTGCAAGAGAATGATCCTGCCGAAGTTAAGGAAGTGACGCCATGCACGAGCTGGCTCTGGATCACTCAGGCGATGTTCGAGCCCTTGCTACGGTCCAACGCCGGCAAGTTCGACTGCACACAATTATACGGAAAGCTTGTGGTTCATTATGAGGAAGATGCAAACGGCGTGCTGGTGGTAGTACAGGATCTGAAAACAAAGGAGTACAAGAAGCTCAGAGCACAGTATCTTGTTGCCTGTGATGGCAACAGAAGCAGTACCCGAGTTAAGGAGGGTATCATGCTGAGGGGGTCTGGGACCCTACGTGACAGTCTCTCGATGCGAATTGTGGGAAACTTGGCCCCCCATCTCGGCACTCGGTCCGTACACGGCGTTGTGTACGTTCTCAACTCAAACATCAGTGGGGGGTTTCGGCTTGAAGACCAAGGCAAGGCGGCGATTGTCATGGTGAACAGAGCTGGCGACAGGCACAATTTTCCAGAAGGCAGCGTTAGTCCAGAAGAGGCGCGCAAATACGTGTATGAACTATCCGGACTACCCGAAGACATGGAGCTGGAAGTACAGACTTGTTCATACTGGACGATGACGTCCTACAATGCAGATAGGCTGCAGTCGCATGGCGGACGCGTGCTGATTGCCGGTGATGCTGCGCATACGATGCCACCCACAGGGGGTCTTGGAGGTAACACCGGCATCGGTGATGCGCACAACCTTGCATGGAAGCTCGCATTCGTGCTCAAGGGGCTTGCGTCTCCGGCGCTTCTGGAAACATACACCCAAGAGCGGCAACCGGTTGACGCTTTTGCAGTAGACCAAGCAACCAAGCGCTTTCACAACCGCGTTGACCACGTACAGCCTTCCCTTGCCGAGGAAGGCAACTTGACAGTGGAACTTGGCTATCGTTATGCCAACGGCGGAGTCGTCCACGGAAATGGCCATGGCGCGCCGAGTGAAGAACCATTCGAGAACCCACTCGCGCCCTCTGGCACTGCTGGAACCCGATTACCGCACGTATGGCTGCAATACGGGGACGGGTATGATAAATCTGTCGAGCGTGTGTCGACACTTGACCTAGTGCGGCGAAACCTTGTTTTGATTGCGACGGAACGGGATTCGCCGTGGCTTGCCGCCGTGCGGGCTACCGCATCATGTGGGCTAGCGCCCATTGATGCATATGAATTGCATGAGACGTCAGCACCTTATCGCGATGTTGCGGGAGCGCTGCGCCAAAAATGTAAGTTGGAGATGGACGAGGCACTACTCATACGCCCAGACGGTTTCATCGCCTGGAGGGCGCGATCAGACGGTGGCCATAGCGACGCGCTGCAGTCAGCGCTGCGGCAAGTGCTCGGGATTCCGAGCTCGTGATCCCCTACCCCTATGATGGCCGGTGGCTGGGAATCGATGGGGGGTGGCCACGAGAGCTGGCGGCCGTTTCATAGCAGGATCTGTAAGGTAGATGGTCGTGAGTGTTAGTCATTTGCCGAGCTTCCGGAACTTCCCCGCACTTTTTGCCTGCATCCCCGCGTTTATCCCAGTAGTGATCGCCTTGATAACGGAATTAAAACTTTGTGCTTTCGTACATGAACCTAGGAGGCCAGCGCCGTACCTGGCCTAGAGTGCTTGCTGCCCTCCGACTTTTGCTTTGTCTGAGCTTACCTGCACCATTTCCTTGGACGTTGTCACCGCCATACCGACCCCATGTCTGATCAATGGACCTGCAACGAGTGTGGCGATGCGTTCAACCGCCGCGAGCACTATCAGCGCCATCTGCGCACTCATACCAAAGAAAAGCCTTTTGCTTGCTCAGTGTGCGGGACCCACTTTGGACGGGTCGACTCTCTTGCTCGCCATCACAGCTCGACACATCTGCACAACAACACCGCCACGTCGTCGTCAGAGCCCGGTGAACGCCAGCGCGTCTCACGTGCGTGTAAGCGCTGCAGCACTGCCAAAGTGAAGTGCGATGGCAAGCATCCCTGCGGGAAGTGCGCCGCCACTGAGATTGAATGCCTCTACGAATCCCCGAAGAAAAGACGAGGAGCCCCTCAGAATCCCGTTTTAGAGCCGAAGCCAAAACGGCGGCTTTCTAAGGCACAGGTCGACTGCGAGGGTCCCACTAGTACCGCCCTTAGCCCTTCTTTAATCAAGACTCAACATGAAATCATGCCTGCGGTTGATGCTCAGCTCAATGACATGCTACTCGTACCGTCTCTCGACACCACAGTCCCCGATTTCATGCATCTCGACTTCTTCGCTGGCCCCAAAACATCTTCATCGAAGGACGATGTGAGCAATGTTGACTGGTTGTTGAATGACTTCGAAATACCTTTCTGGCCGGCACCGTTCGACCTCCAGACTGAGATTCAACTTGTAGAAAACATTTGTCAGAAAGAAGCCACGATACTACCAATACAAAACGCACCACCACACAATCCAGGCCCTGGTTTGCCTCCCACACCAGTCTCCAATCCTGGCGACCTTTTCAGTCGCAGTCACACGCCAGTTTTGGACAGAGATGCAGTCGACATTCGTAAATATCATCCTACGGACATAGAAGTGGATGCACCATTGTCTTGCCCAGAGATTGACCCAGGATCGCTTGTTAGCGCAGATTTGGAGGATTTTGCCCATGTTGAGAGTCTCTCTCACAATCAGTTAGACGCTATAAATACTCTGATTGATGACATGGAGAGCAAACCTCATTATCCGTTCTTCAACAGCTTGAAACTCCCACCAAAATCTGTCATGAATGCCTGGATCCAACTCTATTTTGAGTATTTCCATCCCGTCTTCCCAGTGTTACACAAAGCCTCATTTTCTACTCTGGAAACGCCGCCGCTTCTTCTTCTGGTAGTTGCAGCAATTGGCGCCCAATTCTCCAACCTTCCCAACTCTCTCGCTTTCGCCCGCAGTCTCCACGAGCTTGTCAGAAGGTTATCATCACGTCAGGTAAGCTCTCATCCCTTGTTCTCGTGCAGCGTTTGATCTGACGTTTCTCATTTCAAGTGCGAGTTTCAGAACAAGTATGGTCGAACAGTGTGGATGACACAAGTGGTTATGCTGAACGGCTTAGCCATGTCGCATTCCGGAGAGAGACGAGCGCTGGAAGTCTCCGAAATTCTGCAAGCCGTACCTGTAGCCCTTGCGAGAAGAAAAGGACTACTTGAAGATATCTTGACCCACGAACGCATCGTTCAAACACAAGCACGTCTCCAAGAAACGTGGAGACTATGGGTCATGGACGAGGAGAGGAGACGAACGGGTTTTGGTGTTTGGGTAGGCACTGCCATCACTCATGATGTTGTCGGTCGGCTGACACGAACAACAGCTTGTTGACTGTGCCTTTGATTCAGAATTTAATCTGACGACAGTCTTAAATGCTCACGAGCTGAAGAATTCGCTCCCTCAAGCTGATGCACGTTGGAATGCAGACAGTGCTCAGAGTTGGGCGAGCTACCCACCTGGTCTAGGTGCGTCTCTACGCCGTCACTTAACCTCACAATTTCCCTTAACATAGCTCAGGCTCAGGCCGCACAAAGACGCTTGCAGATGTCATTGCGACCGACAGTTGGTTGTCCACTTGGTCAGAAACGAGTACACTAGGCAAACAAGCCATCTTGCAAGAACTCCTGGAAAGAGTCCGGCCTTCAGGTTCCATGAATCACAAAGTGGCAGCTGTCTCTGACCAGGCCCAGGCGAAACAAGTCCTGGAGAGTCTTCTCTCACTTCTGAAAGAAGATCAGGATGTGTCTATGGACAATTTGAAAGCTTCCATAGTGCACAAAGCCATTTGTCTAACGGCACTATTGATTGGCCTCTCCCCAGCACTCGACCTCACCAAGATCGCCCTCAGCTGTGTATACAATCAGATGACCGACCAAGAGCTTTCACACATTGCGAAAGTCTGGAGAGAAACACCCCATCAGGGCCGCGAGGCAGTTTTTCACGCAGCACATCTCTTCGAAACCATCCGGAACAGTCACACATCACATTACGCAATGCCAGCATCTCTTCTTAGAGCTGTATTATCGCTTTGGCTATACTCGGTCCTGTTCGACAAACCCGGTCTCACGGGTTTTACTCTTGAATCGCGAGAGTCGGCTTCAATTGCTCTTGGATCCGCACGCACCGAGAACGATCAAGTCCGGGACTGGATAGCAGATGGGCGTGGCCGGGTCAAGCTGCCCAGTATTGCGGATCTCCTCTGCCGGCAGGGAAGACGAACTCTACTCAAACACTCTTTAGCGGCTATGAGCTCTCTAAAAGGTTGGGGCATCAGCAGGGGCTACCTGCAACTTCTAGAGCGCCTCGAAGCGAGTGAGAGCGAATCCATGACCAAGTGATTCAACCTTGCAACGCACAACACGCGCGATGCGCTTGTGATTGCAATCGGTGTGTCTTGCCTAACACCAAAATTCAATGGCGTTCAGACAGACTTCGCGGTATTCCCCACATCGGTTACCCTAGGGACCCAAACGTTACTTCCTTTAATCGTTTCGGGTGGGGTTATTCTTGCATTCCAGCTTCCGGTGGGGCGGTTAGCTGACTTGTGGAGCCGGACCTCCAGTTCACAATTGGGTATGGCAGCATCCCTAGGCGCTATAATAAAATTCTACAATACTATGAATGGCTCACTAAACTCCATGATACTCCCAATCTATCCTGTAATTTCAACAACGAGATTTTTCTAATGGAACATGGTCATCAAAGTCTTCGGAGCTACTTACTCTGCTCGCACCCAAAGCGTACTATTTGCGCTTGAGAAGCTGAGCTTGTCTTATGCAATGCACAGTATCGATATGCAAAACAATGAACATCGCGTAAGTCATCGGATACAGACGTACTCAAGGAAGTGAAATGCCATTTTCCAATCTGATGAGTGAGTGCAAGACTAGGCCGGCGACTTCATCGCCTCACATCACCCTTTCGGCAAGATTCCAGCCATCCAGGACGATGATTTGAAGCTTTTCGAATCTCGCGCTATCGCTCGCTACTTGGTCTCCAAATATCCTGGACCCCTCAGCATTCCTATTGATAGCGCTTCCCTCGGTCGTTTTGAAGAAGCTGCTAGCGTGGAGTATTCCTACTTCGAACCCGCAGTCAGCAGACTTGCTTGGGAAATGATTTTCAAGAAAAGGGTCACGGGGCAGGAGGCAGACTTGTCCGTTGTGGCGGGTTTGGAGAAGGAGGTGAGGCAGGGCTTGGATTATTACGAAAAGGTACTGGGCGCCCACGAATGGCTCGGCGGATCGGTATGTCTCTTTCTACGGCTGTTTATCAGAGTGACAGAGCCTCACATGTTACTACAGGTTTTCAGTCTTATCGAAGTATTCAATGCTCCATGGTTTAGCTTGATGAGTGGACAACTTGGCTTTGGAAAAGAAATTGAATCGCGGCCGCTCCTCAAGGCTTGGTGGGAAAAGGTTAGCAATGATGCTAGTTGGATCAAGATCACGGCTACATAACGCTCATACAGATTCCTGCGTCCAAGGCGCTGTTATTCGTCGATGCGCTTCTCAACTGAGCAAAAGGATATCCTGATCTCGACGAGATCATAACATGCCGCTCAGGCAGGCGCTGTACTACGGTAATCGGCCAAAGAAGTGTGGTTTTACTTGATCGATTGTCGAAAGAGGTAGAAGCATATATCTGCTGATTTACATTCATTGGTCGTGTATAGCATCAATTAGTGCCCGTAGATCAACCCAAAAGATTACACAGAGTTTATCAAAGATGATTGGCTACTCGATCGCTGTACACCGCAAAATTCTTTCAAAGTGACTGATTCTCTGTGTATGGAACAGATGAAAGAGAACTGCATCACATCTGACAGTCCGATCGGGTGTCACGCCACCGCTGGATGTAGGAGCCAAAAAGAAGAACTCGATGATCCTGGTGCGGCATGTCATGGCGTGCCTCCGACTTCTATACGAAGGTGAGCTTGTACTGGAAGAGTGACTGGAACACTACATGCTATGAGGCTCACACCGAGACGCCGCTGAACCGGATAGCTGTGGCATGATGATCTTTACGGGTATTTCAGATTGTCTCGTGAGGAGTGTGTGGCAAAGGAGCTGCCAATCTCACGACGCATGCACGTGCGAAAGATCTGGCTCCACACAGTCCCCCGACTCCCCGCCTTAGGGTACCCTCGGAATTATTCTGCCGCGTGGCGTCGTTCTCTGATGGTTGGAGCGGAACATGCGTGGAATTGGACTGAGGACCCACATGCAGGCGTTGCGTTGAAGTAAGGAATCTAGTTGGACTTTGTGACTCTAACGTTGATTCCATCCTTTTGAGCACAAAACACAGGTGACATTAACCGACGAACTGGCTGAAATCAATGCTCTGGCTCTGATGATGCGCTGTTCTGATGTTCCACTGACGGCGGTGAACCAATAGAAGGTCACCAGCATGAAAGCGCCATACGAGATTTTAAGGTCCAAACCATTATGTAGAAGAAGTAGCGTCAGCACACAAGAGCTGAGATGTAGGGGCCACTGGTCAAGCTTAGAGTCAGTGATCAACAAGCGTGTTATTGTCGAAGATGAATCGCTCGATACTTTCCAAACACGAATTGCAAGAAGCGGGACTCCTGCGTGATATCGGCGCATGCAACCTGTCTAACCCATAGACATTATTTCGCGCAGTTTGGGATATTGAAGGCTATACAGCGACGCTAAGCAGGTCTCTTTTAACATGGTATGAAAACGTCGCGTACAGTACACATATCCTTGACATGAAAGGCAAATTCGTAAGGCAATCGGCGACCTTGACAAATCATTCGTTTTCGGAAAGTGCCCACATTGTGGTCACTGCCGAATACTATCTCCGACAGATCCATGCGGGGAAGACGGGGGAGAGCTGAGGTGGCAATAGCGTGAAACTCCCCACCGAACTTGGGACTGCAAGCCGAACACTCTATCGAGCTGAGGCCCAGAGGAGAGATACAGTCTAGATCGAGCCAAGGTACTGCTCAACCGTAGGGAAATCGGAATGTTTCCGATGGGCGTATCTTAAATGCGTTCCTGCTGCGTGCCTCTCTTGATTCTGTCGGTGTGCAATCGAGGTATCCAGCGCAAACGTCACGCAAACTACTGCAAAATTCTCTTTTTATGATTGATTCGAGAATGAATTCCACGCAGGATACTGAAAAAGCCGAGAACGCTATTGTCGAGAGAGTTGACACATCACCCGGCGAGGGGGTTTTCGATATTGGAGATCACCCTAAGGTCAACATTATATCCCTCATTCTCTGTATGTCTATAGCTGACTTGGATACACTTAGCTTTGGCCGCGCCTGCTTAAGATAGCCGTTCTCTTCAACGTCTGCCTAATGACGTTCAATGCACAATTTTTTGCTGCAGGCCCTTCGACAAGCCTTGCATACTTGGTCCGGGAATTCGATGTCGGCTACCCAGATGTGGCACCTCTTATCTCCTATGTCGTACTCATGATAGGAATAGGTAGCCTCATCTGGATTCCCACGACTAGCGTCCTTGGCAAGCGCATCACCCTTATCCTCGCAAATATTATCTTCCTTTCGGGCTGTATATGGGGTATATTTGCGACATCTCTTAACAGTCTTCTTGGATCAAGGATCCTGGGAGGGTTCGGCGCGAGTGCGGTGCAGGCTATCGGGCCGGCATTGATAGGAGGTATGCTATCCTTCCTGTAACATTGCCTGAGGAGCAGAATATTTCTGACCCGTGCAAAGATGTATTCTTCGAGCGCGATTACTCTAAAGTAGTCGCGTTGTACACCATGTGTCTTAGCATTGGCGCTCAGATGGGCCCCTTATTTGCAGGTCACATAGCGCTACACATGGGCTGGCGTTGGATCTTCAAGCTGATCGCTGTGCTGATCGGTTTCAATCTTTTCACCACGATGGCTCTGCTACCGGAGACGACATTTATTCAGGATGGCTTTGTTGGTGTAACAGCCGGAGCCTTGGATGACCGGATTTCTGGCTCAATTTCAGGTCGGAACGTGCACAAGCCCTTCCTCTCAACCCTTCGAAAGGGAATCCTCTCCTGGAAACACCCTCATGTACACGGAGGAGGTATCAAGCAGTGGCTCAGAACGCTCATACGTCACTTGCCCTTCATAGTAGACCCCATTGTACTCTGCTGCGCTGGTCTATGGGGCATTGTTCAGAGCTGGGTCATCGTCATTTCTGTTTGTTCCTCACAGCTCTTCGCTTACCCGCCATTTCTTTTCACTCCAGCACAATTGGGCAACTGGACCGCCACAAGCATGATAGGAGTCGTCTTGGCTTATCCCATCGCCGGTCCAGTCATGGACATCATTTCGCACAAGCTATCGGAGAGGCGAGGGAAGCATCAGCCTGAGTACCGTTTGTACAGCATGGTTGCCCCTTTTCTCATCTGCTCTCCTGGACTGCTACTATTCGGATATACCTTTCTCCGGGGCTCAAGCATTGGTCCTGCCGTTGGCTTTGCCATGCAAGCTGCGGGTCTCACCCTTGCACCCTCTGCAACTATCTCGTACGTCATTGACAGTTATCCATTTTACGCAGTTGAGGCTGTTGCCTCAGTCAACTTGCTTACCCATCTGATGTCTTTTGCCCTTTCGAAGACAGCACCAGAGTGGCTACTACGTGTTGGTGAAAAGCAACTCTTCATTGACATGTCAATAATTCAGTGGGCGATATTCCTTGGATTGACCCTTCCACTTTTGCTGTTCGGACAGTGGATTCGTGCACAAACGAATCAGGTGCACGAAAGGATCGCCCCAAGAAAAGATTAGTCTCGCAGTACCCGTCACAATATTCCGTCCGTACTTAAAATGTAACCATCCAGATTTCTCTATCCTGCTTACTACTGCTATTTGTTGCTTTGGCATCTTGATCGCTGTTTAAGATTGTCCAGGACGCTTATAAGTGTCTCATTACACGATAAATCTATAACAATTGAAGCGGGATTCCGCTAATCGGAGATATTCACCGGGGCCTCACGCTTGCAGTCTATCGTATTATCTCGAGAGATTGTGTTATTGTCCTTGGCGAAAACATCAAAATACTATAACATTATATTTGACCATGGCTGGCTGTTCCCGCATACTTTCTTTCTTGTTTCTCACGCAAGGGCCCTGGAACTGGGGATCACTAAATTTCGGAGTATTAGTTGTCATTCATGTGCCTTTAGAAAGCATTCCAAGCTATGCGCGGCGATGAAGGAAGATCCTCGTGCAAAATCCAGCCGCTAGATCATCACACGTTGGTAATGTCTCGTGTCAGACCATCCAGACGAGATAATGACGAGCGGAGAAAGAGATAAATTTGACTGCTCTGTGGTTTGGACCAAATTTCGATATGATTCTTTCGCTGGACTCTGTTGAGTCGGTATTTAACATTGCCGTCGTCCTATAGCCACCACGTTCTTGGGACCAACCCGTACTTGGATTACCGGCCACTCTTAGCAAAGACATCCGCCTGACTGAAAGCGTCTCACATCAGCTGACATGAGTGGAGCCGGCGCTCAGATGCGATGATGCACCCGTGTGGGGTAATAGACATCGAATTAATCTCTGTGGGGTACCGGTCCGTATTATTGCGATCACCTCTAGATTCGACCATACGCTCGATCTGCCGAGGTTACAGGTACAAAGTATATCATTTGGTTTGTATTGTCACCGCAGCCGGATAGAGAGAGTGTGGTGCCATAGAATTGCTGGTCTCCACAGGAAAGATTCATTTCTATTATCTCTTACGTATAAAGAAGTATTGGATGAACCAATCATCGCCCAAGACAGTGCTGCTTCAGTAAACATGACCGACGACCAAACCCGTTGGATCTTATGCATACTGCTATTTGGCATTGCAGCTCTCTTTTTGAAGGTCCGTCAGCGAATAGGCAACTTAATCTCGTCGACAAGACTGGATTGATAACGTCACATGCTGACAGTTTCAGATAATTTCACTAGCAATACGCGCGCTCTCAGGACCTCTTCGCAAGGTACCTGGCCCGCTGATTGCTCGCTGGACAAGATTTTATCTATCGTACCAAATTCTTTCCGGAAATCGTATGCAGTACATCCATGCGCTACATCAAAGATATGGTAGGTGTGACCAGTTTGACGAAGACCTTGTCGGGAGCTGCGAGCGTGAATTTAGCATCAGCTGAGTGACAATTCAGGCCCTGTTGTCCGCGTATCCCCTATTGAGGTTGCTATAAACGACCCTGCGGGTGTTCGCACGATTCAAAAGACTTCCGGGGGCTTTGACAAGGGACCTTGGTATCAGAATACGGGACCTGGTCTACTTGGAATGCGGGATCGCGGCATACACTCGCGACGAAGGCGGCTCCTAGCCCATTCATTAAGCAATAGTTCACTCGTGGTATGCGAGATTCTGATACGAAAGAAGATTGATCTTGCGATGGCGAGTATAGGGCACGAAGCCAAAATAAAGGGCGCAGCAGATATATACAAATGGTTCTCGCTGATGGCAACCGACATCATTGGAGATCTGACATTTGGCAGCTCGTTTTGTATGCTCGAGACAGGTAAGGTGGGTCAATTGGCACTAGTTCTCCTTCCAAGTGCCTGCATTTGACAATGTTCCGCAGAAAACACAGTATGTTCTCGATCTTCAGGCTGTCATGTCCGACGTGCACAAACGTGCCGAACTTTCGCCTTTCCTCGATATCCTCTCTTGTTTTCCAATAGGTCCTGCAAAACAGGCTCAGGTTCGCCTGGCACGAATCGTGGAATATGGACGGCAGTCTATCGCCCGACTGCTTATGGATGTCGAAACCGGTACATTAGAGACGCCTGTATTTTTCGACAAAGTCTTGAATTCTGCAGCGACGAAAGACGGCATCACAAGACAAGAACTTGAGGAAGAGGCGGCAGAGTTCATGATAACAGGGACCGACACAACTTCGAACACACTCACGTATCTCATTTGGGCTGTATTAAAGCACCCTGGTGTTCGGATCCGTCTAGAAGAAGAGATTGCTACATTGCCTGATGATTACACAGACACAGATCTCGCAAAAGCTTCATACCTCAATTGTGTGATCAAAGAGAGTTTACGGCTCTATGGTACCGCTTCAGGGTCACATGAGCGGAGTATCCCACCAGGAGGCTGGGACATCTGCGGATACCACCTGCCAGATCAAGCCGTAGTCTCGATAGCAGCATATTCACTGCACCGAAGAGCAGATATTTTCCGAAATCCGCTGAAATTTCAACCGGACAGGTGGTTGAACCCAACCCAAAATATGCAAGAATGCTATATTCCGTTCGGTGGAGGGCCAAGAAGTAAGGGATCCACCAATTGCAGGCCACATAGGATTAAATGCTGATCTAGTCGTATAGTATGTATCGGCATTCACCTCGCTCATATGGAGATGCGTTTGACGACTGCGGCTTTTTTCCATCGATTCCGTGGTGCTAGTATAGATCCACAGACAACAGACAAGAGCATGCATATGGAGAATTACACGCTGATTTCACCAAAAGCACAGCAGTGCTGGATTTCTACGCATATCAACAAACATCTAACATAGAACTGGAAATTAAGCGTAGTTCCTGTAAACCTGTCTTTTATTATTAAGTTATCTTCTATATTTAAAACTTAATTAATATAGTTATAGTTTTAAGTGTAAAGTTCCTAAGTAAAGACAACTTCTATACTTAGGTTATAATAGAGCTAATCTTATAGTAAAGCTTAGATATACTAATTAAGATTAGTATTATTCTAGAGTTCTAGAAAAGAGATTATTTTAAAAGTAATTTAGAGATACTATAAAAATTTTATTACTTTATTTTAATAGAAGACTTCTAGCTTAAAGCTATTATTAAAGTAGCTAAAGATATAATATATATCTTAAAGAAGAGTAATAAAGTTTTTAGCTTAGATATACTTTATCTAGAACTATTAGAGCCTAACTAACTATACTTTACTTTAGTTAATCTACTTAGCTTATTTTAAGCTAGAAGCTATTTTTAGTTTAATAAAGATATTAAAATAGTTAAAGTACTTATACTTTCTTAAATAAAGAATTTATATAGTATTATACTTACTATTATATCTACTAAAAATAACTTTAATAACTAGTTAATTATAAAATACTTATATAAGATTAACTTAAAAAGTTACTATACTTTTAAATTAATTATAAAACTAAATATACTTAATAAAAAACTTAATAGTAAGAGATTCTACTTTAATATTACATAGAGTTAAGCTATACTTCTCTAGGCTTAGTCTATACTAAAGCGAAGTAGGTTAAAGTAGTAGTCTATAAAGTATTATATAGAAGATTAAGTAGAAAAGAGTTATTATTATTAACTAAAAGGTAATAATACTAATTCTATAAATAATAGAATAACTAGTTAATAATTTATATAAGAGATAAACTATTTAAGTTAACTATAATAAGTATAATAATAAAATCTATTTATCTTATATACTTATTAAAATCTATCCCTACTATCTTAGCTATCCTAAGTATAAGAGATATTTATAATAGCTTTACTATCCTAAGTAGTTCTACTATTTTAGATAGTTAGCCTTAGTAGAATATTAGTTACGTAATTAGCGCTTTGTGTTAATTATTACCTTCTAACATAGACGTTAGTTAGCGTTCCTTACTAATTCTTTTATTAAGAGTAGAGTTCCTTTTATTACTTATAACACTTAAACTAGCGTAGAATAAAGAAGTAAAGTTCTACTTAAGTTAGTATATACTTTATAATAGAGACTTTATAACTAAAAACTTAACTATAAAAGAGTATAACTAAGTTAAAGTATTATTTTTTAAGAGAAAAATATAAAGGTTACTTTCTACTAGTTAAATAAAAATTTATAGCCTAAAGCTAAGGCTTAGTAAGATTCTTAAAGATTATATTATAGCGTAACTACTAGAGGTACTTGTGCAAATTAAGGATAGCATCTAAGAATATACAGTAAGATTAGACACACTAGGTGCACCAAGAGCTACAGCTCAAGAACAGCGACGGTACCTGCTACAAGTTAGCCAGTCATTCAGCACTCTTGTCAAGGCCGCTGTAGATAGACAATATTCAGATGCTTTCTTCGGTGATGCCTCCACAACAGAAGGATATCAAAAGCGTCTACGAGCGGTTCTCCAAAACACACTAACAGAGTTTGCGGCCGACATGCGTAAGAAGGGCCATACCTTTACCATCTTGGACGAAGGCCCAACCGACCTACCTTATGAGATATCTCGTACGGACTACATATCTAAGGTTACAAGACTACTGGAGCGAAGCAGAGGTCGAGAGCTCCCTGGCACATTCGATCCACTTATCATCGGGCACTTGTTTCATGAACAGCGAAAGCCTTGGGCAGGTCTTGTCAATCAGTATCTGGATGTCGTTCTTCACGCTGTTCGCTTCCTAGCGCGAAAAGCTCTCGCGCACGTTTGTGATGAGACCAGCCTTGCTGGCATATCAAGGAGGTTCATTTATGTCAGATTGGGAAGGCTAACCGCTGAACTTCGTGATAAAGTAGCGGAGCTGCTGAAACCTCATGATACTGGTCATCCGATCACGTACAATCATTATCTTACAGAGAGCGTGCAGAAAGCACAGAGCGCACGTCAGGTAAGAGAGATCAGGAAGTCTTTGGAGGGGATTCTTGGTGGTGACTTCACCGAGAGTGGTGTCCGCTACTTTCAGATGGACGTGAACGTCATGATCAACGCGCTGGTCTCTAAGACGGAAGCGGATATGAATACCTATGCTAGCTCTACTGCTACAGATTTCATGGAGGCTTACTATAAGGTGCGCATGTTTTTACTCTGTTGTGCAAATCGCTTATGATGATAGGTCGCACAAAAGAAGATCATCGATGACTTCAGTGTCCTTGCCGTCGAAGCGCGCCTCATCCAAGAACTCCCGTCTCTATTTTCCCCAGCGGATGTCATCGATATCGACGATGTCACGGTCGCCAAACTGGCATCCGAAAGCGAGGAATCTTCAAGAGAGAGAACGCGGTTTAGCGAGAAACTCAAGGTCCAAGAACACGGGCACAATGCTCTTCAGGGTGTTCAGGACATCTCGCCACTCGAAAAAGGTGCGTAGGTCCCAAAGAAAATGTTTCTGTCTCTCACGGAGCCAATAGAGTCTGACTTCTTCTAGATACCGAAGAGGTCCCCTCAGAGTACAGTATAGGATCAGACGATGAGAATGGAAGCTCGGAACTGGAAGCGGAACCGGAACCGGAACCGGAACTGGTCGAGATCTTACCTCATGAAGAAGAGCCTTCCTATGTCGTTGGAGAGACTTCCGGTCCCGATCAAGTCGCTACACCTGGCAATCAATGGGATTTCTCGCCCCCAATTTCCGTGCTGGAAAAGAAAAAGAAGGCAGTGAAGAGGACGCATAGGCCAGTCGAAGTGCTTGCCGAATAGCGGGCTGATCGCTTAGTATGTTTTCCACTACTGTATGGGTGCAGACTTCTAGAAACAGCTTTAAATAGTACAACAGAGTGTATCTAAGTAAAGGCGTGGGCTCACTAAGAGAGTAAAGGCTAAGAGTAGTGTAGCCTAGTTCGCCAGTATCTTACGAATGAGACGGAGCACGATAGTATTGCCTATACGAATGAGAAACACCCCAAAGGACCGTCTGACCTCCACAATTTCCCATCCATGATCCCATCTGCGGGAAGATATGCGGGAGCAATCAGCTTCCACTTTGTACCCTCTGGACGGACAACCATAGGCAGGTTGCACCCTTGAAGGAGGACGATTGAGTCGCCACTCTTAACAGCTTCTGAAGCGATGCCTAGACGGCCGTCTCGTGTTTGAAAAAGCTTCTTGCGATCAAGTTTGCGACACGCACCTGCATGCAAGATAGTGCAGTGCTTGATAACCCCTTTTGCAGTATCTGTTTGGCTTCGATATCCTATTAGTCTGCATACTGCGTTTTTGTCGGTTGTCTTTTCCGCATCATTCTGAACCCAGGTCCGATGGGCGTAGTCTCTCGTGTATCTGGTCTGTAGATCTCCCCAGATATCGAGAAACAACTTCCCAAGCAGATCCAGGTACTGTCCTTTCATTACGTTGCTGAGATTACGTAGGGGCTCGGCAAGACTTTTGGCTAGGGTATCCGCTTCGATCAGGAAAGAAGTAGTGGCCAAAGTAACGTGCTCCTGACATACTACATCGATACGTAGACCGTGGGCAAGGAGCTGACGTCCATGTACAGAGAATTGAGCTTCGCTTGAACCGCTGGCTTTATAGTCGTTCCACTCTGCCACTTTGGTGATATGATCATGGTCTGACCAATCCGGGCTCCAACTGGGTAAGTCATACGTGAAACATCCTGTGAGACCCTCGAATACACGAAAGCTACGATCCATGCAAATCGCTGCTGTACTCACTTCTAAGTATATATCCTCAACAGATCTCAGGTAATTTGGAGGTTCTAAATAGACTTCTAAGCGCTGCAGTATACCGTACAGAGCGAAGACCTTGTCTCGGGGTTCAGATGCCTGGTGACTTCGAGCATGGAGTAGAACTTCGGAAATTGAAGGTGGTATGCTCGGTCCGGGACCAGCGTTTGAGTTGTTGAGACTTGATTGGAACAACTCTAGTAGCCGTCGATGGAGGGTAGTGACGCGTCTATATTCTAACCGGATGGAGGTAAGCTCCACATTGTCTGGATGATTATGGCGGACCCACCAATGGGAATGCGGCATCAGAAAGACTGATCGGATGTCTACGATAGTATGTTGGCCTATGAGTATGATACAACGTTGAGCAAGCGCGATCTCCTGCAGAGGCCATATTCGAGTGAAATATGGCTGCTGGATCAACGGACGCAAGAAAGGTATACATTCTTCGACGTCTGGGGTGTTGATCTTAGCACATGGCGTTTACATATCTTTTCTCTAACTTACCTATTCGTAAACCGGAGTCCAACAATATTCCTAGCCTGACGCCATCTTCAACATGCCCAGGCCAGACAGTCACTTGAACAGCTTTTTCGTAGATAGTAGCCATCATGGCGACTTGGTGGCTACGCTCTCGTCGGCTTCTCTGTTCCGGGGTATCCTGTTCCTGGAAGCCTTGATTGATGCAAATGGCATCGATCCAATAACATCTAGCTGCTCTCGTGCCGCGACTGTAGCGTTTCAATCTGACAAGCAGATCATAACAGCTTTGGGTGACCCATAGCCACTTAGAGTCACAAGCTACTTTCCGCACCAGTTCTGCGCTACCCCAGGCATAAGAGACCGCTTCATATTCGGGATTGTCATCCAAACATGCTTCGTGCAGGCTGACCTTTAGCTTCTTGGGGTTAAGCGTGTCACCGCAAGCATGTTTGCATGTATCGCTGTCGCGATATTTATCACAAGGCTTCGAAGGCTCTTGAGCTTCATTATCGCCATCGTAGCCGACTGTGAGTAATCGTATCGTGCGTGATGGTTTGTCTTCCAGGGAATCATACTGGTATAAATACGGGCACTCCGGGCGCGCTTCTTCTAGCGTTGTGGATGAGGATGCGATGTCAGTCATGGCTCCCTGTCTGCTTCGAGGCGAAGAATGTGTAGCTTGGGATGAACAGATTGTTACCCGGTCGGAGGCTGAGGAAAGTTGCACAAAAACAAGTGATTCAATCGAGTTGATGCTTTCGACGCATGACGCTTGCGACGCTGAGCCGGTCAGTCGACATCGGGCTTAGCGGCATGTTCAGCTCGTACCCTAGTTGGCCTTCTTCGGTAGACATTTCAGCTGCCAAGCACTCTTCCCACCGGGATGAATGCATAAAACAGGTTCTGGGCCCTCCAGCCCATTTCTGAAAGGGAACACGCTGGCTCGATGATATATGTTTCGTCCTCCAAATGCTAGGGTGTCTCTCTCACGTCCTACCATTCGTCTTTGTATTCACGACATTCTCGAGCTTTCCCAAATATCGTTAGTAATCTTCGAGGGAAGACAGTTGATGTACTAGGGGTACAGCAACTTCGATCGTTTGACAAGGCGCAGATACACTCATGGGCAAAACCATTCACTCTGATATGCGGGAGAAACTTCGCTTAGGGACTGAGCTGACACGACGAGTGGTGACGGTTGAAGCTTGCGCCAACTTCTATCAAGTACTACTATTCGATTTCCATCTACTTTGTGCGAATGACTTCTCGCTTGCACTATCAAATCCAACACAATGTCCTTAGCCATCGGTATTCGTGCAAGAGTCGCACTTGGAATGGGACGCGTTCGTCGGTTTACAGCCTTCACAACCGCAAGGTTTGCACTCCGCAACGTTCATGGCGTACGTTTTCCCGCATTTTTCGTGACACTTGATGCAGTTAGAACACGTCTTGACGACATATGAGGCGTCGTTTCTTACACACTGCCATTTTGCCGCCATAGTGAACGACTGGTAAATTGATTATGTCTCAAAGCTGTTGTTATTGTCTTGGGGAAAACGCGAGGCGAATAAAGCTCAGCACAGGCGGAGGTCAAAGAAGCCAGATGAAGAACGATCCAACGGTCTTCCTTGCCCGCAGTGGGTTGCGTGTCTTCTTATAGCATAGCGTCTACATTCCGGTCAAGACGTGGCATTAGGATCCGAGGGTGGGGTGCAATGACTGAGCAGATAATTGGACGTGAGAAGCGGGGTATCCGTATCGTGCTTCACAACTAAACATACACGATGTTGGATGCATGCTTGTCTTGACTGTCATGAGCTCTCGTTATCTAAGTCCTAACCTGAAACTTTGGGCTCGCGTAGAGTTCTCATCGCCGAATTACATGTTTCAATGTGTCAGTCAAATTTCACGAATGACGCGCACTTCTCTATCTTCGTAACATGAACTGTATTCGCTGGGATTTCCACCGCCCATCCACGATCATGGCTGCTCGATGTGAGGAGCGACAATCAGGTCAAAAACGTCATGTAAATGTGCGGAGCTAGCCTCGCGCAAATGGTGCAGCAGCTATCACATAAGCTATCTGTTTCTTTTCACATTTTCATTCCCGCAACCTTGCCCTTCTCCGGCTCGCCCTCTTCGTTCTCATATAGCGGATTGACCTGCACCTCCCTTATCCACAACCTGAAGGACTTGTCCAACGTCTTTTTGTTCATAGTTGCGCAATCCTTGATCTCCTGCGCGCTCAAGTATGACACCGCTTCCGCATCACCCCCCGCGATAGCAATCGCACGTTGCAGCAATATGCAGTTCTTCTGAGTATATATCGCCCGATAGACCGCCTCTTCAATACTCGCTCCAAACGTTGTAAACCCGTGCTTATGCTGCAGCACCACCGGGTTCTCCGGCGAGAACCGCGCCGCCAAAGCTGCACCGAGCGTCGCGTTCTTGATCAACAAGTCATGCTCCGACGGCGCTCGTGCCGTCCCATACAGACTGTCCATTGTGAACACCGAAGCACCGCCCTGGCCAAGAAAGCCAGCCATATGAAAGACCGGTCGCACAGGATGTGGCTCCCGCGCACCATGTCCCACGGTGAAAGGAATGACGTCCTCCGAATGCGAGTGCACCACACAGTTCACTTTTGGGAACCGTCGCAATATCTCGCCGTGTATGTAGCGCTCGCTGTAGCCTTGTGGCGCGTCGGGGTCGACGGGCGTAGAGTCCTTGACCCAGTACGATATGAAGTCGCTCATGTTTTTGACGAGCGCCGGGGCGCCAGGGTCGTAGGCGGCGATGATGTATTGCTCTTTGTTGAGCGGGTGTCGCACGGATATGTGGCCGAAGGCGTCGACGAGGCCATGGTGATGGAGAATGTGGTTTGCGCGAATGAGCAGGCGCAGCTGCTGCTGGAGTTGAGGTGGAATGGACATCTTTGGGTGTCGAGATTTGCGCTCTCTAGGCTGGTTTTCTGGGGCGGTCGCAGTTTCTGGCGATCTTGGCGATGGCGGTCCGGTCTTGAGCGATTCGGCCTTGAGTGACTCAACTCTGGCCTCTTCGATGATTGAGAGTTCGCGCTCTTTTGATGGCTGCAGATACCCGCGGAGCTGTGTTGGAGTGGGTGGATGAGAGGCTAGAGCACGCGGATGTGAGCTCTCGGCGTCACTTTTACTCTTTTCAGCGGCGCAAACGTTGCAAAGTACCATTTGTGTTTTCAGCACTTGTATGTGTGCATCTTGCTCGGCCTGCGAGACGGAGGCCTTGACTTATGAGGTTTGCAGGCGATGTTTCAAGGCACTGGCGGGAATAGTAGCGTTTGAAACCGCGGACGCCTTGGAGTTGCTAGCTCTTTGACTGACTTCGAGTAGTGCGTCGCAAAGTCGATAATGATAGCCGTGGAGGAGCTGTGACTGTCGAGTAGTAGCTTGCGCCTGGTGTGCGCGACAAACTCCTCCATCGTGACATGTTGCTGGATGGGGTCGCGGAGGTGTTGCGGGGAGGGAGTCGGGCGATTGGGCGATGATGAGGGGACCCGATGTTTTAGCGCAGTTAGACTTCCCGCCCGCGACATCCTTCCGAGCCTCACCGACCCCACATCGTGCTGACGCTACTGATCACCCCCTCCGATCTTGGATCCTGGAACGAATGCTGCGAACATTCGGGAACAAAGTCCAGAAAAGCGCCGTCTTCGCTGTCTCGTCAGGCTCCATCTGATCGATTTTGTTTTGCCACCCGCGGCAAAACCTTGAGTGGGATGAGTGCCCAATACATATTGGCTGGCATCGCAGCCGCAGGACTAGCGTTTTGGTATGATTTCAAGAGCTGGCAAAGCTTCGGTTCGCGAACCTCCGTGCCTTTGTAAAGTGCGGTTGCTAAACCGTTGCAGGAACCGGAGGCACGCCACCCACGTTGGAAGGCTACATCAAGATCCGGCGATGGGGACTTTACCTGCTATACACGCGCCAAAACCTTCTAGATGCGTCACCCATTCCTGACTCAGGGATATCCTACATAAAACCGCAGAAGGTTCCAAATCGCGTTGGCCGTAGACCTGGGCTCACGCGCTGGACACTGCCCCAACGCCAGTTTCCAGAAATGATAACACCCGGCGCCTCCGCTACACTTCACAATCTGATGCGGGAGTTTGCGCATGCGAAGGCCTACTCGAAGTATATCGAGACAGGTCCAAGTAAGACTGAGGGCGGCACTGGGTCAGCCATCTACGTCAAACCAGATGTTAAGACTATCAACCCCGTCGCACACAAGATCTTCTTCGAAGTAGCGCACGTACACCCAGCAGAAAATTCATTGCATGTGTACGTAAGCCCACAAGACGCGAAGCTGGTGATGAAGAGGGGCTGGGGACAGCGCTTTCCCGTAACTTGGTTGGCGCCGCCGAGCTGGATCATGGTATATGCGCCAAGGAACGAAGACGAAGTTGAGATTGTGAGGGAGATAGTCCGGGCTGCTGTATGTCATGCAGTTGGGATGGATGTCGATGCTGAAGTATAACGGAATGCATGCGGGAGAATTATGGCACCTGATGACGTTGAAAGATGTTGTCTTGCGAAGTTCCCTACATTCCAAGTTCGGATATCTTGTGTCGAACAGAGTGATACCCACTCGTGCCATCTGTTGATTAGTATGATTGAGTAGGCTACCTCGAATTGACACCATTGAAAGCAGAGAGAGCCACTCTGCTTCAACCCACTACATCCAAAATCTCTACCAGTCTGGAAACCAACATGATATTCATCGTCCTGATTCCCAAGATTCTCGGCCTGGCTGTTGCTGAACCGATGTGACCATTCGACCACGACGGAGATGTACTGGAGCGTCAACCGCCAGACCTGGGAAATGCATGCATTTCTGAGCAAGGGAAAGTGCGTATGCGCTTGACTCTATGGCGGCGAGGCGTATTTATCGTCTTCGTCTCTTCTATCGGAGCTATAGGTCGACATTGACGATTAATCTAGATTTGTGCTGCGAATGGATGTGGTCGTTGGATTCACGGAAATGGGAATCTTGATCATTGTTCCCAATTCAAGCTTCGGCTTTCCTAAGATGAAAATGTGTGGCTAACAAGATTGATTTTGCTTATACGTATCGACGTAAGTCCAGTCTCTTCTGGTGTCGTGCGCAGCTGTCACCGACCGATGGATAAAATTGACATATCTCGTAGTATTACGGGGTAAACCCCTGGCTCAGACGCAACTTATGGCACTCTTGCAAGGGTTTTCATTTGCTTTATCTTATTCGACTCGAGGTCTCGGGGGGTTGGGTTCTAGACAGTTCCGGCCAAGCAGTTCCATGTGCTGTAGCATGGTACAAGGGCTTTAAAGCACGTCAACAATCGTTTCAACATGATACATCTGGTACTCGAGTATCTCTTGATATTATGAAGAGATAATGCTGTCTAATCCTTGAAGGCGCTCTCGCGCTGGCACATTGTTATGATCTACCTAGGTACGCATATCATCGATAGCCGCTCATATTGACGAGGAGCCATCTCAAGTGATTGGACAAGAGGACCATGAATCTGACAATGAGCTGAGTGTCTCGGTATTGAAGTTCGTCATTGTGCAGGTGTTTGCGGAATGTCTGGGCACGGCATTGGGGAGGCGGAGAACCGGCGTCAGGCACTAGCGTCGTTTGAAGGACGGCGCCCGCCGCTTCCGTTGCAGCTGCATCTCACTCACTCCAGCACTAGCATATACACGCCGGATGGCGTGAACGGCCCTACAGCATGGCACAAGCTTGGTATCCAACGTTAAGAGTGCTCATGCCTCGCTCATCTCTGCACCATCTTGCTCTCTTATCGTAACCTACAATTCCTTACAATGGGTAGCGTCGACACAAACCTTAAAGTAATCGTCATTGGCGCCGGTACTTGTCCGTTTCCACAACACTAGTGACGCTTGCTGACACGTAAAGGTCCTGCCGGGTGCGCGCTCGCCCATGGTCTCAAGAAAGCTGGCATCTCCTTTAGCATATACGACAAAGGTGCTGACGTCTTCCGACATCGCCATTGGGCCTTCACCCTGGGTTGGGCACGGCCGTACCTATTCGACCTCATCCCTGAAGAGCTTAGCAAGCAGATCAACTCATGTCAAGTCGACCCGTACGTCGATTGTGAGGCACTTGGCGAAGATCGGATCGTTATCTATAACGGGCAAACGCGAGAAGAAGCATTTGCATTTCCGATACCAAAAGCACGGGAGATCAACATCCGAAGATTGCGCATGCTGTTAGCCGAGCGACTAAATGTCAATTATGGCAAGAGCTTCTCGTACTTCGAAATGAAGGATGATGGTGGGGTCAAGGTGCACTTCGAAGACGGCTCCAGTGATGAAGGCGACATAGTCATCGGCGTTGATGGCGCAATGTCGAAAGTGCGGCGGTGCCTCATACCGAAGGAAGGCAATATGGATACGCTCCCATTCGCTTTGATGAACTTCAACGCCTCGTATACCGCTGAGCAAGCGCAGTTCATCAAAGATCGGCTCCATCCACTGGTAGATATTGCAATCCACCCTGCAGGCCACTATATCCGCGCCAATGTGCTCGATATGCCAGATGAAAATGATGCAAGTACTTGGACGTTCCAGATTCTGTCGACGTGGCCGCTGAAGTATGTTGAAGACCACGATAATGAGACGGATCGCCTGAAGCGCCTCAAGGCGCACGTGCAACGAGACAGATGGGCTGAGCCCTACAAGAGCGCAATCGAATGGATACCGGAGGATACCACGGTATTACGCGATCAACTCAAGATATGGAAAACAGTCCCATGGGACAACCAAGACGGACGGGTTACGCTATGCGGCGATGCTGCGCACGCTATGACCTTCCATCGTGGGCAAGGCGCCAACAATGCCTTCTACTCCGCGCATTGCTTCGTCGAAGCGCTGAAGAGCGTGCGGAGCGGGAGCGCATCCCTCAAAGATGCAATCACGGCTTACGACGAAAGTATCTGGAAGCGCGGCGCAAACGAAGTGCAGATCTCCAAGGCGCAAACGTTCTTCACGCACGATGGGTTGGACAACTTCATCAATAGCCCCGTCATGCAGTTGGGGACGAAGCCAAGTCATGCTGCGAAGACAGAGGGCTATCAGTAGCTTGTGAGCCCATCAGTCCATGCCCAGAAGGTATGGTTGGCATTTGGTCCTTGTTCAGCTCACATATTTCCGTCAGTAGTAGATTTTGAGTAGAAAAGTTAATTTCGAGCTTCAGTTATCGTTGTTAATTGACTTGTACAATCGTGTGTAGTCGTAAACTGGATGTGGTTTTAGCGCAAACAAGCAGCTCGCTTGTGTAGTACGCGACATGCATTTGCGAACTGATAGATAAGTTTTGCGGGAGAGTAGGGGTGTTGACAAGATGGAGATAGCATAGCCAGGAACATGCTGTTTGATGTTGAAGGCTAACATGCTAAGCGAAGGAAAACAGCTGCAGGATGATTGCGGATTGCACTTATCTTTATCTAAGAACACTAAGGACAATTCGAGAATCCGGGTGAGAATGTTACCGTTACACCATGCACCCCAGCAGGCTTGGAATGACGCGGCGTGCATCACCGACAGCGGAATAAGCCGCAAGTGTCGCTAAGACTATGACATTTGCACGCACTCGCGATTGCTCATGACAACGGAGAAGCGCGTCGCACACTCGTGAACACCGCATACATGCCGTAGCGACATTAGAAAAAAAAAAGAGTGGCGAGCACAACGGGACGACTGCGACTGATTCAGCCTACTTGACGTTGAAGAATTCTCAACAGATGCGGCTCAAGCGGCTGGCTTTGGTGTGGCTGCACGGATCTAGAGCCGCCACATGGAGATGACCGAGACGACGAAAATCACTTACGACCACGGTTCCGGAAAACTTGCCCATTTCTCAGTCTAGAAGGCATTTTGCGGGTCTCCAATCGCATCAATCATAGAGAGAATCGAGATGGCATCATGTCAGGCCCCCGATCTTCGAGTCAGGGTTCAACCGCTGTGGAGACAGATCGAGGATCATTTCGCTCGCTTGTTGCCCGCCCTGCAGAAAATCCTTCCCCCACACAGGCTTTCAGCCTGCCCCTGCATGACATGGCGCCCGTCCCAGAGTCATGTCAACCCCTATGGAAATTGACACGAAGAAAGTTTGACAGACTACATAGCCGTCTCCCCGGCATGCAGAGTTTCGAGTTGGGCCGTCTTCAACACTACCATCCTGCCGACAACCATGGCGCGAGAAGATCGATCTGGAGAATTCACTGGCGTCTTGGGCTTCTTCATCTGTATCTGCACCCTGCTGGTACTGCTTCGATGCTACTGCAAGCTGGTTATCGTGAAGAATTTCGCAGCCGATGACTACTTTTCTGTCCTTACCCTGGTATCTTTCTTGGTCTTTTGTACCTCCGCACTGCTGGGTATCCAAAATGGAACCGGCAAGCGACGATATCTCATCCCAGACGAAAAGTATCCCGTAGGCATGAAGGTGTGTAGTATCACGTCTACAGCATATTCCATGAGGCTAACAATCTAAATCAGTGGTGGTGGACATGCGAGCCTCTTTACGTTGCTACGAACTTCTTTCTCAAGTGCAGCATCGGCATCTTCCTGCTGCGTATTGCCGTTGACAGAACTCATCGCATCATTCTTTGGACCGCCCTGCTCGCCATCCAAATCTACAGCGTGTACTTCTTCTTCATCTTTACCTTTCAATGCTGGCCTGTCTCGTTCTTCTGGGAGCAGTTCCGTGGCGGCAAAGGCCAGTGCATCCCCTCTAATGTCGTCGTGAACTCGTTCTACGGCTACTCAGCGTTGTCCTGTGCCACAGATTGGACGTTTAGTATCGTTCCAATCTTCATTGTGCACAAACTGCAGATGAACAACAAGAAGAAGATGACTGTGGCTGTCGTCCTTGCTTTCTGCGCTATGTAAGTTTTATCTACTTTTAGTGTGTTCCTTGCATCGCATGCTAACTCGGCACTAGCGGCTCTACTGCAACAGTCGTCCGCATTCCGTTCATTAACGGTCTTAACGACATACCCGATTTCCTCTACTCTACCATCGACGTCGCAATATGGTCCACATGCGAGACCGGAATCGGCCTTGCCACCTCCGCCGCCGCGACTCTCCGTCCTTTGCTCCGCCAAGTCTTTGGCGACATGTCGACGCATGATAGCACCTCGCGCAAACACTCGCGCATGTGGAACTCGGGTCACCCATCTCGTTCTGGGTACCGGGAACATGCAAGTCGGCATACCGAAAATGATATTCAGCTCAGCTCCCATGATTCAAAACACCACAATCACACTGTCCATGTTGTCGGTGGTGATGGGTCGAGTCCGAGTGGGAGCACGATCGAATTGAATAAGGAGTGGGAGCAGGACAAAGACAGTGGGTCGGCTGATGCAGGTGCAGCGGGTCACAAAGGAATTATGAGAACGGTCAAGATCACGCAAATGTAGAACGATGTTGATGTGTATTAAAAAGTTATTGCGCAACTTGGGGAATTCGCTGGAGCATTGACGTTTATCCTTGGCCCATTGTATCTCGTGGAGATTGACACTCTTTGTGAATTGTTTCTTGTATCGTTGAGCTCACCCCTGTGGCGCGCAGGGCGGGCGCTAGCAGCGGCAGCCTTGCCTAAACGACGCTAATCTTCGGCGGCTCCGCGAACATCGTACGGCTCCTACAATCTAGATCTCCTACATCCTCATAGCCAAGATCACAACGGGCTTGAACGAGTGCATGGCTTTCCTATTACGACTTTCAGCTCATTGACAGGGCTTCGTAGACCCGCTTGTGGCTTCCCGCGTTGAGCAGCTCTACCCCTTCTGACGAAGCGAAGGCTTTCACGATAGCGACGCAGTCATGAGCGCCATAAATAACATTGGTATCTCCTTCGACATGAACTATCACGCATCGTCCCTCGTTTTTTCTCCCGTCGGACATTGTCTGGCAGCCCTTCCTTTCGTCGACTCGTCACTCGTTTTGTCTTGCAGCAGACACTACCTCGCAAATAATTCTTAATACACAATTCGTCATCATGAGATCTATTATCCTTGCGCTATTTGCCGCTCTACCTGTCATTAATGCTGCTGTAAGTAGCCCGCCCATCTCCAAGACCGGCCGCTGCGGAAGCAGCTTTGGCCTTACGTGCACCGGCTCTTCTTTTGGCAACTGCTGCTCGCAGTACAACTACTGCGGTAAGACTTCCGCCCATTGTGATGCTGGGTGCCAGTCGGGCTTCGGGACTTGTAAAAATTCGCCTGCACCGATCGCGGCGTCCCTGAAAGTGTCAAAGGACGGGTCTTGTGGCGGAAAGAGTGGCTCCACGTGCTTGAAGTCTGTGTTCGGTAACTGTTGCTCGCAGTAAGTCAATGAACAGTGTCGTTACGACAGCCTGCTAATCATGACTCACTTGCAGATACGGATACTGCGGCTCGTCAAATGCATACTGTGGCTCGGGATGCAACCCTGCTTTTGGTTCCTGTTCGAGCTCATCTTCCGTCTCTCCTACGACCGCGCATCCAACGTCGACGTCAACACGTGTCACTGCCACTGCTTCGTCACCCGCCACCAAACCAGGTGTCCAGAAAATTTCGACAAATGCGCGATGCGGCAATGCCTACCAAGCGTCACCTCTTGGAATGACTTGTGCCGGGTCCAAATGGGGCAATTGCTGTAGTCAATACTCATACTGGTATGTTTGACCATCGATCGTTCCATGACATGCTGCTGTGTACTGATGCAACACAGTGGAAGCACCGATACATACTGCGGTAGTGGGTGCCAGCCAGGCTTCGGCAATTGCAAGCCCGCGTCCTCATCCCCATCGTCCACACCCGCGAAGGCCCCAGTTGCGCCATCGAGTGTGCTGTCAACCATGAGGATACCAGTAGTCCCATCATCTGCCTCGCCAACAAGCATCACGTCGTCGTCTGCTAGCTCGTCTGAGCCCATGAGCACATCGCTCACTGACTCTATCACGTCTTCTTCAACCACAATTGCGTCTGTCGAAGAGCTGTACACAAGTACGCTCGTAACAAGCGCAAGCGCGTCAGCTACGGACGTGGGAGTCTCGTCCTCACTGGAGGCCACTTCAGCGTCAGCAGCGGTCCCGGAGATTGTTCCTGCGTCCAGCGAGCTTCCAACCTCGCTCGCAACGTCAGAGATCACCACGTCCACGAACCCTGTCGTTAGCTCTCCCAGCGCATCAACTAGCCTATCAGAATCGCCTTCCTCTATTGCTGAGCTTTCAAGCACGGCTACGGCGCCGCTCGCTACGTCAGACGTCGCTTCCGCCGAACTCGACACTGCCTTTTCCGTCGCATCGCCTACCGTGCTCGAGACGTCTGTCGAGCCGACCACCACGCCCACACAATCAATCACTGACCTTCAGATGGTAACAAGCGAGACCGAGACCATTTCTTTGACTGCCACTCCCGTAATTAGCACATCGCCATCGCCGGAGTCCACATCATCTGAGCCTACGTCCACTACAATCGAAGAGTCCACATCGAGCTCAGTGATTGAAACACCATCACCTTCCCCAGACACACCGGCTTCCTCGTCCCTAGTGAGTTCGATCGCTGCGACATCCACCTCATCCGCGCCTGCGACCTGCAACACGCTCGCTGTGAATTACAACCCTTCCTTTGAAAGCGGTGCCATCACGCCTTGGATCACCAGCCAAATTTATCCAGCCGGGACATTCAAAAATGAAGTTCTTTCTGCAGCGTCGGCGCCCTTTGCGCCGCTCGACGGATTGAGTGCGCTTTACACCACCTTAACCAGCCGCACCACAGGGGGTACGTTCCAGTGGAGATATACCCTCCAGAACGTATACATCCCAGCTGGCAGCAATTTCAACTGCACAGCAGGCGTCAAAGTGTTCCAGGGCGACAACCGCAATCAAGCATTTCCAATAACAGCCGTCTTGGCTGTGGACAATATAGTTGTGGGCAACAATGCAAACGGCATCTACCGAGGATCTGCTGGCAGCCTAGGAGCCAATGATTGGAAACGTATTGGTGGTACTGGGGTTGCGAACTCCCAAGACATGCATACAATCATCGTTCAATTCGCAAACTCTTTTAGTTACACTGGTGCGAGTCTTACGTTCGCGCTCGACGACCTACAGTGCTTTCCTACAGGGCAATGCGCCACGTAGATCAAGACGTACAGACACGTAGAGGAAGATGATACGACACTATCTCATAAGTACGCAAAAGATCGCGTTGGTCGCAAAGTGCTTCGTGTTAATCGATATAACCCTTGCTTCACGAAGCAACCTCCCCTGTACTACACTGTATTACACATGATACAGGTCACGGAAGTTCATGCAAGACTAGTAATATGTTTCAAGACGTGGACTCTTAGTCTAAGCAGAAACATGAATATCTAATGTACGATATAGTCTATTCAAATTCTGATAAATCGATACAAACTGTCGGTCATTTTCCAAACACTTCAGAACGACGTGCATTATCTAAGAGGTCGTCGATGGTGTGTTAATCGCCTATACTCTCTCGTCAGTACAGATAAGAGACACTCTCCACAGTCTCGCGCACTGCGTAAAGGCTAGGATGGTTTGTGCGATGGTTGCAAAAAAACGCTTAGATTTAGTTAGCAAAGCACATCCAGTGCAAGATGTTCGCGGCTTCTCGGGCATGATTTTTGAGGAAGATTGATAGTCGAGACGCAACGTCGCAGTTGAAAATATGCGGAATCATGCTGACCTGGTATCTACCTCGAACGAACTACTGTGTCATACGTTATTGCTACCACTACGTCTTATTGACACCCATCCTTCCCTTCAATAGCCGAAGCGCCCAGACTCCATCGACTACAATGATAGTGAAGAATGAGAAAACCAGACTTCCACCAAACACCAGACTATGATATGTCCAGGCATCTCCTACATCTAAATCAACCACTTGACATGCGATCGCCCATGGCAAGACATATAGTATATTCGATGCAAGAGATTGGTAGAGATACCATGTCGGGCGCGTCGATACCAGAACCGCAGCTAGTTGTGTCGACACACCGTACATAATGTAACACCAGTCGATGGTGCGCCAGATGCGAGCGGTTATACGCGCGACCTCTTCTGAACCCGAGAGGTATCGTGCAAAAGGCTCGGTACCAGCAAAGGACATGACGAGACAGAGTGGAATCTCAACCATCAATACGATGACGACTGAGTAGAGAGCCCAGCGGGTTACGTCCCATAATTGCCGGCGTGTAACCTGTGGCTTTGCGAACCGTGAGACACCCACGATAGTTGCACGCAAAGCTCCCCATGAGTGGCCAACAAAGGTTAGGGTTGTGGCTTCGAGTGCCATTACTGGTACCATAATCAGACCCCACCGAATAGTCGAGAAGACGCCCCAAGCAGTTGCGTAATCACTGCCCAAACCGACGATACCATGTACCAGCCAGAGGTATAGCGCATTACGGATGGCGGATTCAGTGAAGAAGATCGCTCCTGGCCTTGCGAGTGTGACCAATGCTGGTAAAGACGGGATCGTTTTCCGGCTGGATGTATCATGATGAAGTGGAGAGTTGGAGCTCACGGTCGTTGTGTAGACAAAGTACACCAGTCCCGCAAACGCAGAAGTGAGGTTGCAAGCCAGTGAGATGCCAGCCTGCATGTTTACCGTAGGTGTGACGCTTCCGACGTGGAACTTGGAGATGATGATCAAGTCGAGAATGATGTTAACTACGAACTTGACCGAGCTTATGATGAGTGGAACATCGGGCTTGTCGAGCGCGCGAGTTGAAGCGCTGACCGCATACTCGACTGCCGAGCTGAATGCAGAGAACGCAGAGATTCGAACGTATGTAACACTCACATCTCTCACTTCGACAGGGACGAAACCTTTTGCGAATGCAGAAGCGCCTGCGACGAAGCCAATGCTCATTATAAGACCGAGAAGAGACTGGAAGAGGATGAGGGTATGGGTGAGCTGCAGTCGCTCACGGAAGCCACGACTGGCCTTGTCGCCGATGACGAGATACGAAGCGCGCGGTAACCCTTCGTTCAAGACTTCTGCTACTACGCCGATATACGTGTACGTGTCGGTTGTGACAACCATTGAAGTGTCGATATTGGCAACCCATAGCTTCGACAAGGTGCCGTAGAGGGCTGGTAAGATGAAAGTGCAGGTGTTGAAAAGAAGCGCTCCGATGTACCTGTATACAGTCAGTGCATATCTCAAGGAGAAAATGAGCTGTTTGTCCCTACGTATCGCGGTGCCATGAGGGCTTTAGATCAATGACGGCCTGCTTCCTCCACGATAAGCGCTCGCGACTTTGCGCACCATCAAGCGCCTCATCGCGCTCATCTACCGCAGAAACTTCAGGAGAGTGGGTCACGCCCATGTTGTCGTCCTTGGAGGGAACTATCTGATACTGGTGTCGGAAACGTGATTGTGGTGTGAATCGCAAAGAAGAGGTGGAAGCAGTCATGTCGTTCTATCGTCGCGTGGGGCGAAGGTCAAATCAAGCAAACGCGATAGCAGATCGCTAAGCTGTATGCACATGCACGACCCCGCGCACTGCATCTTGTGTAGATACAAGAAAGAGCGGAGGTCAAGGAAGCGGTGGTGGGGCACGAACGCGGGGAACAGGAGGGCTTTGCCGCGGACAACAATCCTTACCGACATACGGAGAAGTCCGCGGAAGCACCTGCATGAATGTGATGGAGCTTTTGATTGGATAAGTTGAATATATGCTGGGACAGACCCTGTGCGAGCAGACTACATACAGCTCGATTCGGAAGAGAGATCAATGCGCACCCTGCACATGCTTGAGAACATTGCGCTTAGGACAGATAGGTGAGCGATCTTAAAAATTGTGGACGGCTTGCACTTAAGAGCCCCTGTAGTGGAGAAGATTTGTCGTCGGCTCCAGCAGGGTACGAAATACTTGCTGAGTAGCGTTTCATTGTATGAGGAATCCGCGTTTGGCTACGTGTCTGCCGTGGCAAGGCCATCGTCTAAGTCATCTACAATTCGGTGATCGGAGTAGCTCCCATCCATCCAACCACACAAGTAGCATTCACCAACTAGCTTCCAGCGTAAACCATTATCACTCCGTGTCTTTCGTATCACGAATGGTACGTCACTGCCATCGAAAATGTCAATCACATCCCCAACTCTAGCTTCTTTGTCCGACTTCCCTAAATTGCCTTCATGGATGATAGACACTCTTCTTCAGCCAGGTACTATTTGTCAAGACTAGGGCTGTCAGTGCGATGGTTGCAAAGAGGATTCCACATGTGTTTCTAACGCACAACTGATACGAGCTGTTCGCAGCTCGGATATCAGAGAGCAGTGGTAGGCGCAAATTGGGTATCGCAAGCTCTAGCGCTAGCGTACAGGCTGTTATCATTCGCGTCGGGTGTGAGAATGAAGATATCAACAACTTGAATGCAAGGGCATGTCTTGGATGACCAGGTTGTAGGATATAAGCTAGCGACCTGATCGACATCGCTTGTATAGAATATCGAGCGGTGAGAATAACTCGAAAAAACATCTGCGGGACAATCATCAGCTTTGTGGAGTCTTCATTTTTGGACTTGAGACTAACGGAAATCGCAGAGCTCAGTTAGCCACACTGACATCGGCGAAGCTCGTGTCAGACTGTATGGGCGACAATGGAGTCTTTCGGAAAGCATAGCCGAAAATCCTTTTGCGAGTGCAGATACGAGCGAAGGTACGTAGACATCAGTCGGTGTGCGCAAGGCTTGGCAGTCAGCCTCAGCCGCATGCATCATCCAGCTACACTCAGCTCGATGGAAAGTCGTAAGCAGAACGCATCTCGCCACCAAAAATGTGCATCAGGAACCATAGTCGATAAGTTTGTTCATTTCGCAACGAAAATATAAAAGAGTGTTCGTGGAAACTCAGTTACCTTTTACTCCATCATTCCATCACTCTATCACTGTCACCTCCACAACGATTACAATTCCCTGCTTCGCCACAAATCTCACGACAATCGCTTTGCGCAATCATCACAAGTACTTTCAAGTCACTATGTATTCAGCGTGGTATCTGTACATGGTTGGGGGCGCGTTGCTTGGCACTGTCTTTGCCCATCCACTGGCATCGCAAGACGATCCTCCTTGCGATCCTGAGCCACCAACCTGTCGTCCGTCCTGGCAGACTGCGGAATATGCACCTTCGGTCGGCCGCCTACGCGCAGGGCTTATCTTCGTCGACTTCACCGACTCCCCTGATGACCACTTTGGCCAAGAGCCGTGGCAGCTGTTCGAGCCCCTCAAGGAACAACCCGCAGATCTGTATCGGCAGATGTCTTTCGGAAAGCTCGATTTCGAGATCGTACCACTCTTGGACAAGTTCTACCGCATGCCTCGTGACTCTGCGTCGTATGGCTTCGCCGATGAAGAAGGCCTCACTGGTGAGGAACATAAAACATACATCGACGATGCCCTTAAAGCCGTTGGTGATGACATGGACTTCAACAGCGTTGACATCCTATTCATTGCGCCACCAAACGGTACCGAACAAATCAACCGCTCTGCCTCTTACAGCAGCCCTGTCAAAACCAAAAGTGGTCGAGAATTTCGTGCGGGCAGTGTCATCACATTTGGAAACGACTTGTACCCGGACGGAGAATGGAAGACTGTCAATCACGAGACGGGCCACACAATGGGTCTACCTGATCTGTATCCCTACGGCCCCGGCGGCAACGGTCTTTGGGTCGGGGAATTCGACATGATGGGCGTCGTCTGGGGTCAGTCACCGGATCTCTTCGCATGGCACAAGTGGCGCCTCAACTGGATCGAGGACAATCAAGTCGATTGCATCATGGAGACCGGCACGACTACGCACCGTTTGAGTCCAATCGAAGTCGATGGCGGCGTCAAGGCTGCTGCTATTCCAATGAATGCGACAGGTTATGTTATGGCGGAAGTACGTTCAATGCAAGGTATCGACCACGCAGCATGCGAGACCGCGACTGGAGTCCTCCTCTATACCGCAGAAAGTTCGATCGGGAGCGGTGATGGTCCTATCAGAATCCTCGACACGAACTCCGCAACTTGGGGATGCGGCAACGAGTGGGATGGTGCGGCATTGAACGATGCGCCGTTGCGGGATATTGATGCGGTCTTTGATACTGAGTTCGGGGTAAAGGTCAAGGTGATCGCGCGCGAAGGCGATGATTTTATAATCGAGGTTAAGAGAGGAACGTTCTAAGAAAGCGTAGTAGTACACTATACTACTATACTTACTTTCCCTAAGCGATGATAATTTAGAGGTAGTATAAGATAGTAGGAGCTAAAGTTATCTACACGATACTTTATTCGCTCTACTTTTTAGTCTCTTTGCGCTAGATATTTTAAGTAGATCTATTAGATATAATCTATTACTAATATATAAGCTACACTTTCTCTAATAATAGACTAGTTACTTCTCTATAACTATATAGTTTATACTATACTTAGTTCTTTATATATTTATACTTATAAACCTACTTTAGAGGATACCCTTAATCCTACCCTAGAGGATGTGCTTAATCCTAGTAGGATCGAGCTGTTTTGTTAGTAGCGATAAGGATGCGATAAGAAACGAGGAGTAAGATTAAGGTAGTAGGATCGAGGCTAGCTATCTACGCTATATAGGTTTAGGGGGTTAGGGTTAGGGTTAGGGTTAGGGTTAGGGTTAGGGTTAGGGTTAGGGTTAGGGTTAGGGTTAGGGTTAGGGTTAGGGTTAGGGTT